TGTTTTTTTTTTTTTGCTGGGTTATGAGAACGTCAGTGGCTCATACCAACATTGTCGTCCACCAGAAGTTTGCAATACGGTTTACATGAAAAGGGAAAGCACCCAGATGAATATAAACTATGCCATGAATGGAATTGAATTATCAAGTACTGTGCAATCTTCTGTCATCAGTTTGCTTTGTCTCTTCCACAAGTCTTTTCTTCTTGGAGACAGTATACGTCAAAAAGCCGGCGACTACCCTACATCAAGATTGTCTTACCAACATTTTTCTTTTTACTGGGACTAGGTCCAATTTTCGGGGCTTACCGTTCCGTAGCACACCTGAGACACTCGAAAACGATCCGCATCAATGCCTGATGGTTTCTATGAGAGTTGAGACACGAACAGTCGCGACAAAACTCGAATGCGACGAACCCCTGCAAGATTCAAGAAGCATAATGCCAAGCTTAACGGGGAATAAAACACAACCCGATCTCAGAAACCATCTACGATTAGTCTATTCGGCGCCTTATGGTTTCATCGACTTCATCCGTTCCTGAAAATGTGGGACGAAGAAGCTCTGACGTCTCATCCTTGCTGGAGACTAGCAAGCTTAACCTTGACAAACCGTCCACGGATAGAGAACAACCCAGCTTGGCAACTGCAGGTTCCGGGAATACGTCGCATCATATACTTTGGGAGCCGGTAGAGTGGGCATGTTGCATGCTCAATGCCGGTTCGGTTGCTGAGTTTCCGAGAAGATGGGGGAACATTGTCGTTTCGGTCATCGTGAATCTGGGGACGAAAGGATCTCAGTAAGAAACGATGAGGAGATTCTCAAGCGATGTTGCTGTATAAAAGTGTGGCACAGCCCTCTTCCATTCTCAGCTTTCATCCACACTCAATCCAATCCAACCATCCAGTCTATCCTTCCATTCTTCAGTCATTTCCTAAGAGGTGAGTTCTTACTCGAATCAATCATCACGATAACTTCATTGCTAACATCTCATCTCTAGCTGTGCTCTAGTTGGCTTACATTCCTTCCACCTATTTCTTTCGACTTTAGAGCTGTGCTCACTTTTACTTTACTTTTACGTCTTTTATATACCCATTTGCCAACTATACACAACCAACCACTCCTTCTTTCACACCACAACCAAATTTCTTTTTAAATCTATCAAAATGAAGTTCTCTACCTTCCTTATCGCCGCTTCCGCCGCAGTCGTTTCTGCCCGCCCTAGCCTTGTCTCTACTTTCGGTGCAGAGCGCGCTGCCCTCGCCAATGAGACTGCTCCTATCGCTACCCCCGGTCTGGAAGATGGCCGTGAAGAGGAGGACCGCGAGGAGCTCGACCAGGAGAAGGAGAAAGAGAAGGAACGTCAAGAACAAGAACGAGCCGACCGCGAACGTGAGGAGCGTGAGCGACAGCAGCGCGAGCAAGAGGACCGCGACCGCGAACAGGAAGAGAAAGACCGTGAAGACCGAGACCGAGAGGAGGACCGCAAGGACGATCGCAAGGAGGACCGCAAGGATGGTGAGCTTGCTTTCGGTCAGGTTGATCTCAACTACCTCCTCAAGGTTAACGAGCTCGACCTTGTCAAGCTCCAGACCCTCAGTATCAAGAACAACTTCGATGTCAATGTCTTCTCCGATCTCTTCGCCGCCGATGAATTCAGCATCAAGTCTCTCCTTGAGCTCCAGCAGCTGTCCACCATGCTCGCCATTGCCGAGACTGGAATCTTTGACCAGTTCGAGCTTTCTGGCCTCCAGCTTGGTGGTCTGAACCTTGGTCTCATCGACGGTATTGGCGGCCTCGACCTCACTCAGTTCATTGACGCTGCGGCGAGACCCAAGATCACTGTCATCGCTAAGCAGGGTAAGTTAACAAACCAGAATCATCTTCCACAACTCTTGCTAACACTCTCTCAGTCGTCAAAGTCAAGAACACCGTTGTCCTCAACCACAAGAACTAGAGCTTCTGGAAAGCCGCTTAATGAGGGAGCAGGTATCCCAGCCGTTGAGTTAGACTTCTGGTCAAGTCACTCGCTACGAGGCATGATGTTGTAATGAACAAGGCTGGGACAGGATCTGGGTCTGGGTTATGGTCAGGGTAATGGAAGGATTCTGGATGAACAATATCGTGCTCAAGGTCACTGGATGACTTGGCGGTAGCGGTAAAAAATATTAGGTTATGAACCAGAATACACTATTGATGACAAGACCTTATTTCCTACGTTTCTTTTCCTTGAGCTTGACCGGTCACGATATCTTCTGAGGAAGGATATAGAAGTAGGGTTGGAGTACAGATATCAAGATCTATTAAACTAAGCTTTATTCACATGCTACTAAGAACTTCTACTGCCTACTTTTGATCAGCACTATCCCAGTCCAGTAGCCCTTCCATCTTGTTTAGCTCTTCTGTTGAGCTATGCCGTTCGAAACTGGGCTGAATTTGTTGCTCAGGTCTGTGTTGCACATTATCAAGGGGAATCTCAGCAATGGACGCCGAATGTTTAGGATCGACCCCAGTACCGCTTTTTATATAGCCAACCGCGCTGCGCATCGGATGTTTGTCCTTGAAGACTCGGATAAGGGGCCTCAAAGTTGGGACACTCGCAGCCATAATAACGACGTTTTGCTCGACCCTGAAATCTATCAGTAAAGATCTATACGAATTGAGGTATATGAAGGACTTACAAGCCCCAGATGATCAACGTCACGACGTTGTATACTGCATGAACAGTCAGAGAGGGATATGGCGGATTCCTGGAATGGCGCCGATCAACTTACACGGATCCGTTCGATCGTTAAATGTGCTCAAGTACGTCGCTTTGATAATAGTAAAAACAGCCGAGAGGAATGTTAGTCCCAGCATGAACGTGATCTCTAGCTTTTCCTGTCTCTTGAGTTGCAGTTTCCAAAACGCATGGATCGGAACAATGGCGAGCACAAGGTCGGTAAGGACAGTGAAGCTGCTGACAACATAAGAAGAATGATTGAAGACATCAGGACTCCAGCATTCCCCCTTTGCCTCTTGATCCCACAGCATCCTTGTCGGTCGACATTGGGCGAAGATAATAACGACCGATATCAAAGCTAGAAAGATCTGCATGGCCACCACGACGCGTAGGAACCAAAGAGATATCGTCTTCGTTCTACCGACGAGTCGTTCGATAAGGATCAGGATAGCAACGTTTGGGAGACTATAGGCTATAATGTTGAACGCTGGAGAGCCAATGGGTCAGTAAATGGGTTGATGATGGTGTACCGGAGACTTACGATAACCAATAACCTGTAGAATCTTTGTCCTGACCATCCTCTCGACGCCTCCTGGTTCTAAAGCGACAGCGGCTGTGTGTCGACCCAGACCAAGATCTGCGGACGCTTGTACCAGAGCAGAGGCGACAATACTTCCAAACAACGATAAAAGAATCAACAAATCGTCCCAACCAGGTCTTTGAAAGATGACTACTGTCGTAAAGAGCTTTGTCGTGACTGTAAGGATAGCCATGCCGGTAAAGATCCAGGCTATCAAACAGAGCTGGGTTTGTCTCGAATCAGTCGGCACATCGTTGGGTTCCATTCTGAGACTGTTACAATCAGTAGCGACACCGCGCCTTGAACTCACATCTGAGAACCTGTGGAGTAGTCAAGTTTTATAATCCTCTGCATTGGGGGACAAATGCAGCCTTGTTGCTTGGTGCCTGACATTGTGTCCTCCACAGAACGGTTTCCCTGGTCAGGCCATGACGAAAGAAATCTGTTTGCATCAGAACCAACAGTTGAACGAAGGGCCGGGGTATAAGAAACGTTGGTTGGCAAGAGCATAAGGGACAAAATATTTGGTTCGGTGTATGCAAGTTGAGATCGACACTCGAGTTGCTTTATTTTGGTACCCTGAGACTTAGAAGATGGTATCTCATTTGCCCAGTGGCAGAGGTAAGTGTTGCCCTGAGGAGATAACGGTTGTTGGTTGTAGACATATACCCTTGTAGTTGTTGCAGGAAAACCATTGGAGATGTTGCTCCGGCCAAGGCAAGAAGTGGTCCACCGAGATGAAGAAGTTTGTTGGCGCTAACAACCAACAGCATGCCCAGATTGTCCATCTGGATGGTCAATCATACGAGTTCCAGGGCCTTCTCGAGTTTTTCCGTGGCACGATTGAAGAGAGTTTTAGTCGATTATGAATTCTGGATTGTGAGAAGGAAATCGGTAGGTTTGAATTTGCTATGAGCATAATTGGAGCGTCTCTTGTTTCTGATAATTGATAGAACCTAGGAGGACTGAGCGCCAAGATGATCTGATACCATCACTTCTCCACTGATTAGGCGAGACGAACCGACTTCCTTTATACAACCCCCAGATCGCTTCATTCACATTATTTCGTCTCTCTCGCTTTCGACGGCCAATCTTTTTGATACCTTGACGTCCGTCCCGGGACCGTTAGACAAGGGTATTCAAGACAAACATGCAGGGGATATACTGTTGGCACCAACATATTATCCATCCAAACGGGTCTTTGCAGACTCAAGTGGGCATCTGTTGGTTGTGCCACAAGACATACATGAGCCCATGCTTGATCCCAAGAGGAAAGCTGCTCGTGCGGGTTGAAGATGTGATTAAAGATCCCTGGATCGCCCACCTTGGTGCAGAGAGGTCAGTCAAATCTTTCTTTTCGTACAGATCATTTTCAAACTTCCTGAACCAACGAACCTCACAGGATATGGCGCCCTCAGAAATAATCAAACGTATGCAAGATGCCGCTGCAGCATACGACAGGGAAGAGCTCGGGGCTCGAGCAACTCTGTTGGACTTGAATCGACAGCTCCTCGCAGAACTGGAGACTCCAACTGACTTTGTGCAACGTATTTGGTTCACAACGGTAAGTACTCTACTGATGTTGTGAGGCGGTGACTGATACCTAGCAGGCTTCTCTCGGAGGTAGCCTTGAAGTCGCAAACAACACAAACATCTTCCGACATCTGCAAAAGTCTGAGAACGGACTTACCACACAAGCTCTTTCCGAAAAGACAGGCATTGCCGCGCCTTTACTCGATCGTTTTATGAGACACTTTGTTGCCCACAAAGTCGTCCGATTTTCTAAACCGACTGGCTGACACCCTACAGAGCTTTCCAACACCCTTGCCAAGGAAAACTACCAACACAGCATTTCCTTCTGCCAACGCGCCGCCGCAAAGTCCTTTCTCTTCTTTCCGGATCATTTCAAGCAGGCCGGTTACCAGCATCCTGGTCTGCCTGACGGACCTTACCAATATGCCCACGACTCTTCCCTGCCCTTCTTCGACTGGCTAGTTGCCAACCCTCCTTACGTCAACTGGTTTGGTTCTTTCATGTCCGTGTATAGGGCGGGCAATCCAGACTGGTGGGAGTTCTATCCTGTCGAAGAGCGACTAGCTTCTGGTTTCGATAAGGCTACGAGCGATGTATTCCTAGTTGACATTGGTGGTGGCAGAGGCCATGACTTGCTATCTTTTGCAAACGGTATCAAGTCACCCGGCCGGCTAATCCTACAAGACCTACCAGAAGTCATCGCCGACGTCACCGAGAAGACCGCCTTTGAAGGTCAAGCACACGACTTCTTCACACCGCAGACGATTCACGGTGCAAGAGCATACTACCTTCACTCCATTCTACATGACTGGGGCGCCGATCACGGGGTCAAGATTCTAAAGAGTCTGAAGCCTGCTCTCACACCTGGCTACTCCAGAGTTCTGATCAACGAGATCGTGCTATCCGAAGAGAACCCTTCTCTGCCGGCTACCTCTATGGATATGATGATGCTAGGACACATCGGCGAAGCTTGCGAGCGTACTGAGGAGGTTTTCAGAGCCATGGCAGCGGAAGCTGGCCTGGAGGTTGTCGAGATATTTTCAAACGCTGCTTCACCTGAGAGTGTTATTGAGCTCATGCTGCCGCTCAACTAGGCAAGGCCCTGCTCTGGGCTCTAATTGGAAATTCTTTTGATTGTCCTTCTAGTGTTGGATTTGTCTGGGTTGGTGAGTTTCACTCTTAGACATGGAGTTTTGCTTACGATAGTGTTAGGATATAAGTTATGTAGAACAAAGAATATGGACTTGATTGGATGGCAGAACTAATAGCACTAAGTAATCTTCTAAGCCTCTTACAAACGTATTCAATCCTGTCCCCGAGCGTTCCGGCTAGCGAAAGATAGAGTTTACAACGGCGAAAGGCCTATGCAAAAACGACTATCCACCAACGGTATACTTGCACTAGCCAGGGGTATCCTAGTTCCAGGAACCCACGATAATTGTTAGCTTTTGCAACGCATTGGAGGTCATCTTATTTGACTTTGCCGGGAGTTGCAATCCTTCCAGGGTGCCTCGTATCCGGTCGGATTAGTTCGCTAATGTAGCCGTACTCTGCATATGTATATATTAAGATCCCCTCGCCACAGTCGTTCGTAAAATAATCAACTCTAAGTCACTGGAAGCAACATGAGATTTGAAAAAGTTCTCGCTTTTGCGTGCCTGGCTAATGGCCTAGCTGTGCGTCAGAACAAGCCGATCTGGGAAACCCTGCCACCAACACCAGACCTGCCAGCTCCCATCAACACAAAGACGACTTTGATTAATGGAGTTCAACTCTGGATGCAAGAGTATAACAAAAAGGCAGGCGGTATCCCTATCGTCTTCGACCACGGTGGTCTTGGCTATTCGGCCTACTTTGGATCTGTCATCTCTCGTCTCGTCGACCATGGGCACTACGTGATCGCCATTGATCGCCGAGGTCACGGTCGCTCTACCTTCAACAAAGATGATGTATTCACCTTCGACCAATTCGCCAAAGACATTGATGACCAGCTCAAGTCGGTTGGTGTGAAGGAGTATAATGTTGTGGGCTGGTCTGACGGTGCTATAACGACCTTATCCGCCCTGCTCAACCCAGTCACTGCAGCACCTATAAAGAAAGCCTTCATCTTTGGGGGCACAGCCAACCCGGAGCAAACAAACGCAACCTTTGCGAACACGGCTTTATTTTCTGAATTCGTCTCTCGTTGTCGCACAGAGTACGCTCAACTGCAGCCAAACGCCAACTTCACGTTGTTTGGCAGCAAAGTCGTCACTTTGGAATCGACGCTTCCTCAGTTTACTGATGAGCAGTTGGGATCTATCGATGGAAAGAAGGTTATTATCGTTGGCGCAGAGCATGAGGAGGCGGTTAATTTGGACGTACCTGGGAAGTTACACGGAGCTATCAAAGGGAGCAAGATGAAGATTTTGACTGGCGTAAGTCACTTTGCGCCGTTACAGGATCCCGATCAGTTCTCTGTGGCAGTATCGGATTTCTTTGCTTCCTAGACAGCTCTATACAGCTTGGGGTCTGTCTTGGTGTGTCACTGTGTGACGAAAAGTCTATCTACCTTCGTTAGCCAGATAGATAAAGCTCATGAATGAGAGCCAACGTAGCCACTTGCAGTCCTCAAAACTTCTTGTCAGTATGTTACTCTGTTGATAGCATATTTCAGAAACCAATACCTAGAAAACATACCGGTGTCTCTCTAATTCCATTCAGAGGTGTGTTTGGGGGCATCGTTCGTCATGACGCGGGTTGATGATATCGGACGGGACTTTGGAAAGAGATGGACCTTAGGTGGCTGGCACCCATCTAACCTTAGTCTACCTTACAGACTGCAAATTAACTTACATAATCTCTGCAACATACATCCAGACAGAGCATTACTACAAACCATCCATCACTTATTCAATGCTGGGACAAAAGCAAAAGGGAGTTCCTCCAATGCTAATCAGTTAGGGTTTGCTAAAGTGAGTTCCCTTCGCATCTCCCGACTTGATCAATCAGCTCTGAGCTGGCCAAAAGTGCACAGGACAACTATCGGCGTCATCGGCGCATTACGCAGTACCTTTACTCGACTAATATTCCATCAGCTTAGTATTTGCCCCGGCCGTTCGTCGTTCCAATATCCCATATGCCTATCTAAAGCTATCAACGAGCTCATCGCTGGCTCTCACGCCTAGCGACTGCTCTTTGTACACCCAGACCCGGCCAACTACGGTGTGCCTTCTTAAGCCCACCGATCTGCCCTTGCAAACGAATTGAAGAAAGTACGGACTTCTCATCCTGTCGGCTCTCTTTTCTATCTCGAACCGAGCAATCGATGACTAGTCTCTCGCCGTGGATACTCGACAAGCATGCACAGAAGACGCCAGAGAAAGTCTTTTCGGGATGCAGTCATCTAGCTATGAGGTATGGAAAGGGTTTATGATACGACGGTCAACTATATCTGCTAATGAATGCTGATAAAGGTTACTATACTCATCAATGATGTTAGAAGAGTAGATACTTGGTCAGCCACTGCACGGCGCCTGGGTCATCATGAATCTACCGATACATAGGTCGGCTTCCGGCCTTCCAGTCAACAAACCCTTCAAAGTTCCTTGATCTTGTCTCAAGAGTCGCTACAGAGTGACATGTGTGTGTCTCTCCTGACGACACGACATTCGACTGCCCTCGACACGTCACTGCTGAAGCGGCTAGCTCGGAATAGCAATTGCAGAATGCAATATTTGCCCGCTTCCAGGACAGATCTCAGCAATCAGACCATCGGGACTTACGATAAGCGGGCCGGGTGAATCGCTACAAGGCCTCGTAGTACATCCTACCAGACACTGTTAGCGATTACCAACCGGAGTCAGCCCATAACTGTCTTTAGCACTAATTCTTTCCTCTTACCAGAGCAGTATCACCGTATCACCACTGCCGATGGAGGCGGCACATCCTGTGAATCTGTTGGAGCCCCTGAAGGACGGGCCTGTATAGACTTGCCACACCTTCTGTCATGTCTGGTCCACTCCTGCCATACCTTCCAAGTGTAATGGATGACTCTTGTATCGAAGCTTGAGAAGGGGTGGATTGTCTACATGCAAGTGTCCAGGGCATGTGAGTATAGTATAAAGGCAATGCTTGAGCGCTAGCTCTGAACTTTTACCTAGAGATCTGGTGACTGCACGACCAAAAGCAGGGCTTACTCACGGAATAGCTCGTCTTCCTCACATATCGAAGCCGCCGGAACAGCCCATCATCAACCAATCGTCGAAGACCTCACTAGCTAGAGCTATCATATATGGAGTACACCGCTTTGTTACATTACTCATGGGGACCTACCAAAGGCGTTGGCGGATACTACATCCTCTGGTTCATAACGCCATGCAACAATAGATTGTCGAACGACGAGAGACCATCAAACGACCGGGGCTCCGCTTGAACTCAGACTCTCTATTCTCTATTCTCTATTCAACTCCAAAGATTACGACAGTTCTGCATGGGCAGCCTTTAGCTTCAAACCTTTGAACAAAATACAGTTGAAGACTTGGTCTTGGCTGAAGGTCCAACACATCTACACACCAGCAAGATCTCACCTACAGCAAATGTTTCCGACACTTCCACTGTGTCCAAGATCACCTGTAGACCTCCGGCTATATCACTTCTTCTCATTAGAGAAGTCCCAATTCTCCGACAAGGTATCTCACTGTGCGATCGCCGAGCTTTCAGGAACTAACAGTCTCAACAGGATAACTCAACACATACATAATGGAACACTACCTTACCGCCACAGAAGATTAGACTCAAACCGCCTTGAGCTTCGCATAAAAGACCAAGATCCTAGTTCAGGTCTGGAGAGTCCTCCGCGGGTCTCTGATCGATCCTCTGACTGTATCCTTATCCTCGAGGTCCCGTTCATGGGCTACGACAACTGGTACACTCACTGCTAACTTTACCATTACATCGCATCGTCTGCGAAAAGCTGTCTCCGGATGAGACGGGTGTTTTACACGGAGTGAAGGATGAAATCAAACAGCCGTACGCCATCCGCCCTTTACCATGGTTCGTGGTTGGAAGGCGGCGATGGCGATACCGACAACGAACCTGCCAAAGGTGTACAGTCGGTCAAGACAGGGGTCACAATGAGCATACCTCGGCGTTGTGGTAAGTTCTAATTGATTCCAGTTCATCGAGTTCGTTTTGCGAGAGTCACAGACGGGTTACTTACACAGGTTGAACACAGGACATACGCCTCAGTTAGCCTTACCGCGTTGGCCAGCGTAAGCGACACAAACACTCCGACCACAAGTCACTATATGGCCTCAGATTATGCGACCAGGATGCCTCCCGTAAAACAATCGGCCAACTCTTCTGCGATTGGGGCACAGTTAAAGGACAGGGCAGTGAATTACTTCGTCAGTAAGGCACCGGACTTGTACAAGAATCGTACAATCAGCAGCAACAAGTCTGATGGATGGCTTTTCTTATATCCTGTATCTGCACCCGGTGTATGCTGTAATCTACTCATCGCCCTTTATTCAGGAATGGCACCTGTTCTTGAGAGGAAGCTCCCCTTTCATAGACGTGGCAATACTCAAGTGGACTGGAGGAGCATATGTCGTACTCAGCTATAGGAGCATTGATACTTGCTATCAGGTATACTGCATACTTTGCCCTCATCCAGTAAGTAAGTCTACCTATACATATTACGACTGCGAGAGCTGTGTCAGGGCCAACTTGATACAGAAAGTAGCGACTAGACGGCTAAATTAACTGACCGCAATGTTGTAGTCAAAACCTGGCATGGTCCAACTAGACGGAACCATCGTACTTCAAGGCTTACTATCGAAGCTGACCACTCAGGTCTTGGCCAGGCTTTGGACATTTCCGATGTCGTTTTTGGGGAATTCACTTCACTATAACATACTTCCTAGGTGAACTGTCTCATTTCTACGAATACTTGTGTATTAAGCTGATATGGGACAGTTCATGATTGCTTTACTTCTGTCCGGGCTAGTCAAAACAGAGCCCAGGCCGACAGTGATGTAATTCGTGGCCTTCGACCTATCCACGGAGCCTCCATGGGCTTCTTTTGAGCGGATGACTCCAGTGGAACGTCTGTAAGACCTAGTTGAGCTCGAAGGAAAGTGGGATGCTTATCTCCGGAGTACAAACCACCGAACCCGACGCCGACCCCGAACTTCATTGTGAAGGTGTATCCCAGATGCTTTTATACCCTCTCGTTCATCTGAGTAATTGCGAGCCAGGCTCAGATTCCGGCAACTCAATCCTTCTGGATCTTGATCTGAGTGACCCTATTCATCATGGAAGCTGTCGCCGTTTCCCATTCCATGCCTGCCTTGTATAGCATCAATGGATTAGAGATCAAGACAAGCATCGTACATACACCTAAGACATCCACTTCAGATTATATCGAGCTGAACGACGATGGAGTTGTTGAGAATGCCACAGCCGTGCATGACGGCCCAGTATACATCTGTCTAGCCGAGAACTACGACTACTGGTGCGCTGAGCTTGGACTCAACCGATCAGAATGGGACTGGTGTCATTGGGGAGAGAACATCACTTTCAGATGCACCGATAGAACCCTCACTGAATCTGACTTTCGGCTGGGAGACGTATGGAGTGTCGGTAGTAGCGTACGTCTACAAGTCTGCGGATCTCGGATCCCTTGTATGAAGCTCTCTTGGAGATGTGGCCAGAAGGACTCTTGGCTGAAGACGCTATCCGATACTGGTCGAGTAGGAGTTTATCTCAGAGTTCTTGCTGGGGGGCGAATCTATCCCGGGGACTGTGCAACTCAAGAGTCAACCTCGGGCGACAGCATGGACGTGGCAACAATCGCTCAATTGGCCTTCAGCTCCGGCTTGAAAACTCGCGACACTCTCGATTTACTAGCCAATCACGAAATTCTTCTCAGACTAAACAGACTGATCATAAAGCGAAAGCTGGCCACGATGGATGATACAGAGAACAAAGGCAAGAACGCGTGGAAGGGATGGCGAGATCTGCGAGTCTCTCGAATTGTCAATGAAGGCAACGGTATTATGTCCTTCTTTCTCGGCCCTATGGACGACAGGGAATTATCGTGGTATCTACCTGGGCAGTTCCTGACTGTACGGCTACCAACAGGTCAAGTCCGCAGCTGGAGTATCTCAGACTGGCCTGGTCGCACTCAACCCAGATTTTACCGCCTCAGCATCAAGGAAGCAGGAAGTGCTTCGGCATGGATGTGCAATGAGTGCACTATCGGGACCACCCTTTCAGCACGCTCACCTGCTGGGCGGTTCGTTCTGGACTGGTCCCAACCGGTTACCCCTCGACAAATCTATCTATCTGCTGGGATCGGAATCACGCCCATTCTTGCCATGATTAAGGCCCATGCGGACCATCCCAACATGAGGAGTGTCCCAGGTATCTGGATCCATGTAACGAAAGACGGAGCAAACCTGCAGCTTCAGGATGAGTTTCTTCGGATTGATGACAACCCCACAAAGCGAATGGTTTTTATGACGCAGCCTCGGGATATTGATGTCTACGAGAGACAGTACAGCATCTCAGGAAGGCCAACTTTGGAGTCCTTGACACAAATACTGGGAGAGACATACCAGATCAATCCGTTCGGTACCGCCGAGATGGATCTGCCCGCTACGTTCTCGGCGGCGTACATTTGCGGACCCAAAGACTTCGAGATCGACATGAGAAGCATCCTTACAAGCCTCAAGATCCCCCCATTCTTTATTTGCAGCGAGAGCTTCTCGTCCTCAGGTCACGCCATTGGTGACTTAGAGAAGGCTTCGGTCCACTTCACCAAGTCTAACAAGACTGCCAAATGGGAGAAAGAAAATTCAATGTCTCTACTGGAGCTTGCAGAGTCTGTTGGCCTATCGCCCGATTACGGTTGTCGCGTGGGTGCCTGTGGAAGCTGCACTGCCAAAGTAACTTGTGGCTCAGTTTCAGGAGGTGTTCAAATGGATGGAAGTGTATTGACGTGCTCGGCCATTCCTTCGTCTGACGTTGTTGAGGTTGAACTTTGAGTTTGTTGGGACGGCTTGAAGTCGCACAGAATGGCAGACACGAATTCAGGGTGGCAACAGCAATATGATTCATTCTACTATGTACAAGCTGGTGGTGCAAAGCAAACGCTGACAGGAACGCTATCCTGAAAATTCATCGCTCCGAGTCCATCATGCGTGGAACTCTATCTCAATCGTGACTCCTGGCCTGCTTCTTCGTCCTCTGCACATAAAGTCGCAATAAATGCAACTGGGCAATTAGCGAGGGCTCTCAGGGTTTTGGCAGGGCATTGGTATACATACTCCAATCAAACGATAGGGGATACGTGTCCCTCTGAGCAGTATATTCTTGCAATTCAAAAACTATCACGCTTCGCAATACTCCATGTCTCGTTATCGGAAAGTCGCAGCCCTACAAAGCGTTCGATTAGCTTCAGGTACTTATGGAACGATTAATAGACCGTACCGCTTGGAGTGAGAAATGCTTCTATCCGGAGGGGTGTTTCAAACATCGACTTCGTCCGCCATCCGAAGTCTGGAATCCAGGAAAAGGCAAATGAGCCTATTTCGATTTGTGTCCACCTGTGAGCATAGCCCAGACACTGGGGAGTTGAATCTCGGCCGATGCAAACAGCAGAGACATGACAAAGTTGTACACGATTCCGATAACAATGTTTGTCACGAAGAAGGTGTACGACAAGTCGCGAGTCTGGCAAGCGATACTCGTGTTGACGACGAAATGCATCACCCAGAGCCCGCGGTAGTAATCCCACCAACGCATTTGCTTCATGAGGTAGATGACTTTCTCCTCGTATTTCGCTTCGGAGAACTCAAAGCGTTCAGCTTCTCGACGGTTTGCTTCGCCGTTTACCAAAACCGCAGAGTTGTAGTAACAGACGAAGAGCAGGAAGGCTAGCCCTCCGAAGAAGTATGGAAGGATGTTTTGCGACATTGCCGGAGTATGGTGGTTTGGTGTCTGGTCCTCGTGGACGAGAATGTAATAGATAGACATGATGTTCTTTCTCAATAGAGATTCGGTTATGTTGGGAAGGGAGGGGGTTGAGTTCATGAAGGAAGTAGACGAAGTGCTGGGTAACGAATAACGAAGGTTGAAGGGGATACGCTCTTAGATTTCCCTCAAGTTATGGTTTCGTCTGTTTTCATAATGGCAGCAGTGGCGCGCATTGGCAAGCAAAATATCAGGGGTAGGACTTTACAATAGACTTTTGACACTGCCATGACAGCGCCATAGCACTAAACCTGCCAGTATTACGATTATTGGGTACGGACTATTGCAATAGCCAGAAGCCAGCAGTTTCCATCAATCGAATGAGGCTCCTCACATAGCCCTTGGTCAAACTCGGGAAATTCATCGATCAACTTCGCCCCAGAGCACCGGACGTCCACTGGATCTTGACCGATCTATTTGACACTTTCATGGACTACCTTGTTCGCCAGAAGAGATGATTAGTCTTTCACAATGGTGTCATGAAGGGGCTTGACCTGGATTTTGAGGTTGACTTACGTAGTATAAGCTTTACGGCTAATCAACCACATCTGAGCTGAGTGGGAAAGAACAAGAGTTGCTTGCGTCAAGGTGGTTCATCATCAAATTATAATCATCTAAGAAACAATGATTCGTGGGACGAATGCAGGAAGCCAAGATGGTCATAGAATCGGCAGGATAGCATGACTTGTCTTCAACAAGAATGCCAGTATGGGTCAAGAAATGGTGCCGAACCTAATAGCATGAAATTAATTTGATGTCGTCTTTGGTATCAAACTGTAGTAGACGCTTATACTATACACTATTCTTACATCTTGACATTAATTACGCATCTGCTCATCAAGCTTTCAACGCCAATCGACCATACCGTCGCCTTCAAACCCGAATCCAAGTGATTAGAACCCGCTCTGCTCCTTTCGGTTATCTCCATCACCATTGCCACTACTATCCCCCTCCTTGGCACCTGCAGCAGCTTCCTGGATGCCTTTCTCGTCACCTCGGAGCTTAGCAAAGTATGCCTTGATGTCTTCAGCTCCAATAGCCTGTCCGCTCTCGGCAAATTGTTGAAAGAATGGCTTCAGTTGTTCCTTGAGATGGTTATAAGCCATCACGCCCTCAATAGCTCGTACCCTGTCAACATTACGAAGTGCGCTCTCGCCACGTTCTAGAAGACTACCACTGCCGTGCGATCCACCTCCATTGCCATCGACCTGGGATCCTCCGTCGGACAGAGGTGGTTCATAGACCTCTTCCTCCTCGAGAAGATGTGGGTGGGGGTTAAGATGAGGGTAGCAGGATGAGCAGCGACAGAAGGCGTCGCGGAAATCTTCTTTGAGGAACAGGGAGAATTGCCCTTGGGGGGCAGGAGGAAGGTTATTAAGCTTGCAGGGGAGCTTGTCTGCAGACGGTGCCTCCCCGGCAGGCTTTTCATCGCCAAAATGAGATTCACTCTTTGCACGCTTCGCTTGCGTAAACTCCTCCGCATCATCATCAGCCTTGCGCTTCCGTGAATCCGTCTCTTCCTCAGATGCCGCTGTTGTTTCAGATGTAGGAACCGGTTCCTCCTTTACGGATGCTGCCTTGGCTTCTGAATCCGCTGGGTTAAGAAAGACTGCTGGAAGAAAACCAGAAGTTCCGGCATAGCGCTTAATCCAGGGGTGCGCTTCGACGCACTTGTAGCAGAGGAAGGCCTCGAAGGCATCTTCTTCAGGGAATCCTGGAGGCATGGGGACATCATCGTCTTCTTCTTCCTCTTCGACTGCAGTTTCGGCAGCCTTATCCTTCTCTTGGCCAGGGTTCTGTTTGGCATCCTGTTGCTCCTCGTTCCCTTCTGTGATTGTGGTCAATTTGCCCTCTTCTGTGCTCTCCTGTGCTTCTTTCTTCGGCTTTTCCATCTTTTCGAACCAGTTGGGTCCCATCCCAACGAGACATCCTGGATGGTACCAATCTTCACCACATCCGCCCGTCTCTACTGTTCCTAGGCCAAGACACTGGAACATCGTCCCCTTTTGTTGGAAGGGGTCATAATCACAGTCACAGCCGCAGAATCGATTGCGAAAGTTGTGGTTATACTTGTTATTCACATCGGGCTCTTCGGAATGCACCCCACCTCGAGTGTTGGTTGTCTCATTCAAACGGAGAGTACAAGGGCTGGTAGCCGGGATTCGCTTGGTACCACAATCGCATGTGAAGTTGCGCTTCTGGAAGATCTCGACTAGGGTGTGTTCGCCGTGGCATTGGATCGAGCAGGAATAGCATACACCAGCGGGTGTCCACTCGTCGCCGTCTTTGGCTGGAGGAGGATTGCAAGTCAAGCAAGCGAAAACGGCTTGTCGCAAAGGTCCGAGGATTTTGGTGCATGTGTCGATACTCTAAAAGAATTGTAAGCGCAGGTCAAGGCCTGGGAAGGGCGCAATCATACGTAAGGCAGAGCCTCGCGGGCATCGGCTTCAAGAGCTTCTTGGGATCGAATGAACCTATGAAAGTTAAAATATGAACCCGGAGGGCCCTATTTACGAGCGTACTCAGCTGCAGTTTGTGAAGTCTCTGAAGTTTTCGATTGATTAGAGAAGCTGTCTTTGCGCGCTCGAGATTCTTGTTGAGCCGCATCTTGCGCGGGCGCTGATGGAGCGTCCGGTGACATGATGGCGACAGAGATTGGCTTTTGTTGTGGTAAAAGATTAGCTTTTTGAAGATAAAGAATTCAAGTGAAAACGAAATCAAAAGATTGGATGACAATAAAGTCAGAATTGATGGATGGCGGAAGCACAAATACAGAATGAGGAGAACAAGTCAGCTATCGCTGTCTTCAGCGCAGTGCGACAGAGCTTAGAGCTTAGGTAGAGAATGGATGTCTTATGCGCTATCAATACGCTGTGAAACAATAACGCGCCCACTACAAACCACTTTACGCGGGTGAGAACTTAGCCAATCAAATCGGACGTCATAGGTGGAGGAAGCGAAATAGTTCGATTACTCCAGGGAAATTTAAGCCGCTACTCGGCTGTTTTATTCTGTCACCTTAACTTTTAGAGAACAATCTTACGCGTCGAACCGCGCTTCTCTTCCACACGCGAAATTACCCCTTGTCCGTCGGCCCACTTGGTCTGGTCGGTTTCCCTCCCAACCCGTTCCATATATGTACAACAAAATCAGCCCCTCAATGTGGTCAACTACCTACACCAAGTGCTCTATCACAGTATCTCCTATCGAAAGAAATACTTGAAGAGTGATAAACAATGAGGTATGATCCTTGACCTCACGTCTCTTCCTATTATCAGGGCAACAGCTAATTACTTCCAGTTCCCCCTTACACCCATCCTCGGCTCGCCCGAATCGCAAGCGGTCTCGCACAGGAGGAAGCGATGGACCGTCTCCAGCAGGCATGGTTTCGAGTCCTATGCCTTCATCGCCCCCTGAGTTCAATATAGCACATGGTGTTGAAGACGACGACGATATTGAGGATGATGTCCAGATTGAGGATGATATCGACGACATAGACGAAATGGCTGACGACGACGTCGATTTATTCCGCGATGGTTACGAGAACGATTATCAGCAGAGAGAAGATGATCAATATGAGAATATCGACATCGATGACACTGAGTATATTGAAACGGCTGAGGAGAGAGCCAAAAGACAACAGGCCACCCGTTTCATGGACAAAAGAGATCAAGCTATTCGCAGCAGAATGCCCGGAAGGGGATTTGAAGCAGAACTAGATGATGGACCCGATGACTTCGACTTATCTGCTCAACCTCGTCGTCGCCGTCACCACTACGATGAGGACCCTGACGATATGATGGACACGGACATCATGGCAGAGGAATTGTCACTCGAGGCGCTTGGCGATGTCAAAGCTTCCAGCTTGACCGAGTGGGTTTCATTGCCTTCAGTCCAGCGAACAATCAGGCGTGAATTTAAGGCTTTCCTCACATCCTATACCGATACTTCTGGTTCATCGGTGTACGGTAATCGAATCCGTACGCTCGGTGAGATCAACGCCGAGTCCCTCGAAGTCTCATATGAGCATCTCTCCGAGAGCAAGGCTATCCTCGCTTACTTTTTGGCCAATGCGCCTGCTGAAATGATCAAGCTCTTCGACGAAGTTGCCATGGATGTCGTTCTTCTGCACTATCCTGACTACGAGCGTATTCACTCTGAGATTCATGTCCGCATCTTTGATCTCCCTGTGCACTACACACTTCGTCAGCTTCGCCAATCCCACCTGAACTGTCTTGTTCGGGTCAGTGGTGTCGTTACCCGACGATCGGGTGTCTTCCCTCAGCTTAAGTATGTCAAGTTCGACTGCACCAAGTGCGGTGTAACACTTGGTCCTTTCCAACAGGAGTCCAATGTTGAAGTCAAGATCACATATTGCCAAAGTTGCCAGTCAAGAGGACCCTTCACTCTCAACTCGGAGAAGACGGTTTACCGTAACTACCAGAAGCTCACGCTTCAGGAGTCCCCTGGCACTGTTCCCGCTGGTCGATTGCCACGACAGCGTGAGGTTATCCTTCTATGGGATCTTATCGACAGGGCGAAGCCTGGTGAGGAGATTGAAGTGACTGGCATCTACCGCAACAACTACGATGCTCAGCTCAACAACCGCAACGGCTTCCCTGTATTTGCTACGATTCTCGAAGCCAACAATGTGGTCAAGTCCCACGACCAGCTGGCTGGATTCCGAATGACAGAAGAGGATGAGCACACCATTCGCAAGTTGTCTCGCGACCCCAACATTGTGGACAAGATTATCAACTCGATAGCACCTAGCATTTACGGGCACACAGATATCAAGACTGCAGTGGCATTATCACTTTTTGGTGGCGTTGCAAAGACTACCAAGGGTGCTCACCATCTTCGAGGCGATATCAATGTGCTTTTGCTGGGTGATCCTGGTACAGCCAAGTCTCAGGTCCTCAAGTATGCAGAGAAGACAGCCCACCGAGCTGTTTTCGCTACTGGTCAAGGTGCTAGTGCTGTTGGTCTGACGGCTAGTGTTCGTCGAGACCCTCTCACCAGCGAGTGGACATTGGAGGGCGGTGCTCTTGTGCTTGCGGATCGCGGAACTTGCCTTATCGACGAATTCGACAAGATGAACGACCAAGATCGAACATCTATCCACGAAGCTATGGAACAGCAGACAATTTCCATCTCAAAGGCTGGTATTGTTACCACTCTGCAGGCTCGCTGTGGTGTTATCGCAGCTGCCAATCCTATTGGAGGACGATATAACTCAACAGCTCCCTTTTCTGCCAATGTTGAATTGACAGAACCTATCCTGTCACGTTTCGATATTCTGTGCGTTGTTCGCGATACAGTAGAGCCCGAGGAAGACGAGCGTTTGGCTCGTTTCATTGTGGGATCTCATAGCAGGAGTCACCCACTCAGTCAGACTGAGCAAAACTCCATGCAGGTCGAACATGACACTCAAGCTGAGACGCAGGCGTCAGCACGCAAGCCCGAGGGTGAGATCTCTCAAGAGCTCCTAAGGAAGTATATCCTTTACGCTCGTGAACACTGCTCGCCGAAGCTCTACCATATCGATGAGGACAAGATCGCACGCCTCTTTGCCGACATGCGACGTGAGTCCCTGGCTACAGGTGCCTACCCTATTACAGTAAGTTGTCTTATACCTGCTACAGCAATTCACAATACTAACAGATCCAGGTACGACATTTGGAAGCTATCATCCGTATCAGCGAAGCCTTCTGCCGCATGCGTCTATCGGAGTACTGTTCAGCACAAGACATCGACCGCGCCATTGCAGTTACAGTGGATAGTTTCGTGGGCAGCCAGAAGGTTAGTTGCAAGAAGGCTCTCGCGAGGGCGTTCGCCAAGTACACACTGGCTAGACCAGGTGGACAGAAGAAGACTGGCGGCAACAGCCAGAGACGGCAAACTGCTGTCGCCAGTTAATGAGGGTTATATAGAAGGGAACTGTAATGTACGACGGTCGGTTGTGTTTTTCCATTTGGCGAACTGGTATTAGGGACGGATATCAGCATTACAATGACGGAATGTACAAATTAGCTGGGGCGATACCTTTGATAGATTTAATGCATCATGAGTTACCACATTCTAGGTACGCTGACGGCGGCGTTGACAATAAGGCTGCGGTCCCACATTTCTCCAAAGACTCTGGGTCTACATATCCAACAGCAACGCGGTAAGGAGCATAAAAAAGCGCATCCGGAAGTTTTTATTACAGATGCTATCCATTCGTTGCTTTATAGTACATATCCATTCATGTCGTGGGTATCGCTAAATCAAAATACTCTCCTTTTCATCTTCCAAAACTTCACCTTCACTGCCCTGTCGACCCTGTACTCGATGCCGCACTCGATGGTCGGGGAGGGAGCGAAGGTACGCCATGGCCGGACCCTGAATCTTCTCGCTGCATAGGAATTCCCCCCATCATTCCCATGCCAATTCCCATTCCAGGTAGTGGCAGCTGTGGAGGAGGACCCTGGCCGTCACTATCCTCAGCCTGGCTGTCCAGTTGCTCTTGCGCCGCCTTAAGGTCGAGTTCATGTAGACGCTCCTTTTCGGCAGGGTCAATAATGTCGTCGTCGTCGCTCCAGTAAGGGTCGTCGTCGTCTAGCTCAGGCATAGCCATGCGCTTCCAGAACCGCAGCTCCTGGCGATGCGCCTTCTCATCGACGAGTTTATTCCAACGACCTTCATCCTCGTCGTACTTGCGCCTATACTGGCGCAGGTTTTCATTCGCCTTGCCAGCATGTGCCTGCATCTGCCAGATCTGTTCACGCAGTCGGGCGTTTTCATCGCGCGCATCGGCAAGTTGCTTGCGGTAGGAGCGGTGCCATGAGGCTACATCGCTGACGTGCTTGGTCTTGTATTCGTGGAACTGTCGCAGAAGATTGGCCATGGCGTTGGCATACTGAGATAGGAGTTTGGCGTTGGCATCACGGCTGAACTTTGCCTTTTCAAGGGATTCGGTAAGGAGAGAGATGAGAGCATCAATGTTTTGTTCTTGACCTTTAAAATATGAATTAATGAGTTTGTGTAATAGAACCAGGGACTGTGCATACCATTAATGTCTTCTGCGGCGCTTTCGATAACTTGTTGGTTGCTGACACCTTGTGTTTTGGCCTTGTTCCTCACTCGTCCCAGCCCACTAACAATATCCTCTGTAACTCGACGGTTTTCTGCCAGTTGACGGCTAAGCTCTTCGACCATGCCGTAGATGTAATTGAGTTCAGCCTGGTGGCCCGCAGGCGTGGGGACAGGCATTCCCGTCGCCATATTTGTGCCATTCATACCATTCATCATGGCGATCTGCTGCTGTTGCTGCTGCCACTGGTGTTGAGACTGTGGAGAAGAATACTGGCTTGGGACCTGCTGATGGTAATAAGGGGGTTGTGGCAGTTGCTGCTGCTGCTGTGGATAGTGACGCGCCGAGGGGGCGGGAGCAGGAGAAGGAGCAGGTTGTGAGGATAGAGATGGATCGTGGGGGGTCGTATTTTGAGGCGCTTGGAAGGTCATGTCTTGTCGACCCGCGAATCTGGGGCCTTGATGGAGAATAATGTTGGTGTCTTGGATGGAGCTGGAAGCTTAATTTGGTATAGTCTGACATCCAACTCTGCCCCTCAGCTTTGGAACACATTTACCGTCCAGTACAGTACTTGACAGTGACCGGGACGGCGCAAATATATTCCGTATGTAATAGAGAGAACAAGACCGTCAGTAATTCAATCGCCGACTATTAAAATTCCACGATCCATGGACTCTTTGTGCTCATTTCTGGACCAGAAGCTTGGGTGACGTGTTGACCTGAGTTATGTACATTCACATCACCCTCGCAATTACGATAACGGATGTTAAAACTTAGATACTTCTACAACTTAATAGCCATGAAGGTGTCTACCGTTGCGAGCGTTGAGTATACCTAGGGATAATCCATTATTGCAACCTTTTTCGATACATACAGCATCGAGACTTGGTAACAGGGGTCAAATGTATCTGTTTAGCTTACCTTCGCAGTGCATATGCCGATGAAGCTGACCTCCATCACACCAGTCGTGCATGTATGAACGACGACGTTGAACCCCGCAATGAGCGTTTCTGGATATGTCAGAACAAATCAAACTTAACGATCTGGATTACAGGACGAAAGATATATCTGCGCAGGACCCCTACGGTATAGGGCTGGAGGCGAATTTGTCTACGCTGCGGGTGGACTCGTGCGACGTATGATGCAAGGAGGCACACATTGACGGGACGAGTTTTGCGAAGTAAAGAAAGACTAACCCTTTGTCACGATTACTCTATGTGCTAGGCTGCTTGATGACAGAAAAAGGCTGTAAAGTCTGAGGCAGGAAACCTATGTTTCCGCTAACATACCATCGCGGATAAGAGCATCATGATACACGCAGGAATTGCAACTGAACCAGGACGGAGTTACTGACTAACAATTCAAATTAGCCCGTATTTTGTTAATCACCGAGGCCGGTGAGCAACGTCAAATGTCCGGGACTGTAACCCCGACTCCGTACAAATAGCGAGCGGGGAATTCTCAAGACCGAATTTCACAATCGCTGGCCACGGGCATGGACCACCTGATTGATTAATACAAGTGACAGCATCCTCTTTGGGTGGTCCAGACTCCAGATGTGGTCGCACCCTGCGGATTGTGCACGGAGAAAACGCGTTATCAATCTCACGACACAGCTTATCAGATGGACAAAGCAAGCGGCACGTCACATGGATGTTGACAAATCATTCAAGTTGTCGGTATCCCAACGCCGGTTTCGCCGGACGTACCCCGAATTCATTACCCTCAAGAGTCTTATTAACTATCGCTGTCATTTCATTTGGCCAGTCAGCAATCGATCAACACTGTTAGGGTCGAGACTACAGTGCAGCTACGGAGTTGAATTCCGGGGGACCGTTTGCCGGATAAATCGCTGCTCCATATGAATGACGACGATGATTCGCCTCGGCATGTCATAGCCCGATTAGTAATGGATGTAGGTGCATGCATCTTATCAGATGCAGACTAGTCCTGGTCCCCTGTCGCAAACTGTCTTTCCTCTTCACAATATGACAGGCTTATTTAAGACTTTTGCCTCGTTATTTCGAACAAGAGAAAACGGTACACAGGAAGTGAGATCTAAAGCCAGAGAAAATGAGAAAATGATCCAACAATGAAAACCGAAAGTACAAGAAAGTCAATGAAAGTTAAACATCATAAGCATTCAATCAGTAAAAAAGAAGTGGGAGATTGTGGGTCCTGCATCTGTCTCTTTCTTCTCCGAGGAGTACCGAGCTAATAAAGACGTAATGGCCGAGCAATCCAAGCTTAGTGATTGGTTTGGCTCAGGCCCACACCACCGTGAACATGCCCGAAATCGCCATTCTCCTCAAGTCCCGCCCGCAAAACGAAGCAGCATCTTTTTTCTGAGCCCCAGACTTCAATCTCATTCCTTCCCTCCGTCATCGCTTTTCGCCTCCCAACATTTCAACTTTGATCTTGCATCATCTAAATCACTTACCTCAATCAACTTTCTCTGCGACCTACACACAAACACAAACACTCTTGCAGCATACTACTCAACTGTACTATCGTCGAGCTCAATATAACGCCCACCTTATAAAACAACACCCATATTCACAATGTTCGCCCGAGGAATCCGCGCTGTCTCCCGGCGAGCCGCTCTCGCTGCTCCTCTCGCCCGCCCTACTATCCTCCCCGCTTCTCGACAGATTGCTCCCGCTGTTGCCGTCAACGCCTCGCGCTCTTACCACGAGAAGGTCCTCGACCACTACTCGCGACCCCGAAATGTTGGCTCCATGAACAAGAAGGATGCTGATGTCGGAACTGGTCTTGTCGGTGCCCCCGCTTGCGGCGATGTCATGAAGCTTCAGATCCGTGTCGACCCTGAAACCCAGAAGATTTCCGAGGTCAAGTTCAAGACATTCGGATGTGGTTCCGCTATCGCCTCCAGTAGCTATCTCACTGAGCTCGTCCGCGGCATGAGCCTGGATGATGCTGGTAAGGTCAAGAACACCGAGATTGCTAAGGAGCTTTGCTTGCCTCCTGTTAAGCGTATGTCATCCCCATCTCAGGTCGCTGAACTGCGGCATATTGCATATTTTGATGCTAACTCTGATATAGTGCACTGCTCCATGTTGGCTGAGGATGCTATCAAGTCAGCTATCTCCGACTACTATACCAAGAACCCCAACGCCAAGGTCAGCAACCTCAGCGGTACTGGCATGAAGCTTCCCGAGGCCGATGCCCCCGCTGCCGCCACTGCTTAAACGTCAAGTCCGCGTCAGATAATCTTACCACACAAAAACGAAAAAAATCACTCATGGCCATCATGCCGTATCACAAATGTTTGGGAAATTAGGAAAATGATACCCTCTTTGAGGCAGGATGGAAGACGCCCTTCGGAATCACACCAAAGGGGGGCATATCTGGATCGGGAGGGGGGGTGAGAATGTGATGGAATGCCACCGTCTGTCTTTCCCTTCCCTAATCCGCGCATTCAACGGGAACAATCTTTAGGAGTATGGGGTTTTGACTTTTACTGCCTGAATCGCAGGGGTTGCGATTGGGCTTATTGGAGAGGAGAGATCAGCGTAGAATGAGATGAACTGTAACAAATAGCTACAAAGCATGAAATGTTAAATCGATTTCGAAATGACATATATGACATGGTCAATATGAGTCAAGTAATGGATGGGTTCCGTTTTGATAAGCAGGACAACAATTCTTTATGAAGATACTTATTAAGAGTTGTATCTCTTGCCGTCAAGAATCCTGACTGCATGTTGCTGACTACCAGCTCTCCTACCACTGCATGCAAAAGTCATGCTCTACTGCTAGACTTCATTATGAGCTCGACAAGACGAACCCGGCAAGGGTAAGTAAGATCTATCCTATGATTGATTCACTGGCTCCTTGCCAGACCCTAGACTGTCGATCCTTCCAGGACATTGATTCACTACTATCCGAGGTACCCATAACAACCCCAGCTGCATTTGCTTGCGAATTCGACATTAAGAGCTACAAGGGTCCATAGCTATAATCATTCATATGCACATCATTTAACTTGCGGCGCCTCATGCAAGGTCCAGTATGTTTCAAGCTTGGTAGCGCGTCAGCATCAGGCCATTTTCCACTATTAGAGAATGAAAAGACGTGCCACCACGTTACATTTCGCGGGGTAGTGGTTCATGAATTGGAACTGGTTCCGAGTGCTTGGTTAAAGGGAATGGTACTTGTGGGGTTCTCAGGGTCTCGATTGCTGGTTTTACTGAAGATCAAGATGAGATTTAGTATAGAGGACGTATGCTCGGTTCGTGTAAGTCAGGCGTATGATGACTGCAATAGCACACGGCTTGAAACAACCTTTTCTCTAACAGGCGTATTACAACTTGTATGAGTGACGATATGCTCTATTACTTCTAATAATTCGCTAACACTATGATGGTTCCCTTTCTATAAAGTTATGTCTATAAATCCCCGCGCAACAGCAACATTCTAAGCAGCGGGTATATGAATGCCATGGAATCCCTGCCCAATAGCAAAGTCAGCCTCTGCCCTTCCCATCTCCTCCATCGTCTTGCCATCCAAGCATAGAATATATGCTGTCTCTGCAACTCCATCTACGATTAAACTGAAAACAATCCCATCATCTTCATCTTTGGCTCCTGGCCTAGGGACAAAGACTGGCTCTCCAGGCGTATGCCCCTCGGGTCCCGTCCATATTAGCGCATCTCCTGTCTTCAGGTCGGTCTTGACTAGTGCGTCGACGACAGTTGTTAGACCGCGTAGCGCAGCGCTGTAGACGTAGCGGTAGGGCTTGCCGACTCTTTGGGGGTGGATAACGGGGAGTTCGCCTGTGTGTGGGCTTGGAATGGCGAGGACTTCTTCTCCTTTGGATTTGAAGGATGTATCAGGCGTAGGCTCTGAAGGCAGGGTGAAGCGATACCTTGTGAGTGTAGGTGCACAATTCTTGTAACGCTCGTTCTCGAACCAGTATTTCTTAGTGGCGTCGTCGCGATCCATGATAACATCGTAGTAAAAGCCCTTGATGATATCCATATTATCGTACTTGGCTAGATCAACGAAGAGATCTGTTCGCTCATTGCCATCTTCTTCCCTGACCTTTTCTTCGAAGGCGTTGATGCTGTGGAAGAAAAAAGCAGCTGGTGTTGAGAAGGTTGCCACAAGCCCCTTTCCATGTCGCCGGTCGATCACAAGCCATTTGCAATCTCTGTTTTTGTCGAAGGGTTTCATGGAATCGATGATGTTTCCTTCCCATTGTGTCTTGAGTCCTCGCCATGCATATTGCGATAGCGGGATGCACAAGATAACATAGTTCTCACTGAGGAAAAAGCTGTGCATGTACGCAGGTGGGGCATTGAGATCAGAAATTGTAGCAAGGATCTCTGTCTCTCCGGAGGCAGCGTCGACGCGGAAGATTCGGTAGGTAGGGACACGACCGAAAGCAAGGTTGAAGTTGAACAAGTCTCCTGAAACGGGATCGCGTTGGGCGTGGGCGCATGAACAGGGACCGTTAAGAGAAGGATGAAGATCGCTTTGTGTGGCTTCTCCTAGGGGTTGTAGAGTAGATGGGTCGATCCGACGTATTCCTGAATAATCTGTCGCAACAAACAGATTACTCGCGCTCACACGATGTCCAAGAGGCCCATTGACGCCGTTTGCTTTCTCATCCACTTCTTCGTCCTCGTCAGCCAAGCCAGGAACGTTAGCCAAAAGGGCAACATTGTGATTCCCCAGCTTTGGCTCAAAGACGGTCATGACTTTTGCAAATATTCCAACACATGGATCGGCCTTTTGTCCAAAAGTCATGCCTGATCGCCATCCTTTCTTCTTCACATCAGCAATCCACTCATCAGCCTGCCGTCTCGACGAGTACCACACTTGTGTCTCACCATCTTCAGAGGCGACTATGTCAAATCGATGGGTCTGCGCGAAGCCATCGAACCAATGTGTAGTGAAGTGTGTTCCGCGAGCTGTGTCTTCTACGCGGCTTTGGCCTGGGCCGGTACGGTAGAGAGTGCCAGCGGCCCACGAGGGGATAGACCCTTTGAGGGTGAGTCGAAGGGGGCCACGATGTTCCTCAAGACGGTCAAACTATATTCGTAAGTTTTTATTTTATTGTTCAGGTTAAAGGGAACTTACGGCTGCTTCGTTGGGCCATGATTTCCATGCTTCAGCGAGGAAGTTTTTGGAAATGTTTGAGGCGTCTTCTTCTTCATGCTCGCGGGTGCGGTGATAAACACCAGGACCGTTGAGCGCCATCGCAACGGTGAACCGAAAATGGAAATCTCAAAAGTAAAATTCCAAGTGAGTTTTGTTTGCCTTGAGTTGAGTTACCCAGGTATGCTTGCTAAGGGACAAATGTATAAGAGCAAGGGCCGTGTTGTAGAAGCATTCCCATGAGGCAACACTGAAATCTTTTGAGAATCCGTTAAGGAAGGAACAAATGCTGTTGGTCTTATACAAACACAGTGCACTTGTTTGTTTGTTTGCTTGCGATATTTCAACAATGCCTCTGCAGTGTTGGTTCGTAGGGCAAACTGAAGTAGACGATAAACCTCCTGCAGTAAAGATGTCGACTAATTCTTCACCGTCGTCATCCAACAAATTAATATTAGGCCCGTTGAAGAATCTTCAACATTATAGGTGGCTTTTAAATATGGATCGTGACTTATAAATAAGAAAATCGCTGTGGTTTATCCTCTAACACTGCCACGGTCGGTTTTCGAAAGTCAATGACGCTACTATACAAAACGAAACCGGATTCCACGCTAGAAAATCCATAGGTAATCATAATACCAAGCCCGGAACATCCGCAGGGAAAAGTGTTCAACAAGTCACATACTGTAGCAAACATGAGAAAAACGCCCGAGGCTAAAGTTAGTGCTTCAATATTTCATGCGCCTTCGCTTCGGATTCGCATAGAAACTATGCGCTTGTGTTGTGTTCCCTCGTAGCAGTGCGGCATCGTTCCGCTCTGCGTTCGCTTCATGGGGCCTATCAGAGGCTGAAAAGGACGAGATCAAGCGTTCAGGTGCGCCATATCGAGTATAGAGGTTTTAATTGCTACTGTGATGCCTGACTTTGAAACACTGGCAACTTGACTTGATGGTGGTGGTTGACAACGAAGCATTGAACTTTGCTGAGATGCACTCATTGCACCTACGATACTGTATCAGCGACAGCAAAACGAACAATTTCGATACAGGAGCTTCGTCTCTCTTTTCTTCTTGTGTCTGTAATTCAAGAGGCGTTCTTTTGTTTCACGACAGGCGGGTTACTGAAGACTCGAACCTCCCGATGGTCACACTCGTGGCTTGGTATTGGCGTTGTTTGTGCTGCGCGCGGATATCGTATGAGATAGGCTATTAGAGCTCGAGGTTGTACCTGGCAATTGACGGTGAGCAAGTCATATGTTTGGACCACGATATCGACAATGTCAACAGGGGGCCATAAAGTCTTCATGTAAGAGAACCACCTGAGTTGAACATTGATCGTGCATTTACCCTGTACTAGGGTAAGCAACTGATTTGGTATCTCGACTGTGCACAATGAAAAGACTTCGTCTATTTAAATGGCTTGGACTGTTCACTCGACTTCCAGGTAAGGAAAACAACAAGTACTCCATCTGAAATCCGGGTTGAAATTGTCAAGTAGAGAGGCTTATACAATAGGTTCTGTACATGCATGATGGATGTTGATGTTGGTTGCCAAACTGCAGGTGCTCCAGGGGTCTCATTCGCTGTAACTCAGTAAAGCAGACACCCTTCTGCATGTGCCCAAATAACCAGTCACACGTGATTCGACAAACATATACACCAACTAACACCATCAATATCACGAATCAAAAAGTTCTTCAAAGACTTTGAAGGAGCTTCCATAATGTCATCTCGTGCATCTGCGCCTACAATACCGGCGCTGAAACAAGCATTTCTTACCAACCAAACTACACTTCTCGCCCAACCTCTTGCTCCATCTCGCTCATGGCAAGCCGCCAACGACGCGTCCGATGAAGCTCTCCCTGAGCGCGTCGTCGAAGACGTCCTTTTTAGCCTCAATCACACTATCCAGCAGCATTGCCGTCGCGTCTATGCCCCACAGGCTAGTCGAAATATCGCCGAGCAGATTGACAGTGTCTACACACAGGATGCGGAGCGCAAAGTAGGAGGCCCGGCTGATACTGAAGGTGGTATAGGTAGAGAGCTTGATCTCAGTAAGTGCTGTTTATATGAAATATCTGAGCGCAAGTCTAACTTGATTCAGCCGATCAAGAGGCCATCGAAGCATTGCCTGCTTCTTGGCATATAGAGAAGGATGTCGAGGACCATCCTATGGAAGTCAAGCGCTACGCGGATGCTGTTAGCCGACTCACTGAACTCAATGACCAACGCAAGCAATTGCGAGAGCAAGTCGCACGTCTGAAGCATCTCCAGACCATTGTAAAGCCCCTGCAGATGACGGACAATGGCGTTGGTATTCAGGAGAATCTCCTTACTCGCAATGGCCCTGTTGAGAAGGAGCTTGAGAAGATGCGCTTCTTGCTGGCAAGAGTCGGTGGTCGCGTACACGCCCTACCCGAAGAAGCTCCTAACGGTGTCTCGAAGGAAATTAGTCTTTCGGAGACTGGTTCCCAGGGCCGGAAGAGGCGTGTCGACCAATTCCTTGCTGATGAAGTGTTCCAATGATGAATGGCAATGAAGCAATACCTTGCCTGTTATTGAGAATAGACTTCGCACATGTCATGAGACGGTGTTAGTGCTGATTTTTATGAGGAAGCGGCTGTGTGCCTTCCTCATTCTCAACATCGCGGGCCACTTTATCTGACCGTATAACTAGTTTATCGTCACGGAGTCAGTTGTTGGATCGCCAAAATCCATGATACACACTCTCCCTACCGCGTGCTAGTATTAGGCGACTCTACAGCTCCTTGCGCGACATCTGTGGATTCTGGGGTCCTTAATACACGCGAAGTTCGGTTATCTCTTACCGAAATGCAATCATTGCAAATTACGGACGTATACCTGATCTTGGTGTAGATCAACGACAACCCTGAAGATAGGACCTTGCTGTTTATCCTTTGTCAATCCATATGGGACATTGACTCCCAGACAGGCATCGGTAGCTCAGTTGGCTTTGCTCATACCTACGCAACGAATTCGGTGCAAGATGTCTTGCGACAATTCTTTGTCTCGATAGGTTGGTGTCTGCGTCACCAGTCCACATCAGTGATGTCGGAGAACCGAGGGAATAGAATATCAATGATATTAAATACAAACACAATAAGCACTCCGCTTACAGTCCATTGTTCTATCCTGGGTTGCCTATGTGCAAGTGTCTCGCTTGCAACAACGCCGATCGATGGTCGTCATTATTTCCAGTCACTGGAGCATGAATCTGAGACATATTCTCCCAACAATCCGACATCATTGACCTAATTTCAGTTGCAATCCAGTCTATATTTATCGTTGTCGTCGATATATGAGAGATTATCACAGTGATTCTCAGATTACCGTTCCGTTCCTATCAACCACTGATGTCAGACCCCAACACTCGTACATCTATGAACGGTTTGATAGCCACGCCTCATTCGCCATATTTCATCCGATTTGGCTATGGTCTGTCTATTTCGGTATAATGTGTTGTGATCAGTCCCAATGAATTGCCCTCCGTGTTACCACTGATTCACAAATTGACCTATGCTTTCGGCTCTTCGTCGAGACTCTGTCCAGCCTTGCTGCACCACTTTACCCTTCTGGTAACGAATCACAGAACCTCTAAACTAACGATTCTTCCTCATAAACTACCTATGACAGACTATATGCCAAGCCGACGTGTTCTGTTGGTCTGATCAGATAACCGAAGATGTACAAGCTCAACGACAGAACCAACACTGAAGCCTGAGCCTTGCCTAGAACCGTCCAATTAAACGTGTTACAGCTCAAGTACATATCTGCATTTGTATCAGTGGCTTGGTGGCTCGCTATTGCAATGCATGTATGTAAGTGACTATCACCAACTCATCACACAATGGCGTCGCCGATCCATCTTGATTGAATGAAATGCTTTAGATTGGGAATCTATTCAGCCTGTTTACGGTGGATGTTGTCGGTGAATCTATTCGCGAGCTAGATAGACTGGCCATAAATAGAGGCAGTGGTATATCTCTTACGGGTTGGAATAACTACCAGTCATTCTTATTCGTATATCTATAACGAACATCACTATGGAAAGTGCGCAAACTTCATCTTTTCCCACACGTCTTCAGCGGATATACCGTACTGTGGGCTTCACCAAAGGTTACAACTTCATCCTTTGGTTCCTCTTTGGCGGAGGATTCCTAGCCTTTGCAATCTCTCGCTTCATATATCTCGACTTTGACGGCCAACTATGTCCTAGTGAACCACCAACAGGTCGGATATACGGCTCCAAGGGAGCGGTTCCTGGCGAGTGCTACTACTACCGACGTGGGATCGCCAAGGCGGGTATCATCATGCATCTAGCTGGAATCCTTCCCGCTGCCGTGTTAGTCGTCTTTCAGTTCATCCCTGTTATTCGGCACCGAGCTCTCTTAGTTCATCGGATCAACGGCTATGTAGTTCTCCTCCTCTCAACGGTTGGGATGATTGGGGTGTTCATGATCGCGAGACACACCTTTGGTGGAACTTTAGAGATGCAGACTGTGACTGATGCTGCGAGCATCATGTTCATCGCGTGCATGGTTCTGGCTTACATCAACGTCAAGAGACTTCAGCTAGAGCAGCATCGTGCATGGATGTTACGAGGCTGGATAATTGTAAGTGCCTGGCTGATCCTTGTTTCGAAAGGGGTAGTAGCTGACAACCAAAGGCCGGACATATCATCACCATGAGAGCCATATCAGCTGCAATGGCCCAAATCGCCAGTCACACAGGTCTCTACCACACTGTGACTTCCTGCGCAGTCCTAGACTCTATGTTCTATCACAACAAGCCCGCTGTCGAGGCCTTGTACCCGCAGTGTGTGGGTTTCTACACAGGCGAAACCCCAGACCAACGAGTCATTACCGAAGGGATCCCTGGCGAGCGTCCAGATTTAATCGCTGCTAGACTGAATAGCGCTTTTGGAGCTAGTGCGTGGCTCGCTCTTCTTCTCCATGTTATAGCCGCAGAGATCTATCTACGCCTTACCCCTGCTGAAGCGGAGAGGTTGCGCAAGGTTTCTTATAGAAGACAGATGGAAGCGGGCATGAAAGATCCTGGAAACTCAGGATTGACGGCGCAGAGATTAGGAGATGCTGAGCCTTGGGTATGTCCTGATGATGGCGAGATTTGTAGTGAAGTGGTGGATTCTAGGCATACGAGTGGGAGTCATGAGTTGCCGCATGATAAGTCCTAGGACTCTATTGAGTGAAATGGGAGCTTTGGTTATATGGTTATAATAGTTGGGATTGTATGTATCGTACCTACACAACACGCTTGTCTGTTTCACTACACGAGCCCGGCAATGACTGTTTTGATGGTATTCCCAGAATCTTGTCAACCATACTCTCTACTTATAGCACGCTAAGCTTATATCAACTACAATAACTTCAGCTCGCTTTTACGAAATAGCTCGAGTCCATATAACAACTCTTTCTATGTGATTAATGTGTTCCTGCCACGGTCAAAACAGCCTGACTGTCAGTGATCGAGTACCAGATGGTAAAACCCAACATTCACATCTCAGGTATAGGGTAAGCTCAACCAAGATGCACAACAACTTCACTTGACACGGAGATATTGACCGGATATGCAGGCCAAGACACGATTACGAAGAGGCAACTGACTTCAACGTCAGCTGTTTCATGTTTCGGTGTTATCCCAACTGTTTGGGGACCAAGAAGCTTCGTTCTAATTCCATATTGGCCGCCACAGTGAGTAGCCGGAACTCTCGCTCCAGAGCCGCGCCACGCCGCGGAGCATAGTTGAAACCAGTTTTGACTAACGCTATTGGCTGCCACCTCGGAAACCCCTAGGATAACATGGACGATGGAGATGGCTAGACTAGGTTTAGCAACGACGGCGAGACATGACAGAAATGGCTAAACATGCCCACTACGATATGGGTCGAAAGGAATCACAGAGCCACAAACTCCACTGAACTTTGATTCTGACGAGATGACCGTACCCGTTCAGGCGGGTGTCAGAAGAAATGTCCCCCAAGACTTAGGCTACAGAAATAAAGTAGCCTAAATGCTGGCCTAAGCTGGCATAAGGTGATCAAATTATTTCGTCTCTTATGCTCCGGGGGCCAATTCTTATGACACCCTGAGGCCGTTTTCCTTCTACTCACATACCAACCCAGGGATCAGGAAATGCACCTAGGTAATCGCTAAGGGAGATAGACGGACTATTGGGCGCTAACACTACGTTCCTGGAAAGGGGCCCCGGAGCAGCTGGATAGTGGTGTTAGCTACCTTAGGGCTTAGTCGATGGAGTATATCAGTTGATCAAGTATTAGCTACATAACTATCGCACGATAACTGTAGAAGAGGTGGACAGACCGACGGACGAACGGATGACACCGCCAGAGGTGAGATATGAGATTATTTCAAGGTAAAGGTTGGTTGTTGCTGTCAAAGCGCAACTTTTCTAGGTCAAAGAGTGAGTAGGATAGATAAGTCACCGAATAGAAAGAGACGCCTGAAGCGATGGAAAATGCGAATTGGGATTGGGTTGAGGTTGTGGGGGTACAGAAATGATCTACAGGGGATCAGGTAGATGGAGGTGGGATGTAACGGTAAGTAGTGCGTTGTGCTGTGTTGTGCTGTATCGAATCTACCTACGTATCTGTCTATCTACTAACTGACTGGGCGTGTAAGCTGGCTGGAGTTGGGTCGAATTGAATGACATTGCATGACTTTAGAGGCGGTGTCGTAGTCGTAGTCAAAGCAAGAGTTAAGAGTCATAGTTGACTTGGCTTTGCTCATGATCCATCTTGATGATGCATGCGAGTCGTGCCGTCAACCGACATATTGTAGTTAGATGCTGCAGTTGGTAGTAAGTAGTATCTTCAACATGTAGGTATTCGTGTAAAGCAAGATGCCACTCGATAGTACCATGTCAAGTCATGTCAAGTCTGTCAAAGCAGAGCCATAGCTGAAAGAGCCAAGCCACGTTCGCGTACCTGAAGAGGGCTGATAGTGCTATGCTTATAACTTCCAAAACAGGATAAGCGTATCGCGGTAATGAACGGTAGTTGGGAGGTGACGAGCATCGAGGTTCCATGGCATCCATGGCATGGATGGCTGTAGGGATAGTTTGCAGTGTGTGTTTCATGGCAGTTGGGCCTGTAAGCCTCTGTAAAAAGCAAATGCACACGCCCCGCCACACCTGAAAGTTAGGTTTCTTGTCTGCTTTTGGGGTAGAGTTGATGCTTCTAATTGCTATGAGCATGCCCTGCAGCGCATCCATGTATTTTGGTTTCGGCCTTTCCGTTACCCTTCCTGTACGTTGGCAGAGTTCAGACCGTACTCAACCGTCCTCCTGCACTCAATACCGTACACCGAAACCTTCCTGTGGGAATCCATACTCCCAGGAATCATGACGTCAGTTAGTAGCGGCGGTGAGAGTCAACGCGTGATACAGTAGTTGCAGTCTAAGCAGGTAGGGATAACAAATGAGTTATCTCCGTGGTGTTGTATTGCATTGAACTCTAAAATCACATCAGATTAGTGGACCACGACCGTTGAAGTAACACAGAGCTACTGTCATGCTAATAATTTCGACTATTTGTAGTCTAATTCACTGATGTGCGTGCGTGCTTGAGCGCAACGCAGCAAACGCCAAACGAAAACTTGAGCGCAAATTGGTATACATACATATAACAATTACATAGTTATGATCACCAAAAGGCATTAAAACAAGGTGGACATCTTTCGGTGGGGGCTCTATGATGATGGAGGGGAAAAGAAACCCCGCCTTCAAGACATCATCGCTTCAGTTCCCTCTTATAACTGCCGACATGTTGATAGCTTCCTGTTGCATCTAAAGTGACCAGAAACAACCTCAAAATAGTCCTCAACAAACACAATGGCTCCTATTGGCGTAGCATTGATTGGCGGTGGCCTGTTTGCCAAGCAGGCACACATGGTGCGAAATCCCCAGTCTGATCCAGTTATGTATGCAAGAATGCTGAATGGTCTCTCTCTCCTAGCCTGCCATTATGAAAGCGGATAACATCGCTCTCAAGGCTATTTACTCGCGCTCTCTCAAGTCTGCACAGGAGACGGCCGCCCTTAACACTCGCGCCGGTGCAAGCCCGGACCTCTACTCGGCCGACTCGGGATCCGGAAAGTCTTTCAACGACGTCTTAGCCCGGGACGACATTGATGCCGTTATAATCGCCCTGCCCATCCCGAGCCAGCCCGAGTACATCGAGGCTGCCCTAGCTGCTGGCAAACATGTCCTTGCCGAGAAGCCTCTCGCCCCTTCTGTTGCTGACGGTAAAAAGTTGATTGACTACTACCGTGGACTGGGAGGCAAGACTACCTTTTCCATTGCCGAAAACTTTAGATACAAGCCTTCCTTCGAGTATGCTGCGAAGGAGGCTGCAAAGCTCGGAGCCCTGCAGCATTTTAGCGTGCGAGTCTTCTTTCTGCTGAGCAAGGACTCTCCATGGTATGGTACAGCATGGCGTGCAAAACCCGAGTTTCAAGGTTAGTTTAGCAAGAGGTTCCCTCAATGTTGTTGATCTAACAGTTCCAAGGCGGGTTTCTGCTCGATGGTGGCGTGCACTTTGTTGCAGCGATGAGGCAGCTTCTCAAAGAGCCTGCAGCCGACGTGTCAGCTTTCACCTCGCAGGCGCAGCCACATCTAGCACCCGTTGATACGGTGAATGCGGTAATCCGGCTTAAGAGCGGTGTAAGCGGCACATATCAGCAGTCGTGTGGTACCAAGATGAGCACATCGGTATTCCAGTTTGGCTATGAGAAGGGTTCGGTCGTGGTTGACGGAGACAAGGTCACTGTAACGCCGTGGGATGGCGAGCAGACCGTCAAGGAGTTCGAGAGGACGAGCGGTGTGGACCAGGAGATTGAGGCCTGGGCAAATGCGTTGGTTGAGGGAAAGCCAGATAAGAGGCAGAGCGTGGAGGAGGCATTGGCTGATCTCGAACTATTGGAGATGATGTTTAAGAGCGGATCTGATGGAGGTGCAGCCAAGAAGTATCAGCATCAGTTTTAAGGTAAGATGGACGTTGGTGGTGTAGCACATACAGATAATAGGAAGGATGGATATAGGTAGTGGGCAGTGGAATAGAATACACGTGTTACACTGTTGTACTATATACCGAGACAAAATCCATAGAAACGAGATACGTTAAAATCACATGTTTTCAATGGAGTGCCTTATATACAATGCCCTCAGCATTGACCTTCCATTCTTTATGAGTTACAAGTGGCATGAATCAGTCAGTGGGTGCTGTAGTTTAATTTACGGAGATAGCAGTTATCAACTAAAGCCACTAGCGAGGACCCTGCCCGTGCTGCTGTCCACTCACTGCGGATCGTCCAGACTACTACTTCACTAATTAATCAAGGTATAACAATTTGAGCATTACAGCTTTGATTTTGCTTGATCCTCAGTTTTGACATCAACAACCAACTTCTCAAGTTCCTGGCGGAGCGTTTGCGCCATACCGTCTTTGAGTGGCCGGTTCGTTTCACGATCGACATAGACCTGTACAAATTCCCCTACAGCTTTCACCTCATCCACCCCCTTCTCAAAGAGTGCGGTCTCGTAGGTGACGCTGGATCGTCCAAGCTTGTTCACGCGCAGGGCAAGCTCGGCAACGGCAGGGTACGCGATAGACGAAAAGAAGTCGGTGTGGGTGTGTACACACATACCAAACTGAGGTGCTGTTGGAGGATGGAGACCGCAATTCTCGATGAGGTATGCGTTAATGATGGAGTCGAATCTATGAACGTAGGTGTTAATTGAGTTAAGCCCGCGAAAAGCATATTACTAGGATTCGGCGTAGATTGCCACTTACAAAAAATTGTAAACTGAGTTGTTCATGTGGTCATACATGTCGTTATCGTTCCTATTGGCAGACAAAGAGTTAGCCTCCATGTTGATACAGCACTGTAGCCCTTCCATTCCTCCTTGCTATGGTGAATGTCACTGTGCAGAAGATGAATTCCCTATTTGGCAAGTATTTGGTCCATTGACAAGATCGTTATAGTCCGGAGCAAAAGATGCGGCTCGGCAGCTTGGGGGAGGATAAAGAGTTTCAGCTTCCAAATGGATGCGGTAATGTAATGAGGCGTGCCTCAACTCAAATCAACTCACCATCGCGTGCGATACTCCAGGAAGAAACGATAGTCAGATCTTTTGCGGGCCTTGAGCTCCGCTGGTGAAAGCTTGTTGCTCATTCCGTAGTAATCCGGGGTAAAGCCTAGAGCAAAGGCAGAATTTGTGTCTCTTGTTCAAACGTTCTCGACCGTGGCTTTGTTATGATACTTTTTTTATGCCTTCGCGCGCCTTGGCTTAGGTAGAGGCGCGGAGTCTATCGGGTATATTGGGAATGTCCAGAGTGAAATGATGATGATCCAGTGCTACAAAGACAGAATCTAGATCCCGGTCCAACGCTTGTGATTGTGAGAATCGATAGTGGATTAACCTAGGAGCTTGCAAAATGCACGCAAGTAAGATGACCTTTTAGTGTAATTGCAGGGCAGTTAGGCAGGACCCTTTGTTCTTCGATGCGGAGAAGCTACCCAAACCTCGAATATCGGGAGACAGCTTCAGAGTGAATTGCTTCAAGAAATGAAATAAAATGAGGTTTAAGATTTAGTGAATTCCAGATTTAGCTGGATGAGCTCCCGAGGTTGCTATAATAGTAGTCCAACCCAAAAGGGAAAAGCCGAGGTTTAAGTTGAGGCCTATGATCGCCCTTTTTTATGCTCGTCCAGCCATCCAGTGCATCATTAGGGACTCAGATAGGGAGCTTTTAGCGGAGGATTTGCTTAATCTTTGGGGCCTAGGAGCCATGGAAGCTCGAGCCTACAAATCGCCCGTCTGGAGGCCCGACGACCCGAAAGTTCCACATACCTAAAGGACCGATGCCCAGGTAAAGAAAGGTAGAGATGGACCTCTCCGCACACATAGCCAAGAGAGTGAGTGAGTGCTGTAGGAGGCCTAACTTGGATTAATTACAAAAGGATCGAGTATATGCAACCAGTGTGTCAAGGCAACGTGGAATAGCTCCAAGGTGCCTAGTCTCCCTAGACATTGATAAACTCTAGACTTGAGATCATTGGATGGAGGGATCTTGAAACCATTGGATCCATGCATCTGCCATCCCGGACAGGTCGCGGCTTTACCCAACCTTCAGAGCCTTTCCAGGGTCTTGCTTGCTTGATGGCCCACCAAAAACGGCCAGACCGCCCAAGAAATGCTTGCCCAAACTGGACGAGGGGTCATTCCTGCCATAAGTCACCGCTCGTTACTGCCGTTACTAGATACCTAAAATTAAACCCACAGAAATGGAAAGAATGTGTATTGGGTGCAATCATCGCAATTCATGCCAACCTGTAACATTTGAGCAGGAAGGAGACCAAGAGCTAAGGCAGGATAAGACATTTACACTTACTGTACTGTACCTGCCCTTTCTAGGGAGTCTCGCTGATCCCTGGTCCCACGCAACTGCAAAAGAACCCTCGTCTGAGTTCGTCACAAATCAACGTCGTTTTTTTCTTTTCTTCTTGTGCCGCCTGCCGCCGCAAAAGCGCCGCAACCATCACTCAACTGCAGCTGAGGAATGAGGGCTGCTCTTCGCCTCGGCCCGCACTCCTCCGCATTACACCTACGTAGATCAAGGCCCTTGCCTAGAACCTCTTCCCTACCCCCTCGTCAAAAACGCCCCTTCGCCATGGCCTCGTCCTCTTCAAAGCCTGAGGCTTCACCCTCGGATGAGCACATCTTTGCAAATGCTTTCCAGGATCTCGATATCCAGGGCGAAAATGGTCTCACACCGAGCCAAGGCCCAATCCAGCCAACCTCCGGCCCATCACTAACAGCTACCACAACCACTACCAATAACAACAATACACAACAACAACAGCAAAATCCTAGACGGCCTAAGCAAAAGAAGAAGCAGGATCCGCCCAAGGTCTCGGATCCGGATGAGCCCCTTATCACTCCGGTGGGAGATCCGTGGCCCCGGCCCTACCACTTTGAAGGCGATGGGCTGCGTCGGGTATTACCATACCACTACACTTACAATACCCACTGCAAGGAGAGATGGCGTAACAGACCCCTTCTCGAGATCTATGAATCTGAGTTTAGGGACCGACCGCTCGACTACTATCGGGAGTCTATGATACGGGGGAAAATCTTTGTCAACGGTCGCCGCGTCGGACCCGATTATATTCTTCGCAACGGTGACCTCATCTCTCATACCCTGCACCGTCATGAACCTCCGGTCACTGAGGACCCTGTGCAGATCATTCATGAGGATGAAGATATGATTGTCATCAATAAACCTGCTGGCGTTCCTGTTCATCCCGCTGGTCGATACAACTTCAATTCGGTTGTCGAGATCATGAAGTCAGACCGCGGTCCGGCATTCTTGCCATACCTCTGCAACCGTCTGGACCGCCTCACAAGCGGCATCATGTTTATTGCAAAGAATCCAACTGCTGCGGAGGCGTTGGGCATCAAGATCAAGGATCGCACAGTAAGGAAGGAATACATCGCTCGGGTAATGGGCGAGTTTCCTGATGGTGAGGTCGTTTGCGATCAACCTATCTTGCAGATATCCCCTAAACTGGGTCTCAACCGAGTACGTGCCAATGGCAAGACCGCGCGGACTGTTTTCAAGAAACTAGCGTACTATCCAGCAGACCAAGATGAGGTTGTAGACGAACGTCCCAAGACACCTGAACAGCTTCAAGATGAGAAGCATCGCCCTTGGATAAATAAGAAGGGCTACTCGATTGTTCGCTGTCTTCCCGTAACAGGCCGCACCCATCAGTTGCGTGTCCACCTTCAACATCTGGGTCATCCTATTCAAAATGACCCTATTTATGCTAACCGGCGAGTCTGGGGCATGGAGCTTGGTCAAAACGATGCCGATGCGACGCAGAACACGGACGAAGACATCGTCAGTCGGCTGTCTCGGATGGGCAAAGACGAAGTGGCCGAAGCCGTCGCTTACTACGACGCTATGGTGGATAAGTATGAAGAGAAGAGGGCCGAGAAGCTGACAGGCGACCTCTGCGACGTATGCCAGACACCTTTGTACTCGGACCCTGGCAGTCATGAGCTGTCTCTGTGGCTCCACAGTCTTCGATATGAAGACGCAGGAGGCAGCTGGTCTTATGTCAGCCCTCTGCCTCGATGGGCTCTACCACCAGAGGGAATGAGTGGTCCAACATCGGTCGGTGGTATGGAGGAATTGGTCGAGGCCGTCAAAGATGAGAATCCCGAGATATCATGAGAATCTTCATTCCGTACAAACAAGCATTGCACTACCACAGATATCTACATACTGCCACTACAGTGGACCACGCCACCAAAATAGAGTGGTTGTAACTCGTAGATACAGACATACACAGCTGAAGACGCTCAACGCAACGCATCTCGGATAAGAGACGCTATGCTGCCGAACCTATCATACCATAGACTGCGAGAGAGCTCGAGCCAGGATCCGATATCTGGGACATACTGTGGATCTACTATGCATGACCAGGGGTCGTTGATCCCCGTCAGTAATATAGGCTGGCTATTACTATTTGGCGTGCACATGAACTTCCTAGACCAGACAGGAGGCAGAGACAGGATAGGGCTTGCTCTTGAGTCTTGAGTAATTGGTTTACCGAACAAAGCCCCATGGATATTGTGATCCTCAATAATCGAACAGATACCTGCGTTTGCCAGTGGCGTTTGAAGTCCCCTTCGCCCGGGCGCATAGTGCTCTCTTTCCTTGAGACAAAGTCAAAAGACTCAGACAACTCGGTGAGAGTTACGAAGACACTTAATGACAAGTCACTAGAGGCTCCGTTATTAAGACGAGGGGCGCATCGAAGCGAACAGGATGGAGACCTGATCCTCATGTCGGGGCTCCCTATGCTCTGGCCGGTGCGGATACCCAGGGCCCAAAACCAATGGTCTTTGAAGACTAGCTGGACCCAAACAGGTGTTGTCGTGTTTGATGGACCAATACGGAGGCTGTCGCCGTAAAGGCTCTCAATGCATTCCGCAGTCAATCTAATACCAGAAGATTTGGAATGGAAAAAGGGTTCCGTCGTCCAACACGATGCTTCCGCCAAGACTTGTGTCGCCTAACGAACAGGAGACGAGGCTTGCAGTCGATGACTTTTCTAAACAACGACTTCGAGAATAGCTTGAGATAAGCTTGATTGTGAGATGAACGTACAGCTCGAGGCCCAGGGCCAGACCCCTGGTCGCGCAGCTAGACAATTTGCATGCTGATAGATTATGGTGAGGGGACAACCAAACAAGCGCTCTTGATTCGGACTCCAATTTTCAGACCCAAACGAAGTAGGTCATGGGGTTTCTGTAGATCACCACAGGGATCTTGGGTCGAAGATTGATTACTGCAATAAACACGGCTATACCGCGTGAAGCCTCACTGAATCCCTACTGATATTCCAAACTGGAAGGAAAGACGACAAAGGACCCCTGACGGGGTTCGATAGGGCTCATTCTGTTACCCACCAGTTAAAACAAAAGAGATGGTCGAAGCGCATCGGATCACATCACATCAAGCTCCACGAGGCATGGTTCAGTCAACATCGACTTAGAGAGGGGCCCTCTAGGCTCTAGCAGGCCCAGGGAATTGTGGCTTGCACGAGATGGATTGCTGCACGCAAGCAGGCCATGATCGCGCTGCGGGTGGCCCCTGAAAATGGCTTTTTCTCTTTCCATTATCTGGGGTAGGGAAGTGCAGTTCGTGGCTTGAGGAAATAACTTGCTTTTTCCTTCTCTTCTATTCTCCACAGGCTCTCTACCCTTGCCCTCGAATTCAGTTTGGTCAACGGCAGTACCACGGCCCCGGGTCTGAGTTGGTTTTTGGCAATAACTGCGAGGCTTGGCTTGGCGAAAGAAATCTTGCGACAAATCTCGAGATCGAATATTTTTATACAATACGACGCTGGGCAAGGTTCTTGCGAGATTGGGGCTGACGGGAGATGAACTGCTCTAGCCTGGCAGGCCCTGCTGAACAACAAGGAACCCTTCAAGAGAACGTCATTGATGCTACCTAAAGTCGGAGCGACAACTCTGCAGCAGTATACTGTTGCAGAGATGGGTTGAAATGCCGACAAGTGGACTGTCTGTTTGCGCAAGAAAAAAAATCGATTGAACTTTCGATTACCGAGGTATGCTTACCTAGTTAAAATGTGAGACAGAAAGAGAGTTGTGGCGCGATGCCGAAAGGTCTCCGACGCAATTCTGACAACACAGGCTGAAGCGCCTCACAGAATGACGCCATTGGGGGAATGTTTCCTGTGTTGTTCTAGGGTCTGCCATGTTTCGGGGACCACGTTTGGTCTGGCAGAGAAGATTCTTTTTTCCTTCTGAAAGAGGGAGTTGTCCTGCAAGGCGAAACTCAAATGGCACAAATCACCTGTCAGCAGCGGCTCACCACGGCCTTTGCTTTTTAGCAGACTAAAGGTACTTACAGCGCAGTACATCCTTAAAACCGCGCCTGCTGTGCCGCCGCACAGGCGTTGTTAGGCATACAGTAGCCTTTCAGCCCGGAAATGTATTCGTTACTGCAGCTTCTTGCTTTTCCCCGGGGGTTGCGAGCTGCGCTGGCAGCCGTTGGCCCTGTGGCTCTGTGGCCAAACAGAGTGCATATGGCGTCCCCGAGTGAAAGTTTTGTGCTCAGGACGACAACACCTCACCTCAATGGAGGCATAGTATCCGTTGGCGAATTTTACAAACGGCGACTCTTGGTACAGAGGTTGTCAGAAGCACGTACGATGTAGCCAAGTACTGTACAACAGATGCCTTCTAAATAATGCCCCCAGAACAGTACCACACCGGATCTACAAGCAGGATGTATTCTTTTTCCAACTATGGTGGGGAATTCGAGGCACAACACCCACAGCACAGCACAGGGGAAGGAGACATTGGAGCTCCATAGCCATGTGCGTTGGCGTTTGATCTGGGGATTGGCTCTCGACTTGACCGCAAGATGGTCACTACTGTACATTGGACGGACTCGAAGATCAGACAGCGGCCGTGATGATGCCATCTGGGGGCGGTTTGGATCGACGCCGTCGTGTAAAGTAACATTGAAAGTGCGACTCGCCATGCTTTGGCGTGTGCCGTTCCACTTGATGGCAACGCTCCCACGTTTCGAGATGCCTTGATACTGTACTAGTTAGGAGCGCCTCATGGCTCCTCATTTCATGATCAAGGGTGGTTTGCTTTGGCTTCACAGAATGATCCCCCCCTGGCTCCACGTGCTCCACCGCTACACTACAGACCTGGATCCCTCAAGATGTGGGCTTCGACAACCGCAAAGCGCGCTAAGTTGGGAGCCGTCAGTGGCCCCCTCACACCCTGACCCCGACTACGACTACGACGGATATCGGCTAGGGTTCAGAGGACTAAAGTCTATTCTTACAGGGAGCAGCGTCTTAGTGGGGGGCTACTGTAAGGATAGGCTGTCGATTTAATACTGCAGAGTGTCATCGGCCTGGCTTGAGACTTGCTCATTCTTGCACGCTTCTGGGGTTTACAGAGGACGATACGCTACCAGTGACCTTGGGTATCCTCGTCGAGGCTCAAGTTCAAGGACCCATCCATACTCACACCAGTTTTCTGGATATCTACTGAGACAGCACGTATACCCTTGTTGTTATCGACGAGATATACTTGTACCGCGATACTACACTAAACAGAGAAGAGCAACGATATTCAACTTTGAAGACGGCAGAGCAGAGCATGGTATCTTAGCATGCTGTCGAGTAGACCCACCAATGGCTGGCCAGTGACATTTGGATGCGTACTACTACGGAGTAAACTGTAGGGGATTGGAGTTGTCAATCGATTGGTCAGTCCATCAGCCAGGCCAGGCCCATTGGCAAAGCACCGACTGGTACAGCAGAATTGCATTTTGCGGCGTGCTCTTGATGGTGAATTGCAAGCAGAAAGTCGTCTCTTCGATGAATTGGTACCAAAAGATCGAACGCGCAGGGACGGTGACTGTAATTGGCAACGTGCCATCAAGCAGAGAGAGTACCTCGAGCGAGGGCCATTTTGCGATACTTGCCTAAAAGCCAAAGGCCAAAGTCCCCACATCCGTGATAATTCCCAAGCATCCGCGGTCCGGTAGACGGGGCCTCTACCTGTTGCAGACAAGAAGGTGAGCGGTAACGGGTACAGTAGTGGCCTTGAGCTCAGCTCAGCGCAGGACAAAGGGTCCGAGAGCTTCTTGTGGAGCGTCTATCAATCTTGGAACCACGAGGAAGAGACCCGCTGAGATTTGTGTACTAATTTTCTAATGCTCAAGAAGAATGAGGGGTGGAGGAATTGGATCAAAGCAGGATCAGGCCAGGTCCAGTCAGGCCAGACTAGACCAGACCAGAGTCTACTGGATATCTTCTGGTCTATTGCTGCTTGTTGTTTAATGAGCCCAGCAACTAGACGCTCCATACTATGCAACGGTATGGGCAGCCTCTGCTACACATAGTCGAGGTCCCGCCTATGTCTCTGGAGTTGGAATATAACACTGTACGTTGGTGTAAGAGACAGGGAAAACAGTGCAAGTCTCGCGAAACAAGGACAAGCCACCCCGGACTCAGACACACAAAACAAGAGAGGGTAGGCAGGATAGGAGCAGGAGCAGGAGTACACGCCTCAGGTCCTCAGTACAAGCTCCAAGTACTCGTCAACCCAGGTGAAAGCGTGGCGCACCGGACCGCGCGCCAACACCAACGCCAGCACCAGTACTGTTTTGAACCAGAAAGACCCATGCGCGGTACGTATCCCAAGTAGCCTTACCTTGCCCCGAGGAGCCATCAGCCGGACCAACGCTAACACTAAGTGAGAAGAGAACGGGGCACACGCTACAGGGGTCTGTCTAGAGAAAGGGTCTGAAGGGTCTGCCACTACAGCATCTGTCAGTACGTACTGGAACAGTACTGAACGAGGTAGGTTGTGGCACCCTCCGGTGCGCAGCGATGCATTGCTATACGTACACCACCCGTTCCAGGGCGAAGAAAAGAAAAATGATGGTTCTCGCGCCAGATGAAAATGGTTATAAACAACACACCCTGGCCCACGTCGATCAACCTCTAGTAGCAGCTAGGTCGATCTCCAATGCGAACACTTACTTGCACGACCTTGGACTTAAAGACGACGAGTACTCCACAGACATCAACAGTTATTACCTTCATCTCATCTCATCTCAACTCAATCATCTAAATACCCTCTCAGGACCCTCCTCGACTTTACAAGTTTCCCTCCTTGTCACCTTGCACTATCTTACCTTGTCAACTACTTGTATACCTTATCCATAACATACAAGTCTTGGCCTTCATATTTACCCACATCCTCGCCCACATCAACACTCAGACTTATCGACTTGACATGATCGCATCGCTCTCGTCGTCGCCGATCACGTCCATGCCTTACTCAACCTCCCCCGACTCTCACATTCACAACACCGACAACATGGTTCGATCATCTTCAGCAGAGCCCGCAAAGAGCTCCAAGCGAAAGGGTATGTGACATCAGCTACACGGGATATGAGCAGCACCCGAAGCAGCAACCAGCCCAAATCCAGATCAGCAACACTAACACTCAGTGGCAACAGGCACCCGAAGCGTTTCTACACTCACACCTTCACAGCTTGCGCGCAAGAGAGCCAACGACCGAGAGGCTCAGCGAGCTATCAGGGCGCGAACCAAGGAGCACATTGACCGTCTGGAGCGCGAGCTGGAGGAACTCAAGAGCAAGCAGAGCCGTGACCAAACTGTCCAGGAGCTTTTGCGACGGAATCAGGCGCTTGAGGAGGAACTGATGCGACTCAAGGAGAACATGGGCGTCTCGATGACCTCCTCGCCTTACTCTGCACCTGGTACGACTCTCTCAGTCACGATTCCATGCTCTGCCTCTTCACCAACCTCCAACGGTATACTGACTGCTCCCTCAGTATACGACGATAACCTTAGCTCCGGCAGTGGCGCCATTCCCAGTCCTCGTGGCTCCCCCTTCCCCTCTGGCGACTACAGCCCCATCCCGGATTATGGACAGCAATATGTTCCCCTTCCCAACAACTGCGAGTCATGGGCCAGCACAGTTCCCTGCCCTGTCCCCTCAAACGTCTCAAGCCCTTCCTCATCTGCCGATGATTACAGCGCCGGTTACATTCCTACGAGTGTTCCTTCTTCGATGCTGCCCTCGAACAACACCAGCTCATCAAACATTAGCGCCGTTGGCCACAGCCAAAAGGACGTTATCAAGATGGAGTATGAGGATGTTGACTCTCACGGTAAGATTCCCCAACCCCAGCTGCACCATATATCACCAGAACAGAGGACTAATCACACTCAGTATCTAGACGCCGGATACCGCCTCAGCAACCCTTCTCTGCAGTCCGTGTCTCCCCATGCCTACATGGCTCAACACCAGCAGCCCGCTTGGAACATGTATCCCGTCTACTACCCCCAGGCCCAATCCTCGGTCCACTGAAGGACCAAACCCAGCCGGGTGCCTCCTGGCCGGTGCCCGTTCTGACCACTCCGCCAGCCTGTCGCTTCGATGAGCTTTTGGTCGGCTTTCTACAAGACTGTCGCCGGATGACTACAGCCACGTCGCTAGCTCATACTTTGGGCCCTGCCCGGGTAGACGTGCGATCTGTTTTTCGCAGCCATGACAGCCAAGGCCAGCTTGTCTGCTCGCCCCACCCCATTACCGACCTCATTCGCAATCTCATAGATACTGCGGGCATGACACGGCTTATCGAGCGCATTGCCATATTTGCGCCCTTTCAAGCTATGATATGCTGGCTTGTGCAGCCCACATCAGAGAGGCGCGCGCGTCTGTGCAACGATTACGTGCCGCGAGAGTGCCAGGCGACAATTCCACACCCTCAATGGCTCGATCTGCTCCACTGGGGCTCTTTGCGCGAAGTGGCTATGAAGCGACAGGATCTTTACGCTACGGATGAGTTCCAGAGGGTCTACTTCGATGCGCTGCGCCTTGTCAACTGGCCCTACCAACCGCTAGAGAGTCTAGTTACAGATTCACAGACGGGGCATGTTGGGCTCACGGACACTCTAATGGCCCATGCCATGAACGGGGCCAGTTGGTGCCTCAATGAGACCTTTGCGCAACGGTACCCTGAGCTATCAGGCTTAGTGGTATTAGAGCAGAGCTATCTTTGACCTCCCTCCCCTGACTACGCCTTACTACACACAACACACACACACTACTACTATCAGCTCCTTCATTTTTCACATGATCGAGATCTGATCATGACTTGTATCATTCTCATAATGACAAAATCATACGCTGAAGCATGACTCTGTGGGTGAACACGGCACCACATTGTCGATCCATAAAAAAAAACAAAGCTTACCGCTGGAACTCTCCGCCGCGGCAAGTCTCCATCTTGCTTCAGCAACGTCGATCATCCCACCCATACCTTGATCCTCGTTGCTTCGGGTTGGCTACATCATAATCATCATGATTCCTTCCCTTCCCCTCGACCCAAAAAAAATCATATTCAAGGCATGACGTGAAACTTGGAGGAGGAAGTTAACCCCACTTTCTAACGGCCATTACTATTACTTACTGTATTGTAACTTTGGAGGAGTTTTTTTTTTTGTTTATTTTTGGTACACACTCAACTACATGATGGACGGAGGCGTGCAATTGGGAACATATATGCATTGGGATATCTACTTGGACAATTGGGCGATACGGGTTTTTTCGATTAGAGGCGTTGACAAGAACTTTTTGGACATGGTACAAGACAAGATACTGGGCATCGAGATGCGATGACCCTTGTCTATTGCTTAACGAATTAAGATACACACATTGGATTCTACTCTACCTCGACTTGACTTCACTATCTTTTCAGCCTGTGACCTCCTACTCCAATCTCTCTCATATCGATGGTATCTACACTATTACCACTAGCTTCACAGCCCAAAGATGAAAATCCTCTTAGTTTCATTTTACCCCATACATACGTATGTACTCGACCTTGGTTGATGACATTCCAAAACCCTGTATCAGCCCTTGTCCAATTTCGACTGTTGAAGAAGGATGGTCAGTATACTCATGACGAGGCATGGGTGTGTACAATGGACAGTAAGTAAGTACTGTAGCATAGAGGCAGGCATTCAATGGGGGGCCTCGATACGTTTGTTGTTTCCTTTATTCCTGTTCCAGGTTTGTATTTCAAGGACCACGTACTGTAATTACTAAAAAGAATATGAAATTGTCGTATACAAAGCTACGCTGCTACCTGCTACCTTGTACAATCTCCACCGCCATGTTCCCGTCACGCACATGGCTGAAGTTGGGGGAAGTCTGAGGAAGTGTAGGCCTGAGTTGGTCAACTACCAGGGTAGAGAAAAGCATCAGTCAGCTCTTGGAGAAATGCTACCCCTACTTTTGGATGTTGCATGGACTGGGGGGCCTATCAACTAAACCACTAGCGGTATAAGCGTTGGACCGAGATCTATCCTCTTCTCTTTTGAGCAAAGAATTCCTTAGGATATCCACTTTTTCCTTCTCTCGACTTTCAAATCCCCAGCCAAGCAAGCCAAGCCAAGCCCAGCCGCAGCGCAGACAGGCACAACACAACACAACAGACAGGGCAGTGGTAAGTTAGTAGACTGACAGGCGTAGATGCAGCTTTCTTGCCGTTCTGACGTTGAAAGTTTTGGACTGATAAGACCTAAAAAAAAACCTGATACCGTATCGTGAAGAATGTACGGGACGGCATGGTGCTGCAAGCCAAAACTCGCCAGTTTCAATAAACTAAGCAGTATCTGTATGTCTGCCCACCTTGCTTGATTAACACGATATCCAGACATACCGTATGTATGTACCTTTGGCCTGCCGCGGTCGCATTGAGCATGTCATCGCTCGACCCCTTGTGTGTCTCATCTATCATGGAGTTACTGTACTGTAGCAGAGACAACGACCAAAGATGAATGGTAGACATTGAACCGCAAGAATCGCATGTATCGCGACATGAGATACCTTCAGTTTGCCCTTTTGCCTCCCTCCCACCCATGGGAAGAGTTCTCATTGCTCGGATCCGCATGCAGAGGATCTTGAGGATCGTGGCGAAAGGTGCACGGGGAGCACGTGGCCATTCGAAGCTTTTCCATCCTTCTCCTGCAATGACAGCTTGACACATTCTCATACGGCCATGATGCCAATTCTGAACATGGACTTTTGCATTTTGGGTTCCGAGGTAGACACAAAAGTCTAACCGGGTGGTACTGGGAGGTGCCACAGGTGGTCGGGTTCCATCCAATGCCATGCCCTGTCCAATGCCTATATGCCGTGCTCCGTTCTAACTTTCTGTCTGCAAAAGCCGGGTGGCGTTTTGCGGTCTTGAGTACCTAAAACAGTGTCTTGTCCCTACGTCATCCCCCCTCGATGGCCGGAACCTACCCTAACCTTGCCGCACTACGCTGCGCTGCGCTGCGCGTGTCTCTCTCTCGAACTTCGGAGGGTGTCTTCGACGGATGTTCCGTGATTAACAGGCGTCGAATCGCTTTCCGTTCCGGATGTTTTCCTATAAGGGGCTCGGACTTATAGCAAGCAAAAGCAAATACTGGCGGCGGCGATGAGCCTCAGCTCCGTTGAAGATGGACTCGTAATTTTGCACATTTTGATTAGCCCGAATACGGTAGTCTAATTGTAAGACCAAGAGAGACACAGTCGCTCATCTCCCAGTCTCACTGGTTGCAAATCGTAGTAGTAGCGTAGGATGTAGGTCCCTAGGATGGGTCCTCACTTCCAAATGCAAAGTCACAAAGTCGCGCCAGCACTGACGTTGGACATGAAACCTGGTGACAGATGTGATCGGCGGCTATCGCTTCTCCATAGACGCTTCTTCGTTTTGTTCTAGGTTTGAGCCTTTCCTGTACTGAGTATGCACCTCGTCAACTCGGACTGACGCTGCACCGCACCAGTATAGCGTACGGTAAAATCCCGATAAGGCGGTGCGGTACACCGGCACCATCCCGAGTACCTGTCCTTGTCCTTGCTTATGCATGATGTCTTTTCGTTGGGCTTTTGGATGAAAACTTTCTCTTTTTCAGTTTCGCTTCGCGTCGTTAAATTCGGCCTTCCTCTTTGGGATCATGCTACAAATAATTGTAGGTAAAAGAATATCACCTCGACTGGTTTCCGATGAAGGACGCTGCCATGTGCTGTGCTGTGCTGCTCTGCTGCACACCGCAACATCTGACATCCAGTGTGTGCATGGTGATTTACAGATAGCGAATTAGACCAAAGGCTAGAAACCTAGAAGGGGCCTCGAAGGCTATCAAGAACCATGATCGAAGCCAATGCAAGGCAAATCTGCAGGAGGATGGCATCGACACGTTTTGTGTGGATGCAGGTGCATTGGTACTACCGTACTGTAAGCAGGGAGGGTAGGGTACCCAGAGTAGATCGTTTATTCTGTCCAATGAGGGCTGTAATTGTTAGAAAGGCGGTAGCGGCGGGTGAAGGGATTGGAAAGGATAACGGCTCGTGAGAGGCTCAAATGCGATCGAACAAGCTAACTTCGCAATAATGTGGTAACTGTACTAAGAGTACCCGTGGGACCAAGGGGCAGGGTACTGTGCTGTAGGGTCGTAGAGTTTGCGCTAGAAGGATACTGCAGCTTCTGCCACAAAAAGTGCTATCAAAGAATCATCGATAGCCAGGGGGGGCCCATGAGAGGACCATTGGGGTCATGCAGATGCAGATGCAGGAGCAGGAGCAGTGAGACAACCTACGTCAAAAGAAGGTGGAAAGAAGTCGTGCCGAAGAAAGGCGTGTCTCTTGTCTTACTGTGATGGTGTCTTCTCCAGCGTCGATTTCCGTCCTGTTGCCGTTTCTGTCGTGTCGTCCATGCAACCACACAGACACACATGTCTTGATCAGGACTGGCGTTCATCTGATTATGTTGAAGCTGAATTGAAAGATGCCACTTTTTGTACAGTGAATTAATTACCATACGGTAATTACATTACAACGCAAGACTGTTTCGATCCGTTCTTCGTTGGCAGGGCAGGGGAAGGGTGAGACGAGTTACAGTAGGTCGGCCTACGTACTAGCTAAACCGGCGAGATTGAGTTTGCCGCGGTCAGGGGCCATGTTGTACTTGGCCGATCAATTTTGGTTGAGTGGCATTGTCGGTGGGCTTTGGCTTTGGCTGGCTTTCTCTTTATCTGCAATGATGACATCCTTCCCCAGGAACTGGCAACTTGGGATACTGTGAGATGAGAAAAGCGACTATCCTTCGCCAGACACTGCACTGTGCTTTCCAATGCAGATATACGGCGCTGCACCCATGCCAGCGCATCCGTCACAAGATTGCTGTACAGTACAGTACAGTCAATTCTAGTGATATGCCGTAGGCATTTTGATATGGCGATCCGCCTTGAGCCGTTAAAATGATCCTTGATGCACATTACAGGCTTTCTTGTCACGACCCCTGCGCCATGAAAACCGTACCCCCCGTTCACACGGCCAGGGTGCGACGACCAGCCTGGGATTCGAGAACAGGGATTCCGGAGATCATAGCGCTAGTATGGGGCCCTAGAATCGCTCACTAAAACACCAATAACGTCTCGGCAAATAACTCATGCACAGATGCTTTAATTGATGTGCCGCGAGTCAAACGAGAGACGGTGAAATGATATGCACCCAAGCAAAAGCAATAAGCATGTGAAGACGCGCCGAGAGGTAACAGCCGCTGACCCATTGATACCATGATCTTCAATCAGGCTTCAAGTCAGGGTTGAGGTACTGTAGAAAAGTAGCGCAACTTGAGCAGTTGTGTCCAATGTCTTAGCGGAAAGTGGATCGGAAAACTCAACTCGGTCGTCCTTCAGTATCCGTAAGAAAGAAGTTGACGCCAACTAGCCCCATCTATGCAGCGAAACCACGAGGCAAGCATGGATGAGCTGAGCTGGATGGGGCCTCAGGGTACAGAAGAAGTGACAAGACCGATACTGCCCCAAAAGCCCCTGCATCGCACAGATATCAGGACAGCCAAGAGGCTCAAAGCTCACCATTATTTGAGAAACGGAGTTGGACGATCCTCCGCATCTACCCAAGATCATAGACATGCCCCGTTGTGCTGTACTGGGCAACACTGGGGTCATATCCCATACGTAAGAGTTCAAATCGAGGTGAAACCCTCATGTACAGTGCAGTGTCCGTTGTGGCTGGGCTTCCATGTGGCTGGAAGAGTAAACTCCTTCGAGAACCAGTCGTAGAAGGTAATAGAGTTTATTCTTGCAGCATCTGAAATGCTTGACACACGCCCATACCTCTGCATGTCCAACTCAGGCACGTGGCGCGGCTGGGTCAACCAAAGGCAAAAAAGGGGGTCCTTCAAACAAGAAGTATCTCAAGTACTCGATACTCCTGTACCAGAAAACCTCCGTGCGGCAATCCTCACTGCCATCGAAGACAGCACTTCTCAGACTAGAAGGACAGAGTTCGACGGCTGCTGTTTCTCCAGCGGCAAGCCATGTGGACTTGACACGCGTGCACGGCAGGGCTGGGCCGGAAGGACAGACAAGATGCTTGCCCATTCATCTTGTTTCCATACGCTAGCAAGACGTTCATCCTGTTCTCAATCCAGTAACCACATCACGGGTGAGGCGTACACACGTTTTCTCTCACACACCGTGACGGTGAGAAACACCACATGTGGCTGTTGATGCTCCTTGACTGCAGCACTAGCTGGTCGATGGGGCTGTAGTGCCAACGGTATCATTTGGTGTTGACTGGCTGTCTCACTTGTCAACTTTGAGGCGACTTTTGGAGGACATCCCTCCCCTGGGAACAAGCAACCGAGACATGTACAACAGGCAGCCTTTGTCATTTGTTCGGTCATAAGGAGATGAAGATTTTCACTCTGAACATTGAACGCATCTGGCCAAGTTGCGCTATGCTCTGTTCTGTAAGATATGCAAAAGGTTCCTTGGGAGCATATGTGATGATAAGCGTGAACGCCAGGATGCAACCTGGCTTCGTGTTGGAGGGCTTCATTCTGCCAACTCGAGATTGGATGAGAAACACGAGGTCCGCCCAGCGTGACTTAATAGTCTGCAGTATCGACTCTCGAGGCGGTCTGTTGAGCCTTCACTGCCAACAAGAATGTTGGATGTCTCCGAAGATCATCATCACTACGGCAAGCTTTCCCAGTGGTTCATACCAAGTGCCGTCAAATGAGCCTATCTGGCTTATGCTTTACACGTTCAGCTGTGGCTGAAACCCTGATTATCTTTCAATTGTCTGTAGCTGTGATCAATAGCGGCTGGTGCAGTAAAGTAGCCTTGTCCAGGTCAGTCTTAATGGCAAGGTGGATATATAGCTCTTGTTCGCCGTTTTATTTTTCAGTCGCTGGGAGCAGTTCATCCTCAAGCTGGAAGATGCCGAACCGAAATCCCCGAATTACCTCGGGAAGCGCGTTCCGAATTCAACCCGCGATTCCGGGCCTGTTCGGTGGGCTTTTGTTCATTTGCAATATGAAGCTGTGGTCGCCAATCGCTTCAAGGTGCTAATGTGATCTATCATGTCGCTTGATGGCTTTGAACCAAAACTCTTGGCACGCGACGGACTCGGTCGCGAAGAGGACCGGACTGGGGGATATTGATGCTATTCGGCGGCCTTGTGGGACTTGCCGTGGGTCTCAACAGCGTAGTCAAATCAACAAGTCTTGTCAAATTGGACTTGTGTAAGGGCTTGGTTCCGGGTAGAAAGATGCCGGTGCCAAGGCTTTTACAACCATTTCGTGAATGTCGCGTTCGTCACTACAAAGCTGTCCGTCCCATCTTACTGTATTCCTTTAATCTCGAACCCTTACAGAGTCCTGTTCAACTAGCTGCCGTCAACGAGGATAAGCAACACGCCAAGCAACGTGCCAAACGTCGGGTTGCGGATGTATGCAAGCATACTTTCAGATCGACCAGGCGGACCCCATGGCAGCTGGTCTACCTTGGTTTGCACTGTAGTAAGGCAGAAGGCTCAGCCCATCAGCGATCAAACAAGCGTTGCAGTCTAATCATTGTCTGCAACGCAATCTAGAGACCGTTGCCGTCATTTCTTTGCAGACCCTGGATCGCTGGGTCTGAAGTTGCCAGTTATGCATGTCACTTTACACTAGGTCGTCCTCGACCGGGTTTTATCATCGACAGTGAGTCCTAGTGCAGTACGTGGACTGGAGTGGGATTCGGCCATATCACCGTGGCTAGGTTGTTTCTCCCACACCAAGCTGTTGCTCTGGAGAGCTAGACGAGTGAAACTGTTGGGCAGACGGACTGCGCATCTCACGTATCTCACAGAATGCCTGTACAGTAACTGTTACCTGGCCACCTGGCCGAACCAGCCACTGGTGCAGAGTTTTGCCTGCATACATGGCGGTATTAATAAAACTGTCATTTGGGAAGATCTGATGTTGGCGGCAGGCACGGCATATGGCCATTGGTCCCTGCAGAGAAAAGGTTTGGCATCAGTGTCCCTGAAACTATGATGCGCTGGTGCAACATCGGCATGAAAACCGTAAGAACTCGTGCAGTAGGAACGAAAGCCGAATGTCTGTACTGTTGAAACCGGTACTTGGGTGATCTAGGGTATCCAGATTGGATGAGAAACGAATCAAGGTTTCCAGACCAAATTAGTCGATGCCGCGGGGTGATCCGGACCTGTCTAGCCCCACCGTATAGGAACAGAAAGTGTGCCACGGCTGACTCTGATCTACCAGCTTGCAGATGAATGATGCATTGCATCACGAATGTTATCAGTACGTATGCATGACTGCTTGACTACCCATTGCGTATCAGAGAAACAGAAATTGAAGAGCAATCGCGATGCTGGGCGATTAAGGCTCGATGACCGTTCGTGATCGTAAAAAAAGGTTTCTCATCTCGCTGCTCGTCATATGCATCCGCATACTGCGTGAAACACCTTCTCTTCTGACGGACTTGCCGTACAGGCTCCGTGGGTCCCGGATATCTTCCAGGCCGTGTCCGAGATAACCGGTCCGGGTGCAATCGACGCCGTCGAGGTCGAAACGATCGGAGACACTTAGGAAGTGTAACTATTCCCAAAATCTCTCTTTGTCCGCTCCTTTTGTGCAGGACTGGGTAGCTCGATGTGGACCTGCGAAGCTTAGCTCAGCGGGATTTCGCCCCTCCGTCTGTAGAGAATTCAAATGCGTGGTCCTTGCGGCCACGATACCACGGCTCTGGGTGTAAAACGTGTTGGTTCCTGGGTTCCGGGTAGTAAAAAGATCATGGCGGTCCGTTCGGATTACTGATCCCGCGATGGTCTGTGTCTTTCTCTTTGCTGCTAAATCTCGGCCCGTTTATCGATGGATGTAAGCGCGAAGATGGTTGGGTCCAGAATGTGTATCACAGGGGGGAAAAAGAAAGAGAGAGAAGTTGAGTTTAGCAGAATCTTCCTCTATTTGCCTCTCAAGTTCTGATGTCGATGTTGAATTGCCATACTGGCTCTAACCTGGAGACGGCTTTACTTCCGTGTTGTTCCCACCTTCCTTCTTGCTAGTAACCACGTGATCTTGAGCCTGACAGTCACGTGATGATAAATCGCCAGGTCGTTTCTACCGGGTAAGCCCCGGGCTCCAGATGCTGAAACGGTCATATATCGTGATTCTTCAGGAGTCAATTCCTTGTTATTGTAGTTCCCCGCCATTCTGCTGTTCTTCATCCGAGGTTTCTCAGGCGGAATCTCGTCCCGACGAAGCGACGAAGCTGGGATAAGATATGGTTGAGAAGTCATCTTATTGGTCGAGAGTGACGGTTGAACATCGGCTAAGACAGACAAGCTCATCATTCGAGCTGCTGGTATGCGCCTTCGTGGGGCTTCACCAACTAGAGAGTCCGTCTGCCATCATGAGAACAATGTTTTGTGTTCAATTGGTAAATGATGAGCGGAATGAGCTGTTTTCTCACCCGGAGGAGGCTTCTTGATCAGGCAGAATACGAGCCAAGTCACTTGCGGGGTTGATTTTATCCAGGCAAGTCCTTCATCAAGGAGTATTTAGCTTTCAAGGAGAGGTCATTCCTCCCATTAATCGACAAGTTCCTTCATCATTTATAAGTTTTCCGTGACTTGTGCTGTTTTTGAGCACCCAAAATGGCCGATATCAACGTTGAAGATATTCTGAAGAAGCTCTCTTTGGCTGAGAAGGTCTCTCTTCTCGCAGGTTAGCACTACTAGGATATCATCGTATGCGAACTCTCCTTGCTAACTACTTGACAGGTATTGACTTCTGGCACACAAAGGCTCTCCCTGAGCATGGGGTTCCATCTCTTCGTCTTTCAGATGGGCCCAACGGTGTAAGAGGCACCCGTTTCTTCAACGGTATTCCAGCAGCATGCTTCCCTTGCGGTACAGGCCTTGGTGCCACTTTCAACCAAGAGCTTCTGGAAGAAGCGGGAAAGAAGATGGGCGAAGAAGCCATTGGCAAGAGTGCCCATGTTATCCTTGGTCCTACCATCAATATGCAACGATCGCCTCTTGGCGGACGTGGTTTCGAGTCCATCGGTGAGGACCCCTTTCTCGCTGGTCTCGGTGCTGCTGCTCTTGTCCGTGGAATTCAGAGCACAGGTGTCCAGTCGACTATTAAGCACTTTGTTTGCAATGACCAAGAGCATAAGCGTATGAGTGTCCAGGCCATCATCACTGAACGTGCTCTCCGCGAGATCTACGCTCTTCCATTCCAGCTTGTCGTGCGTGACTCCCAGCCCGGTGCTTTCATGACATCTTACAACGGAGTAAATGGAACTTCTTGCAGTGAGAGCCAGAAGTTGTTAAAAGACATGCTACGAGGTGAATGGGGCTGGGAGGGTCTGATCATGAGTGACTGGTATGGTACCTACAGTGTTACAGATGCCATCAAAGCCGGTCTTGATCTTGAGATGCCCGGCCCCACCCGCTGGCGAGGCGACGTCCTTAACTTCGCTGCTGCATGCGAGAAGGTCTGGGGACATGTTATTGATGAACGCGCTCGCGAGGTTCTTAAGTTTGTCAAAAAGTGCGCTGCATCTGGGGTTCAAGAGAACGGTCCCGAGAAGACCCTCAACACTCCTGAAACAGCATCGCTCCTTCGCAAGATCGGAAATGAGAGCATTGTTCTCCTCAAAAATGAGAAGAACATCCTTCCTCTAGCTAAGGACAAGAAGACTTTGGTTATCGGTCCCAATGCAAAGGTTGCGACTTACCATGGCGGTGGCTCTGCCTCCCTGGCCGCATACTACGCCGTTACACCCTATGACGGTATTGCTGAGAAGCTCGGCAACCCTCCCGCTTACACCATAGGCGCATATACGCACAAGCTGAATCCTCTCTTGGGCGATCAGACCAAGGGTCCTGACGGCAAGACCGGCATGAGCTGGAAAGTGTACAATAAGCCCCCCAGCGACACGTCCCGCAAGCCTGTGGACGAGCTGTGGTTGACCAAGTCAGAGATGCATCTTGTTGATTACTACAACCCCGAACTCGAGGATCTTTGGTATGCTGACCTTGAAGGTATTCTCGAGGTTGAAGAGGACTCTACTTATGAGTTTGGCGTAATTGTTTGCGGTACTGCCAACCTTTATGTCAATGACGAATTAGTCGTCGACAACAGCACCAAGCAAGTCGCTGGCGATGCGTTCTTCGGCACAGCAACACACGAGGAGCTTGGCCGCAAGGAGCTCAAGAAGGGAGAGAAGTACAATGTTAGAATCGAGTTTGCCTCTGCTCCAAGCTTCAAACTCAAGCTTGACAACCCTGTCGTAGGCCATGGATCTCTTCGTGTGGGTGCTTCCAAGGTCATCAATGCCAAACAAGAGATCGAGCGATCTGTCGCTCTTGCCAAGGAGCACGATCAGGTTATCATTTGCGCTGGTCTCAACTCCGACTGGGAGACCGAGGGATCTGACCGGGAGAGTATGAAGCTCCCTGGGAAGCTCGACGAGCTTATCTCGGCTGTTGCTGCGGCGAATCCCCAAACGGCCGTTGTCATGCAGACCGGTACACCTGAGGAGATGCCCTGGCTTGGCGAAGTGCCTGCCGTAATTCAGGCCTGGTATGGCGGTAACGAGACCGGTAACTGCATTGCAGACATCCTTTTTGGCGATGCCAATCCATCTGGCAAGTTGTCTCTCAGCTTCCCCAAGCGCTTGACCGACGTGCCAGCATTCCTCAACTTCCGCACCGAAGCTGGCCGAACACTTTACGGCGAGGACGTGTATATGGGTTACCGATACTACGAGTTTGCCGACCGAGAGGTTAACTTTCCATTCGGTCATGGTCTCTCCTACACTACCTTCGCTTTCTCAGACCTCAACGTCTCATCAAAGGACGGTAAGCTCACAACATCTGTCACCATACGCAACACAGGGTCTGTTCGTGGTGCAGAGGTTGCCCAGCTCTACGTGCGCCCGTTGCAGGCAGCCAAGGTGAACCGGCCTGTCAAGGAACTCAAGGGCTTTGCCAAGGTCGAGCTTGATGCGGGCGAGTCCAAGGCTGTAACCATTTCTGAGTTTGAGAAGTATGCCGCTGCCTACTTTGACGAAGAACAAGACAAATGGTGTGTCGAGGCTGGAGAGTACGAAGTCATTGTAAGCGACAGCAGTGCCGTGGGCGAGAAAGCACTCAAGGGATCGTTCAAGATTGAGGAGACCTACTGGTGGTCTGGTATTTAATGTTTGGATGATATACGAATATGTAACAGCGCAATACGCTAGATTGAACATGACATGATGAACTATCCCCTTGAGCCCCCGGCTATGCACATCCCACACCTCCAGTTGCCTAGCTAATCAGAAGCCTAACAGATGAAAACAGATACTTGAATTTCCTAAAGTTTTACTAAGATATCTTATTATTTATGATTACATGACGATAGAGATGCGGGATGTGCACAGCTGGGGGCTCAAGGAGATAGTTCATCTTGATTAGTGCAATCTCGAGTTATCCCTTAATGTCCGCTAAGTTGTATCCTCAGCAATACTATGCAATTTGTTGAACAAATTCTGAGGATCATACCTCTTCTTCAACTCCCTCAGACGAGTCAGATTACCACCCCAAGCATCCTCGGGCGATATGCTTTCTGCTTCTACGTTGACATACACACCGACAGGTCCCTTGCTCCAATGCCCACCAGAACCTGCCAGGTACCCGTTCGCTTCCCGGACCTGTTTGCAAATGCTTCGATTGAATTCGCGAACTGCGTTATCATAATCCGGGGTTTCCCAACCAAATAGCGTCAAGACATCGAAGTAGTCTCCTCGGTTGGCGTAGGCGGTTGCATCTTGCGCAACTTCTCGGATCTTTTCAGTCGGAAAAAACTCAATGGCCATGACAGATTTGCCCATTCCACCATACCTTTCACAAAATTCCCAGAATTCCTCTGCAGTCCGTAACATTGGTTCGATTTTCAAGGGCATCACAATGTTGCCTGACCCCGTTATCCGCCGGAGCCCATGGTCCATGACAGGGTTTAGAAGGGTGTTAGTCTTTGCTGTAGTCATCATTTCAGTGTTGTCAGCTATGGCTTCCAGCTGAAGAACGTCCGAGAAGTAGCTTCTGGCTTCTGGCTCCTGGCCATGAAATAAAGGAATGGCTGATACAGCACGCGAGGTTCCATCTGGTCCAAAACCTATTCCCAGCGCAAGACAATGACCTTCCGAGTTAGGTCTCTCGTATGACTTGTTTGCAAAGTGTAGTAGCTCGGGCAACTTATCGGCCGAATACGCTATCGTGCCACTCCAGACTTTGCCTTGATGATGGGCTCGAGATACAAATTGAGTGACGACTCCAAATTGTGCTCCAGCACCGCGAATAGCCCAGAACAAATCTGCATTCTTGTCTTCGGACGCTTCAACTACTGAGCCATCGGCAAGGACAACTTCCACTTCTAGCAAGTTGTCTATGGTTAGACCGTGACGGCCTGTGAGGTAGCCATGTCCACCTCCTAGTGTTAGTCCTCCAACACCGGTGTGATTAACAACGCCTCCCACTGTGGCTAACCCATATTGCTCAAGGGCGACGTCGACGTCTTCCCAAAGACAACCGCCTTGAAACTCAACAGTCATGGCTTTTGTGTCAACTCTGACCTTCCGCATCTTCCTCAAATCAATAACCAGGCCTTCGGAGGAAGAGGCGCCGCTAGAGGAATGGCCACCACCACATACAGTCATTGGGATTTGATTAGAAGCTGCAAAATTGACAGCCAGAGACACCTCACTTGAGTTGCATGGCATGACGACAGCTGCCTGTAGGATCTCAGTATCTTGTTCATTGCTCATCAGGTTTCAACATACCGCTCTCTTCACGCAAGCCTCGCTCCACCTCTGTAACTTCTCTTCATAATCTTCATCACCGGGGAGTAGGACGCTCCCACTCGTCATATCTTGACGAAGTCGCGCGAAGTCGTACATTGTCACATGTGATTGGGTGAATTTTGCTTTCTGGAACCTGAGGTGGTAATGTCGAAGACCGGCGAGAGACAGAGCGGGAGTAAGTCCTTAGCTCAAGATAATGGAGGAGGCGAGTATTTGACAGTTTTCGAGGTCTCACAAATATTCCGATATGCACGATGTTGTTGACCGATCTGAGACATGTCGTCATTAAACATTTACACAGCGGCCATCCTCGGCCTACGATAATTTGAGGCCATTCAGCGCAGTCGAACCTGCAGGTGGCTTCCTGCGGAAGCACCCGGCTTCGGGAATATGACTATTCGCTCCAGGTGAAGTAGTGCGTATCATAGCTCGTCTCTCGGTAATTCGAAGTTTGGACAAGCACCATCCATCGCAAAGCCCTTGTACTGATCCACTACCCACTGTCCTCCCATGAGTTGCTTTGTACTACCTGCATGTTCTCCTCCAGCCAGCCATCTCTGTATTCGAAAGGCTGTTTTTGCAATATCAAGGAAAAGATGCCAGTCATCCATACCTAGAGACATCATGGTGGAAACGGTTAATGTTTTGATGAGACGACCGAATCTAATTTCGTGGCAGTTCGTAGAAAGTGCAATCATGATCCACGCGAAAATACCAAGGACAGATTTCCAATTTGGCAATCCATGCTGCCAGATAGCAGGCCAAATTGCATTGATATCCTCTTCGGAACAGGCGGAGCTGATTGGAGAGCGAGTCGAGATTGCCTTGCAGTAAATCAGAGCGACTTTCCGAATAACAAGATACATTAGGTCTGGGAGTTCATAAGGCGATGAGGACTTGTCGGTCCTGTACGACCGAGGAGACTGGTCTGGACTCTCAGTTGAGCTAGCGCGGGAAGGGTTGCAGGAAATTCCCAATGGTGGGGTCGTTTCTGGAAGGTCCCCTATCTTCTTGTAAAACCCATCTGCGCTGTTGATAACAGTTTGTATTCGGTCGGGAGTTGAGTCCTTTGGAAGTGACAAGACGGCCGAGAATAAACTTCTCACCTTGTCGAGTATATCAGCGGTAGTGGGATGTAACTGTAAAGAGTTTGAACACTCCCTGAAAGATTGCCAGTTGCATAGCAGAGGTGTGTTGTATGCCGTCTTGATGGGCGTCCTTTTTGGATCGTAGAAAGGGAACTCTGAATTTCCATAAATAGTCGGTTTGATCTCATGTGCTAGCGCCATGGCAATATCATGACTGGGTAGAATATGTCAGTTATTAAGGCACAGTTATTAAGGCAAGACAGGACAAAACTAATACTGCATGACACAGGCAGGTGCCATTGCAGAAGCGTTGTTTATCGACTTACACCAGTATCATTTTGGCCAGATAGCCACGTAACCCAAGCTGACCTAGCCCACCTCTCATTCTTACCATAACCTTCAGCCCTTGGAGGTGAGTCTGTAGGTGGGTCGTCTCGCCCCAATACCAGGCGTCAGAGATCATCTGTACAACAGCAAGCAGCAAGGTGTCGTTCTTTTGGGCATTGACGTCCCCAAGCTGTTTGTTGAGCATCATATAAACGTGACCCTGATATATATATCGTAGTTTCTTCGGCATATCGCCAGTTTCGGTGAGGAAGCAGGCTGATGTGAACAGTACTATTTGTAGGAGAAGGGGGTCTTGCACGGTACAAGGAACCCACATGTTCATAAACTCATTTGCGGGATCCGGCTGTCCGTCTACCGAGCATTTAAATCGGGATAGTAGAGACAAGTCTAGAAACATATAAGCAAAAGAATACCTATACAGGAACAGCGTGTACTTACGAAGGCGTACCAGCTCTTTGTTTAGCTTCGTGGCTCTCATGGGAAGGAAGTTGAGCTGTGTCATGGAGCCGGCAATGGGATAGCCCAAATCTACATTGCCATCATCTTCTATTTTGATCATGTCATTGGACAAGATGCGCTTAACATCTTCGGTGCCTTTTTTCTTGATGATCTCAATGCTCTGTGCTATTGTCTTGTCCGTGTCACCATCAGGGGATGCAGCAGTCGGATACGGATTCCAAATGCTTGTTGTCGATTGCGTTGATAAGGTTGTACATGAGCTTCCTGTCGGTGAGGGTAGGCTGCTTGAGGGGGGTGATGAACCAGGCAGCTGATCCGCCATATGGTAAAGAGCATGCTGGATGGAAGCTGGGTTTAAATGAGAATATGGTCCACCTCGTAATTCGGCGATGGAAGGTAGCTTGGGCTGTGGACTTGGAGGGGGGGCTCTAGAAATATATTGAGTCAGCATAACGAATTAAGGAACACAAACGCAAAAGATGGAGGCAGTAAATGGAAAGTAGATAATGTAGACCAACCTTTTTGAGGATTTAACTTCATATACACATTCGGGAGTAGGAAATCGACGATAACAATTCGTACAAGGTTGTCCTTGAGAGCACTATATAGCAGTTAGTTTTGCATTGAATGGTGTAAGTGATCTGCTAGGGGCAGCGACGAGTGAATCGGCCGGAGGATCCACATGAGTCTCACATCCCGTGTAAGTGTTACGCAGGCAATTGTTATCTCATTGCAGCAGTAGACAGTGAAAAGCGTATTATAACATATGGATATTGAACTCACTTTCTGCTTGCGACGGCGGCACTCAAGGCATGATGACGTTTGGCGTTGAGCACGTTTTCTGGGTGGTGTGGCCTGCATCTGCATGGCTTCGAGTCCCGGCAGCATGGCGCTTGGGGTTGCCATTGTGTCGCGCCAACGGAACGGGCCCGGCAATAAAGATCTGCTTGCAATACCCAAGAGTTTAGATGAGACGAGACCAGATGACAGGCTAAAGTCAGGGCGTCGATAATGATCGGTATCCCTTACCGAAGCCAAAGAATAATGATTGGTCTGGTCAGAGCCAACAGTCCTCGAATGAGCGCCGTTCAGAGACACTGATGAGGCTGTTGGTTCAGCAACAGAGCATGGCACAGCAGCGCAGGCCGGGGGGCGACAAGCAAGGATGGGTCAAGATGGGGTAACGGTTGTTGGTCCTGTCCAAAATGGCGGCGGTTGTTTGGGGCAATGTAGTGCAAGAGAGCGCCTGTCTCAAGTGCCAACACAGGGTACAAGGCCGTGGGATATACCGTTGATCAATAGTTCCGATTGAGCCCAGAAGATTGGGAATCAATCGAGGGCCATGACGAACCGCAACGGAATGGGTTGAATAGACAGAATATATCTGAAGGACGGGCGAGACCAAGACCGAGCGGCGTCGCTTATCAACCAAACGCGGTAACCGGGCGGCTGTCCGGAGAGGGTACTCCAGGCTTGTCTAGTTACAGCCAGCGCTGTAACCGTACTGGTGCACCTGTGCCCTTACTTTCGTGAATAATATTGCGTGTCTCTGGCGCGCCGTTTGACTCTGTACAGATGCAAGGAGTTCTCTTGCTCTCCCTTGCGTGTGTTGACGAAGCGAGACGAAGCGATGTGATGTGACAATCAGTCTGTCGTTGTAGGTGTGGCTTGCGTGAACTAAAGGCACGCGTACTGTATATGGAAGCTGAAGATGGCAAATCGCTCGAAAGTCTTCAGAGGCGTCCGGCAAAAATAACCACCCACGCACGGAAGCGAACAAAGAAATGCAACCCAAAAGTTCCTGCTGCCGATCGTGGTCATAAACATCAAGTTGTAGGCAAGCAGATCAGATCCAATTTTGCTGCAGTGCAGTCAGGGGATTCTTGCCGTTCCCACTTAATGCCTACCTACTTAGGTGGGTACTGTAGACAGTGGTGGGTACTCTGGACAAGACAAGTCAATGACGAGAGTAGTGTTGACTTCTTGGCAAGGAAAATGCAGGGAAACAAAGACAAGATCGATGGTTGAATGAATAGAGAAGAAGTTGTCGCAGCTCAGCAGAGGTTCTGGGCCAATTCCAATAAGTAATGGTGATGCAGCCGTAATGCACCAAGTTATGATTGTAGGCTCGGCAATCGACCTAGACCCTGCAATAGGCAGGCACTAGCACGTTGTCGTCAGTCCTAGCGTTCAGCCATAAACATTTAGAGCAATCTCTCCAATCAGACGAGATGAACTCATTGATGAATCAAAGGTTAAAAGCCTGAAGCTATCCTGATACAGTCAAGCACCATCGCGGATGCCGATAGTGGATAGCCCCCTCAGTGTCCGCTTTCATTTTGTCTTCAATCGTCCCCTTCAGAATGCCTGTGCTGTAAGATAGACGGCTCTAGAATCAGGATTTGAGCTCGTCATGATAGAGACTAGGTCCAGCTTCGTATTGCAACGTATGAGAATCGTTTTCAGTCAAGACAATTGCTGGGTTGTGAGTGATAAGTGGAGGGAGGGATCCGTGGATGGATGTCAAGGAGCAAACAGCTCATTCATGTCTTTGGTGAAATTTGACTTGTCCAAGGCCCAGACCACTAAATGAATGCCCCCACATACTACCGCTGTCCCGCCTTCAAGATCTGCTTACCCGCGACTTTAAAATGGCACCTTAACGTTAGGTCCAGCCAGGATTAGAAAGTGCGATTTGAAGAAATGTATTTATTTCAATGTTCAAGGGGATGCCCAGACACGGGACTAAGATTGCTTTACACAATCATAATGATTGTGATTGATTGTAATTGACTGTAACTTGCTTATTCTGCTGCCAACCGCTTGGACAACATTAGCAGATCAAATATCCAATGGCGTGATAAGCCAATTCTCATTATACATACAAATAGCCTATATAAACTAAGAATCCTTATATCATCCCATCAATCTCATTCCAAATACAGAAAGTTGTATCAACAAAAACCAGGTGGTATCTAGTCGCGAAGAAGAAGAAGAAGAAGAGAAGCAAGAAAAAAACCGCATCATCATATCACGCATCCCCCATGCTCAACGCCAATCATGTATTCTAGGGTTTCTTTCATAATTCGAGCTCATTCCAGGAGCGAGCGTATCTCATCCTCGTCGTAAAAATTCCATTTTCAAGCAAAAGCTAGAGGAACGTATTGTTAAGAACTTTATACTTCAAAGCCCTCACCTTCCCCTGTAGTCGGGCTTGCGAGCCATGTTTACTGGTGGAGGCTCATCGTCATCCAGGGGGTATGGGGGCGCGACAGCCGGCGCCCTTCTACCATTGTGGTGTTGCTGGCTCTCTGGGAGAGGCGTCTTTGGTGGCAACGGCGGCGGCTCGATTCGAGTTGGTGGTGGTGCAGCCACGTTTGGAGCCGGCCTAGGGTATTCGTCCGGACTCACAATGGCAATCAGATCCTGACCAGCGACATTCTCACGGTATTGCGCTGGCGTAGGCGATGATACTGCCAGATGATCCTCTGGATACAAAGCCGGAGCGCTGGCGCTGGGGCCACGAGGTCCCAGAGGAGGCGATTTTGGGGCAGCAGAATCCGGATGTATGCGCTCGTACGAGCTTCGAGGCGAGCCATTGTGGTTCATGTGCAAGTTATCTGAGCCCGACTCAAAGGAAGACCGGCTGGCAGGGCTATGGGGAAGCGGGACAGCTGTCGGGATATCTCCAGGAAGTTCAAATGCCATGGGCATCTCCCATGTGCTCGATGTCGACTTGACGATTTCTGGAATACCTTCCGGAGCTCGCGCGTGACGAATTCTGGCCCGGTGAATCTTGCCAAGTTTCGACGAGATGCCCTGGATCATCTTTTGTTCGGCTTCCCTTGACATATACCTTCGGGTTCCAGTGCTGATCTCTCCGAGTCGGTGCCATTCGTTCATGCCAAACTCGCCCACACCTACTTCAACATTGAGTCGGTAGTAGGCATCAATACTAACGTTTCGCTTGCCCAGGTGTTCGCGCATCATGTATTCGTGGATCTTCTCGCAGCCTTCGATTTTGGCGATCAACTTCCTACGTGCGTCGGCAAATTCGCCCAAGAAGCCCTCATACCACATCTGCGAATTCGAATCTGTATTCTTGGGTCGTCTTCCAGTGCCGACGCTAACAAATACTCCTACTTCACGACCGGGCCACTCGTTGACCACAGCCTCGTCCAAAGCTTCTGGGCTGGGGTTGAAAGTGCCAACGCCATCGTCATGGAAAACCGACTGCCCGATGGTGATAGGCTTGAAGGCAAGTCCGATAGAGCAAGTGGCCCGGCCAGCTTGCCAGATTTTGCAGTCAAACTCAGGTGGGGGTTCTTTTCGCGAATCGTAGGATCGTAGTAGAGCTGCGGGGGCGCCTCGGGGCGAACCCTTGTAAACTGCTGTGACAGCGCTAAAATTCTTTGTCAGTATTATTGTCCAGATTTCAATAGCTGACGCGTAGAGGTGACTCACGTTTTAGTGCGGTTTTCTCTGTGATCGTACAAACGAGCGTTGGGGTCGCCATATCTTGAATTGTAGGCAGGCCGATGCGCCATCTGCGAAGCGGGACTACGAGCGCTAAAGCTCACGGTGCTTGCATTACTTTGATTGCGACGAGGAAGTCCGGCACTCGAGTAAGACGCGGCGTTGAGGGGATTGGTCAACTCAGCACTGTCATTGCCTTCTCTCTCTTTGACAGTATGTTCTTGCACAGCGGTTTTGATGGCTTCTTCAAGTTTGCTAGCCTTAAAGAGGGTCGAACGGTATGGAATTCCAGCGATAGTCTTATCGGTCTGGAAAACGGTGCGCGTTAATCGCACGTAGAGTTCCTTGCATGTCTCCAGATCAAGGCGCAGTCGGCCTAACATAAGAGCGATCAGGCCTCCCGTGCCCGTACCAACGATGAGATCAAAGTGGTCGCATGGCTTAGGAATTTCGTGTCGCTTGGGAGCGCGGCCCTCGATTTCGACAAATGTTCGGTGCATGAGCTCCTGGATAATAATGAAGATAGAATAACCTCGGACGCCTCCGCCATCTATGGCGCGCATTAGCAGCTGGAATAAACAAAAGACGTCATTGTCGTAGACACATACCGAGTGATAGAACTCGAAGAGGCGGGCCCTTGGTCGTATCCTTCCTCCTGACTCCGCCAGAGTCCATGGGCACAGAAGATGCAAGTCTGTCGCGGCGTGCGCTTCAATTAATTCCAAAGGGGCAAGTTATGAATGGTTCGGGCGTTCGTGAGAAGCGGCAGAGTCGCGCAAAAGTTTAAGATGCTGTTGAGCGTTTCGGCGGTTGTCGCTGGTCGAGATCAGGTGGGCTTCAAAGGCAAGAGACAAGCAAAGTGATCAAGTCTCGTGCGCTTGGGGTGAATTTTCTTTGATGTCTTGGACAAGTGAGACCTCCGGGTTTGTTAATGGGATCGGTTTGCAAATCCAAGGTAAAGTAATATTGTGGGCAACGAGGCAGTCTTGGCTGGTAGTGACTATCCAAGAAACACTACGTAACGTAACTAGTGCAGGGCAGGTCGCCCCGCTTCGTAGAAGGCCAAGATCCCTGAAGCCCTGACGCAACAGTGAGCGGACCTCTCGGAAGCTTCTACTGGGAAGCCTCCCAACCCCTGTAACCGCTCGAGTTCACAGGCGGGAACTTGCCCAGGACTGGAAACTCATGCGCCACCTTGGAATCCTGACAGCAGCTTGAGTTGGATGCGGTTGGACATGAGCGTCCTGGCTACTGCACGTTTAATGGGAGATGCAGACCATGATCAGCTTTCTTTCACGATGATCCTCCACGACCATGTGCGGATAGATGTTCCATACCTAACATAGATGCGCTGGGCTGAAACGAAACGATGACCCAATCCTTTCCCTCACATCCCGTGCGGTTCGCACAACACGAGACGGCTAGAGAGTGGCTGTGTAAACTTGGCTTCCTGGCTCTTGGCATCAATGCTTGCCTCCCGTCCATTCACGGGCCTTGGCTTGGTTTGTGCCTCTTGGCAATTCCCAAAGCTTAGACCTTTCGCCTCGGTTGGAAGATCAAGTTGTCTGTGACTTATAGAGATCTACAGCGCCATATCAATCGGAAGGGATATATCCGTCGGAAATCCAATCATCCACATGGCATTTTCCATTCGTTTGGATGTGATTCACTGTTAACGTTGGGACAGAAATAGAATGAACGAGAACAGGAAGGTTTGTCAGTATATGGCGTCCTCTCATTGGTTGTATTCTTACAGTTTCGTGGCTGTGTAAGTCAAGTTCGCCACATTCCCGCATCCGAGACTGGGTCGTATCCTCCAGGGTTTCCATAAGAATCAGGGACTTAACGATGTGGACTCCTCTTTGGGAAATGTTGGATTCACGAATCCGAAATTCGCGACTTCTCCATGAGGTAGCCAAGTGATATTCAGGAGAACCACAATTGCCCCCATCGACTTACATGGAGTACCTGGAGATCTTGGGCCTCCACGGAAGCCGGCAAAATGTCAGAAACCCAATATTCGGCATGTGGCACAAAGGCGGCCTCTTTGTACATGAGTAACCGATTATACGCGTGGTCTTCTACACATTGCTAGAATCTCCTGACTGGCACACGAAAGTCACATATTCAACCTCGTATGTGGCAGACGACACTTTCCAGATTGCTGTTTGTTACTTATCCGAGCAGAGTACAATGTTATAAAACAGTCTAACAGAGATGGCACAAAGTCATTGTCAAAGGAACTAAGAAATTCCAAGCGATGGATAGTTACATAATAACAAATACCTTCACCAGGCTTATATCCAGGCTATTTATTATATTGCGATCACTTACGGAGTACACCTGACGAAGAGACGTCCCTCTGTCAGGCTGGCGTTGCAAACAGCAGCTTGCGTTTACCAAGTTATGGCTTAATAGGGGTGGGTGATTGCAGGCTCAAGATCGGTAGTCCGTACTCATGCTGGCACAATTTCATGATATCCGTTTTTGAGAAGTATTTGTGACCAAATCAGGTACCGCAACTACAGGAATTCCTTTACCAATAATTCAGTTACAAAGTATGGTCGTGTTAGAGTCTGTATGTCAGCCTCCACTTATACTCACCCCAGTCCTTTACAGAGATTGTCAGCATCCCCCAGCCTTTGATAGCATCGATTACAGCAAAGGAGAGGCACGTTTACGAGCATACATACGAAGCTCTAGTATTTTCAACTACCAAATTTGGAGATGTTCTGGAGTCATTGTTCTCTATTCAGCTATCCGGGTGAAGCCTTCGCACGCAGACAACTTAAGTACTTTTGCTCTTGTTGAACCAGTTCATAGATGCATCTCAAGCAACGGAATCTGGCTTCGTCTGTCAGCCGTGCCCACACCAACCGAGGCTCTGCGACAGTACTGTCTCGAATGCTACTCTGCAGACGCAGCCGGCAGCTGGATGTTAGCCTGCGAGGTACGTGATATTATCACTGCTGCAGCACGACTTGGCCTCAGATTTCGAGCGACCAATCCCTCCCGGTTCGAGTCATTCGTAAGCTAGAGCAGAGCTCCAAGTTGCATGATTCCGTGTAAGAGAACACAATGCATCGAAATCAAAGCTCACGACGACTGGCGACACAGGTCATGCTCCTGCAATCGGTGTTACCATAGCGCGTGTCTAAGGCAGGGTTGCCGACCGGCTCTCGTCTGTTGTCTTTTGCATTCATTCGTTGCCGACCCGTCCGTTTCGTGTTCTGGCTTCTTACTCGTCCATCAACAAGCAACACCTCTGCCGACTTGTCCACAGTCGTCTTGACAAGTCGTCGCTCACCATTGACACGCTCGCCAGGATTGAGGAGGGGGTGCGCCATTACTCCACTTTCGAAGCTCACTGCTGCATTACTGTTGATTCGGGCATCCCGTGGTAGCCTTGGGTTGTCGGTTGAGAGATACTGTGTTGATTGATGAAGGGAAATCAGTGTTCTGGGAAGGCAATTGAGGGAGGCTTGCGCCGTTGAAACCTTGGTGGTTAACCAGCATGAGCTAAAAAGGCAGATCTCAAGGTCTCGAGAACTGGCCCACAAAGTGCTCCTCGACGCAGGCCAGTACTTGATATGATAACAGTTAGTGGCCTGTGAGTATGCACGGCGCGTTTAATAGTAACCGGAGGCTAGGAAGGGAAGGGATCAAAATCCAGTTGGATTGGTTGAAGAAGCGTAATCAGCCGGCTTGTGTGAGGAACAAGCTGTGTGAGCTGTGCTGTCTGCGGATGATTTGTGCAGCTCAAGGCGCAGTACTGTACAGCAAGTATGTATGGCAGGTAGGCCGATAACACTCATCCTCTTCGCTCCTCCTTCTTTTATCAGCTGAGAACTTTTGTGAAGTCTCTCTCATCTTTTTTGGTTTCAACCGTCGAACCCCTCCTTCAGGTCAGACCCTACATCTAACGTTACTCACCCAGTCCCAGGGTAAGTACTAAGGTTAGGTGTAGGTACCTAGTAGTTTGAGCTACCGACTGCTCTCAAAAGATACATTGGATATCAGCATAGATCAGATAAACCGGCATCGTGGTTCCAATTGATCATCAAGTGAGTACAGAACCAAGACATTGTACTCTTTGTGCTTTGTTGTGGGATGGGAGGGAGGCCACCAGAACAACGACAGCACCAACACCAGCCCCATCTCAGCCAGCTCCCTCACTGCAGCTGACCCTTGGCCTTACTTTAGTACCTTGGGTTACCTTCCTTAGGTACCTTCCTTGCCTTTAGACAACCTTACAGTCAACCGGGGAGAGAGGCTGACAATTGCGGAGGCAGCCCCTCTTTGAGTTCTCTGCATCTGCATCTGCATTTGCGTATGCGTATGCATTTGCTTGCTACACGCTCCTCTCTTCATCTCTTCAACTCGTTTATAGTTAAATCCCCACCTGCTTGGCCATTGTGAGAGGATTCGAAGACCCTTGTCTGTTGATACCCCAACCAATGAGAAGCTTTTCCACCTGAGCACCCCCACCTCTAATCTTGTCAGGCCTAGGCCCCATCAAGCATCCAAAAACAAACTCACACAAAAGACGGCGGCTAATAATATGCAAGCAAGGATCACCCGATTTTGACTATAGATTGATTGCTTTATTTCAATTGGTGTCTCAAGCCCTGGCCTTTTTCTGTTGAATCCTGCCACGACAGCCTCGTGCGAGCGAGCCTTCCACCATCCTAGCCTTCCCTCTGGTCTTCTCTTACTCTTCATCACCCATGCGACGTATGTTCTTTCTCTAGTGGTCCGGCTTGTTGGCTTTCTTACCTTTTCTCTGCCATTGACATTCCTCTTCCAAAGTCCTTCCTTCCTTCACCTCAGCCGGCATTCTCTAAGTCGTCCGATTTCAACTCAATTCCCCTCGTATACTGTCGCCCTATCGCTTCGCTTCTTCGTCAACGATTCTTGAGCCCACACGAATTTATATGTATCTTGGTTTTAACAGAAGACTACTTAGATAGCAGATAAACCACCTGTCGTACTCGAAACTTGCTATCCAGCCAACTCTGTATTCGAGTGCGCGGCCGAAACGAAACCCGCTTCGGTTCAATGACCTTCGCCGACTTCGCTTGCTGACGACCGCATCACCTTCCAATTTGCACCCTTGCTCGTATTTGTCGATGGAACCCAACAAACGACGCAAGCTTGCCCCAAAGGTCAACGCCACGACGCCTAGCAAGCCGCCGCCGCCTACACAATTCCCCCACGAATCGGTCAGCTCATGATCCTCTAGCTTTCCGCGTCCTGTTCTTGCTAACCCGAGCTCTGGATATAGCCTCAACAGCATTATCCAGCTCAGGAGGCCGCTCCGGCACCCCTTTCCGAACGTCATGACTTTGAGTCCTTTGCGCGACACCTTCAAGATGCCGCTATGCTTATCCAAAGACAGACCGAGCGTCACCCATACACCGATGTCTCCGTTCTGCTATTAAGATGGGAAGAAGACGAGTCCGTCGATGAGGATTTAACTGCTCTCGAGCAGGTTCTTCAAAAACAGTACAAATACAGAACTGAAAAATGGCATATTCCCACAGTACCGAACCCAAGCATTAAGCTCGGGGTTCAAATGGCTTCTTTTCTCGAACACGCGAGAGCCAACCATTTACTTATCATCTACTATGCTGGCCACGGCTACGTAAGTTCTGATGGCCAGCTTTTTTGGGCTTGGTGAGTTGGACGTTTCTCAGATGTGCTGTTTGTCTCGCCTATGGCTGACATCTTCTCAATAGCAATGCCCGAGAAGATGCCGCAAAACTAAAATGGGATGGTGTCCGTTGTCTGTTCGAGGACGCCCAGTCCGATATCTTGTTGTTGCTCGACACATGCGCTATACCGGACCCCCCAATGGCCGGTAGTCATGGTGTGAAGCAAGCCATTGCGGCCTGCACATCAGATCGTAGTCCAGATAGCATAGAGAGGTCATTTACGTCCAACTTGACCGAGGCGCTTCAAAAGCTCAGTAGTGGACGACCGTTCACAACACAGAGACTCCATGAAGAAGTATTATCGCTGAAACAACAGCAGCAGCTGCTTCAAACTCCTCGGCAAACCAACGGAAGCACCTCAAATGCGCAGTCGTCTCCACAAAATCCAGTTTTCATACCTCTAACTCCCGGAAAGGGTCAAAGTATTGCTCTTGCGCCAATGCCCTCAAGACCCCGAACTGGTTCGCAAAATGGACATGATGCGGATGGTCAGAATAATCGCGAAGAACAGCTGATCGACCCAGAGTCTGTTGTCGACCTCAGGTTTGAAGAGCCCCGGGTGCTTGTTTGCACTACCTTTGTCGGTGATGCAAGTCCGGATATGTCTTTTTTTTCTCAATGGCTGCACAGTACGCCACCCCTCGGCGACAAGATCGCTGTGGAAGGCATGTTCCTTGGACCGCCTACTATGCTTCTCATATCCATGCCGCACTCGATCTGGAACGTAGTGCAGCACGATAAAGTCTGTTGCTTTTTGGGGTATATCAGCTCTCACAACATGATCCACCTCTACAACAGGTTAGTAGGTTCTTCTGGCATCAAGCCATCAGCCAGAGAAGTTGAGGATGGCCGAATTCTCCTCGAGGCAAGGGATCACGCATTTAGCACCCCTGCTCGTGTCCGGCGAGACGAAGGACATTCTTTCCACACACCCGCCACAAGAGAAGCGCCCAACTCTGTCGAACGAAAAGAGTATCCCCCGCAAGCCAGTCCTTCAGCCCAAGCATACGCCAACTCAACAGGTAGCCATGCCAAGCCCAAAGATGAGGTGGAAGATTCGGCAGAAATGCAGGAAGCTGCTGAGCAACTGAAAGCCTTGAGCCACGTTCGTCACCCGAGTGACGAAAGCCAAAACATCAACAGGCCTCGCACAATTCTCCCTGACGGAATGCCTGAAATCAGACCAGAAGGAGAGAATGACGAGCATGGCAATGGAGATCCTCTAGCAACACTTCGCAACGTCAACGCTGCAGTCAAGCCTCCTCGGAGGTCTCTACCTAAGCAGGATACTCGATGCAATCACTGTAGCCATGCACCTTTTAAGGATTCTTCTTCGTTGAGAAAGCATATCGCTGCAGCTCACACCAGGCCATTTCCATGTGCGTTCTCGTTTGCTGGCTGTACAAGTACTTTCGGGTCGAAAAATGAGTGGAAGAGGCACATTGCATCACAACATCTATGCTTGCAATACTATCGCTGCTCTTCCTGCCCCCAGAGCACTGCTGAAGGCAAAGGGAACGAGTTTAACCGCAAAGATTTGTTTACACAGCATTTACGCCGCATGCATGCCCCTTTTCAAATCAAGAGAGCGCTGGCTAAGGGAGACAGTAAGCTTCAGGCCGAGTGGGATGCGCATGTCAAAGAGATGCAAGTGTCTTGTCTCGTGCAGCGCAGATTGCCGCCTCAACGATCAGCGTGCCCAAAACAGGGCTGTCAGAGTGTCTTTGAAGGCCCCTCCTCATGGGACGAGTGGACTGAGCATGTTGGTCGGCATATGGAAAAGGGAGAAGGCGGTGGCAAGCTCGGAGTAGATGGCCTACTCGCCCAATGGGCGCGGGACGAAGGCATTATTGAGCGTAAGGCAGATGGCGAATATCGATTGTCAACCAGTAACGGAATGGGCGGAGGCAACAGTGGAGGTGTGCCTCCTGTTTTCGAGCAAAAAGAGTCGACCTTAACCTCTGTTTCGACACTGGAACCGTCACAGCCGGAGGAGTCCTTGATCGTGGAGACAAACACAAAACCTCCAGAAGACAGAATGGAGGTTGACGCTCCCGAGTAAAGTGGGCGCTTGGTGACTGACTATAGGGCGCATTACGAAACTTGTGCAATACAATGCACTACAACGACATGACGATACGAAGTGAATGACCAAATTTCAAACAGTTTTCTTTTCTTATGTAGTGACGGTCGCTACCTTGCCCAGTCACTCGCTTAGAATATGTTCTCATGAACAGGATGAAGTCTCGTGACTTCAAGGCTTGAAACAAAATATCGAATGGAGCTGAGAACTAAGTAAAAGGGTATAAAAGTCTTCAATTAAATAAAAATATCCCATACAAACCTTGCCGTCGTATTGACGTACCAGTCTCCCTTGCCGAGATACAAGTTTAATGAGTAAATATCCTATGCCTTGGTAAATGACTTTTCCTTGTTGCAGCTGAATTCGCGATCAGACTACAGAAATGCTTATGAAGAGGCTTGAAGAAATTTAATTTGAATAAGTGGTAGAGACTTTGCATGACTTGATGCATTCGATTGAGAATTGTTGGCATCCAATCCATAGAAAATAGTCGAACCTAGCCACCGTGCTCGATCATGATAACGGACCCCTAAGCCCCCTACAATCCACTGAAGCCCACTGAAACCTAAATATCAACAAAGACACTGCGTCATTCACCAACACGTGTCAAACCAGCAACCGCGATACCTTCATCCTCGCAACACAATTTTGTCACGTACTTCATCCTCAAGGCCCAAAGATGCCGCCTTCATCTAAAAATGAAAGCCCTCCGGCGTCTTCATCTCCGTCCATGATCAAGGGCGCATCGCTCCTCATCATCCTCCAGCTCGCTTCCCGCCTAATAACATTCATTGCCAACCAGCTTCTCCTGCGCTACCTGACAGCTCCTCTACTAGGTCTATCAACCCAACTCGAAGTGTACTATCTCTCTGTTCTCTTCTTTGCACGCGAAAGTTTGCGCGTGGCGATTCAACGACGAGACTCAGGTTCTCAAGCGAAACAGGAAAGCCAAGCGGTGGTGAACTTGGGATATCTGTCCATTGGCTTGGGAAGTCTGGTCAGTCTCGGCCTGGGATGGATATATCTTGCGTACGCTACCGAAACAACTCTCTCGACGCCGTACCTTGTCAAATCGCTGTACCTGTACGGATTTGCAGCTATGGTTGAGTTGTTGTCTGAGCCATGCTTTGTTCTCATGCAGACAAGACTGCAGTTTGGTACGCGGGCTGCAGCAGAGTCTATTGCGACATTCTTGCGATGTATTGTCGTGTTTGGCTCTGCGGTTTGGGCATCCAAGCACAGTGATATCGGAGTACTTCCTTTCGCCCTCGGACAAATTACTTATGGCGCTTCGCTGTTCCTTGTTTACCTGGTATCAGGATATCAGCTTGCGTCTTCAGTCGGCTTTTCTCTCTTTCCCAAGATTATTGCTACAAAGGAAGACCGCTTCTGGGGCTCTATGTTTGATCGACCAACGGTAGGCCTTGCCGGTAGCATGATGGCCCAAAGTGTGGTCAAGCATCTTCTTACTCAGGGTGACACCTTTCTCATCTCCCTGCTGGCCTCTGCCAATGTCCAAGGTGCATACGCACTGGCAAACAACTACGGCAGTCTGCTTGCCCGTCTTCTCTTCCAACCTGTTGAGGAAAGTAGCCGAAGCTATTTCTCTCGACTCCTCTCATCTGCCACCCCAGTCAAACAAGGCGGCAAGCCCTCTCCTGTTATCACAGAAGCAAAGCAGAACTTGTCAACTCTACTCCGGCTCTACATACTTCTTTCATCCGTCATAATCAGCATCGGACCTTTTGCTGCTTCGTCTCTTCTGGCGATTGTGGCCGGCAAGCAATGGGCTGGCTCAGGGGCTGGTGATGTTCTTGCGGCGTACTGTTTCTATATTCCCTTCCTTGGCTTGAACGGCCTTACAGAGTCCTTCGTGGCATCGGTCGCTACAGAAGCCGAAGTTCATAAACAATCTGGTTGGATGGGCGCCTTTTCTGTCATCTTCGCTACTTCGGCTTTCCTCTTCATGAGAGTTTACCCTCTTGGCGCCATCGGTTTGGTTCTGGCCAATATCATCAACATGGGATGCCGTATCATCTGGAGCGGAGCGTTCATCAAGCGCTATTTTAAACAACATGGTACTGATTTCAAAATCAAGAGTCTGGTTCCTGAGAGCACAGTGGGCGTCTCAATCGCTACAGCCATTCTTCTCAAACAACTCAAAATCGCAGACAACGCGGACCCACCGATCAAATCTCTCGTCAAGATCGCTGGCTCGGCCATCCCATTATTGCTTCTAATGTACGTTACAAAATTCCAAATAACAGACTTTTCGACTCATCTAATTCATCGCAGCCTGGTCCTCGAGCGCCATTTTATCCTTGAGTGTCTAAACTCGGTTCGCGGTCGCAAAGTCGCCAAACAATAGTGCTTTCTTTTTCCATGATAGCAATTCTAATCAAATGTAATTTTGGTGGACTTTGCGTTCATATCAACATCCTTGAAGAAAGCACCGTACATATCGTGAGCCTTCTTCTTGACGGTGGTGCCGAACTTGAGGAGATCCTCGGGCACGGGCTGGTTGGCTCCTCGGAGAATGTTGACGAGACTAAACCAGTAAGCATCTGTTTATATGTGAGTGCCTGATGTACTTACGAGCCAGAGTGAGACTTGTCCTCAACAGTGAAGAAAGTGATAGCTTGGCCGGTCTTGCCAGCTCGGCCAGTTCGTCCAATACGGTGGACGTAGTCCTCAATAGTCAAAGGGAACTGTGCAAGTTAGCGAGTGTTAAATGATTGTTTGGCCGATACATACTGTAACGTTGATAACAAGCTTGACCTCAGGGATATCGAGACCACGAGCAGCGACATCGGTGGCAACAAGAACGGGGGTGTGTCCGGACTTGAAGGCCTCGAGACTCTTTGTTCGCTGCTCCTGTCGCAAATCACCGTGAATACCACCAACGCGAATACCCTTACGGCTCAAGAAGTTCTCCACACGGGTGGCTTCCTTCTTGTACAGGCAGAAAACAAGAATACGATCATTCTTCTGCTTGCCCTGCTGGTGCTGCTTCAGAATCTCGAGCAGGCGAAACTCCTTTCCTCGGGGCTCAAGAACCTCAACGCTCTGTGAAATTCTTGCGTTGGCCTGGAGCTCAACAGCGCCGCCTGCTGACTCCTTACCACCAGATCCAATGGTGATCTTGACGGGGCTGACCATGAAAGTGGAGGCCAAAGACTGCACAGACTGGGGCCATGTCGCTGTGAACATGAGAGTCTGGCGCTGCTCACGAGGAGGGCAGGCGCCGAGAATCATCTTGATATCCTCCTCGAAACCCTTGTCAAGCATACGATCAGCCTCATCGAGAACAACGAAGGCTGAGTGGCTAAGATCGACAGTTCCGTCGGACATGAAATCCTTGAGACGACCGGGAGTAGCGACAATGATGTCGGCACCACGGTTGAGAAGGTTTCGCTGGTCATCCTTGGAGGCGCCGCCATAAAGACAGACACACTTCAGCTTGTTGAGCGCTGCGACGGAAGCCATCTGCTCAAAGGTCTGCATGGCGAGTTCTCGTGTAGGCGAAACAACAACGGCCTTGGTGTGCTTGTGCTTGATGGAAGAGACGGCCTCAACACAAGGAAGTGCGAAAGCCATGGTCTTTCCGGATCCTGTCTCAGCGACACCGACGACATCACGACCGGAGAGAGTGAAAGGCCATGAAGCGGACTGAATGGGTGTGGGGGCCTTGTAGTTAGCGAATGGCGAAGGCTTCTTCTCGAGGAGATTTGTGGCGGGAAGTTGGTGGAACTCCAGGACGGGACGAAGAGTGACGGTCTCGGTCTTGGGATCGGTGATGTAGATTTCGTTCTTGGACAGGAACTCGTCAATCTCGGATTGAGGGACGTTGGAGAGCGCAATGGTTTGGGTGTAAGAACCATTGGAGAGAGCCTCAGCGTCAGAAGAGGATTCGGTAGGTGTCTTGGTCTTCTCCTTCTTGGACTTCTTCTTGGGAGACTCTTCAGAGACGTCAGCGGAAACCTCAGTCTCAGCCTCGGCCTGCTTCTGCTTCTTCTCCAACTTCTTCTGCTTCTTAGCCTTCTTGCGCTCCTTCTCAGCAGCGCGCTCAGCGTCAGAGTTCTCAGCACTAGGCTCAGACTCTTGGGCCTTCTTCTCCTTGCGCTTTTCCTTGCGCTCTCGCTTCTCGGCCTTGAGGCGAGCCTTCTCTTCGGAGTCGACCTTGGTCTTCTTAGAGGGTCGGTCCTCGCTGTCGGCGAGGGAATGCTTAGTGGCGGCCATCTTAAGTGAATTAACAAATTAAAGCGACCGAGAGGACTTGTACGAAAGGCGGTCGATGTTATCGCAGAATGGCTGGGAACTAGGTTGCGACGCAGAAATTTGGGTGGGATAAGACATGCCCGGAACAGAAAAAAAAAGTGGCTTATCGATAAGCAAACCGTTCGCCCCACTCACCCTGCATCTCAATTCCGCAGCACATATCCGTACCTACTCCGCTACCTTATCAGGCTAAGATAAGTTCCTACATCGGAGGACTGTAACATACAGCACTGAATTGTTCTAAGTTCGCATTGTCTCGGTAGACTCCAGCTTAACCAGCTAGTGCTGCTATCCTGCACTGCTGGCTACAAGGCTTCATGATTGATTTTGTTGCAACCTAGTTGGGTTCACAATTCAACCAGTCGGCGACACGTGTGTCCTGTTGTGTCTTGACTATAGGAACCATCAACTCTTTAAACGACAGACAACAGTTCCCACGCTCTTGAGTGCGTAACGATAGTGTATGCTTCTCCATCAACCGGCATCCAAACAGGACGGGTGTCATACCTGTAAAGCTGTCACAAGGGCCTTCATGATGCAACTTTCCGTTCGGCTATGGCAACCTGGGTGTTGAGTTACCATGACGCCTTACTTACCGGGCAATGCGACAGCTCGAAATTGGTCTCTCGAAGTTGATCATTTTGGTTATCATGTTGGGCTGTGTCTTGAGAACTACTTATTGGCCAATGAAGTAGCGTTGATTGCACTTTTCCGCCTCCAAAGTTTCGCGGCTTCTAATATTAGGTTCGCGATTGCCTCAGTTCGCTAGCCGCAGATCTACTGGCCACGCTTCCATCATATCTAATGCATGAATGTGCTGTATTGAAGGTCCCAACCTGTTCACGAGGCGGCAGATGGCATACAAGTGTACGCCAGTCCCCAGTTACAATGAGGATCATGTCTTATATCCATCTTTTTCACGAGTCTTATTAGATACCATTCAATGAATACAACAACTCAAGGTCTTTGCTCACTTTCAGGACGACCTGATACCTATGGTGTCGGTGTTCGCGCCGCGTTCTACACGCAATGGCTCGGTACTTTGATCATGGAGTACATCTCTGAAAACTACCTCACAGATTTGCGCTTCGTTGGCCTCTTTTCCTCTGCTGCTGCCTCAATATCCCTGGTTATTGGTATAGCATATAATGTTTTTCAACCGCTCGACATTTACCTGTTGCTCCTCCTTGCTATGGGCTTTTACTTCTTTCTGATGCCCTTGTGCATCTGGCGTGTTATAACAAGATGTCAGCCACACTTGGACCCCTTCCTACTTACAAACGAAACTCATGGGACATTCTACTATCTTGTTCTTCTCACGATACTCACAGCTACTGTGTCAATGGGGACATGGTATTATACTGTCTTCTTGCCACACCTTGACCGCGACTGTCGCGATGTCATATTGATGTTAGGGAAGATAAACTTGGAAAGCAAGGGATATGTGATACTTGGGTCGATCTTTTACATTGGTGTTCTCTTCAGTATTGGAGGATTCATCTTTCTTAACAGTTGTTGCACACCAACAATTCGTGGAGGTACTCGAAATAAGAGATCTCGGTATGAAAACCCCAGCTTTATGTCTTTCTAACTTACAGCTCAGCTGAACATTTCCAGGGCAAGAATCGTGTGGCGTCTCAGGAAACTTCGACTCTTATGTGGGTTCGCGATATTTATCCTTCTGGTCATCGCTATCGAACTTCCAATTCAATGGAATGACATTCAAGGTGTCTACGACTTCGCGACCATCACCCAGCTTCTCCCTTTCCTTTTCTCAGTCGGCGTATTCCTGCGTTCTTGGGCGCTCTACGCCAGCAAAATTAGCACGACTGAAGAGAACGAACCACGACCGAGCTCAGCAACATCTTCACAAGAGGGTGAAGTAGTCCGAATTGCGAGGGTTCCTCAAGATTATAACCCGCGGATATATTATTATACACACTGGCAGCCTCCTTATTGGTATTGGTATAACCAGTATCAAGACAGAGAAGCGTATAATTACAACGATGACTACTATTACTACAACAACAATTATACGAATTGGCCAAGGGAATATCAAGAGCTACGATGGCCACAGGAAGTCTACTATACACGCTGGTCCTAAATTGTTATCCCTATTCATACTCAGATAATTGATAATCTATGTCCTCTCTTTCCGAATCAAGATTAAGGTGACCCTCGGTGAAGGTCGGTGAACCCCGCCGCACAGACCTTAAACCGGACCCCTTGTACTTGCACCCCGCAACCGTAAGTAAACAAAACCGTACATGACCAAAACCATAGACCTCCATCGCCATCGCCAAATTAACCTTCTTTTCGATTGATACCCCCGATAACGCAGAAATGTCGTCAAAGGAGACTTCAAAGAGCAAGGACAAGGATAAGTCCAAGGTTCACAAGCTCTCCCTTAAGGGAAGCGCTCGTCTTGTCGCTGAATTCGTACGTCTACAAAGCCGATTTCCTGTCTGTGAAGGTTTACTAATGGTCCGGGCTTATAGTTCCAATACTCTATTCACAGCATTCTGTATGGAGACTCTATCAGTCAAAGCCGAGGACGTTTATTGACAATTCGACAGCTTCCAACGAGGAGTCTACCCAGCAGAGGACTTTACAGTGTACGTCCTGCCGATATTATGCCCCGATCACTCGACTAATCATACCCAGCGTCAAGAAATATGGCCTCAACATGCTAGGTAACCGCATACCGCTTTGCTCGCGACTCTAATTAGCGGCCGTTCCGACTAACATTACCTAGTCTCGGCCGATGACCAAGTAAAGGCATATATCAAGAAGATCATGTCCCAGCTCGACAAGTGGATGGTAGGCGGCAAGATCTCCAAGCTTGTCATTGTCATCACAGATAAAGACACAGGCGAACACGTGGAACGCTGGCAATTCGATGTATGTTCTTCTCCGACCCTCCGACTTCAACATCATGATCTAACAAATTTAGGTCCAAATCTTCGCACCCGTCAAGAAATCCAAGTCCTCAAAATCCGCCTCCAAAGAACAAGAAAACGCTGCTTCAGCAGGGGCTGCTCCCACAGCCCCCGAAAAGACAGAAACTGAGATCCAAGCCGAAATCGCCGCCATCTTCCGTCAGATCACCGCATCTGTTACTTTCCTGCCCCAACTAAACGGCGACTGCACTTTCAACGTACTCGTCTACGCGGACGCTGATAGCGAAGTTCCTGTTGAATGGGGTGACTCGGATGCTAAGGAAATAGAGAACGGCGAGAAGGTGCAGCTGAGAGGCTTCAGTACGGCAAACCATCGTGTCGATACCTTGGTCAGCTATCGATTCTCGGATTAGTCAGGCGCAGAAAGTGTGCAAAAGACGGAGAAGTTTTGCTTTAGGGATTTCGGTATATCTCAGGAACTACAATCCTGATAGGCGTTACAAGGCGTCATGGGGGCTTTATTTGTTCATCTTCAATCTCGATGATCACGATGGATTTGTACGATACTACCAGGATATCTTGTTATTTAATTCATGCATACATAATAACTCAATCGTCTGAGTAGCGCATGCTCATCAATCACCTTTCTAATCGAAAACTAAACAAAGGCAGCACGAATACGACCGCCGTCTTCTCTTCAACCGCACGCCATTCACCATCCGATGCAACCTAACCCACCAATAGAGTCATGCTGGCTCACGCCTCGCTCATTTATGTACCAACGTTATCCTCTTTTAGACTCGCTTGAAAAAGTACACATATGCAAACTTGCGCATCTCGTCAACATCATGTGCTTCAACGACCTTCTCGTCGTTGAAGAGGACCCATGTTGGGACATTGGCGTCTCCCAAAGCCTTACGAATAAAGGCAACGTAATGTCTGGAACCAGTTAGCAATTATACACGATCTTGATACCAGGAAAAGACGTACCCAGCATGAATACTTGTACCTTTGTGGCATACAATGGATTTCAACTGGAAGCTAGCTGGCAGATCAGCGCTTCCAGCTGGTTCCTTTGCCGCAGGAGCAGCCCCTTCAGCAGGTGCATCACCATCCGTGATACCCTGGTCATCGGGGTGGTTGAAAAGCCAATCTGCAGCTCGCTCAATGTCGCCGTTGGTCTCCTTCAGGGCCTTCTTGGCTTGAGGAGCACTAAAGCCCATGGCTCCAAGCATTTCGACCTTTTCAGGATCTGCGGTGTCGCCACCTCCAGTTTGAGCGCTTAGGTCGAGAGGCGCATCGATATCCGGATCCTCCATATGACCAAACAACCATTCCATCGCGGCATTGGCGTCGGAATTGCCAGTGGCATGAAGGGCGCGTGCGCAGCGGTTATAAGGGAATCCCATGGCTTCTAGTTGAGCCAGGGCGTTAGACTCGGGCTCAAAAGCAGGTGCTTTGGCCTCCGGCTCGTCGGGAAGCTGCTCCTCTCCAGGCTGCAATCCCTTGGAAAGATAGGCGTCCAAGTTGAAAGGCTCGTCGGGCACGAGGACAGGAACGTCGACCTTGATTGGAACCCAGTTGACAACAGTCATCTTTCGCGCGTTTACAACCAAGGTATCGGGGAATGTCTTGAACAGTGATTGCTTCGTGAAGCCATCCTTGCTTCCACAAGCTGAGCAGGTCAAATCAACCTTCTCGGCTCCCGTAAGAATGTCAAGGCACTCTGTCAGTGACACGGGCTTGTAAGCATCTGGGCCATCCGATCCTTCCTCGCGAGGAAGCTTTTCCAGGGGTACATCAATGAAGATGTTGTCCTGCTCGTTGCTACTGTACCTCACCTTGTGGCAACCAAGGCATTGAAGTCTCTGCTCGAGTATGAAGCGGAAGGGTTGTGTAGGATCCTTTCCATCCGGGTGAGAAGATCGAGTGATGAGCTTGAACAAATGTTGGAGAAACTCAAGGGCGTCTTGCTGTCGCATAGTAGAGAATTCTTCGTGTCCTCGACCAATGAGATGCTTGAGCATGGCAGGTGCCAGCCCCTTCTGGTGTGTAATACCCTCCCCAGCCACGTCAACATCGGGCTTGGAGTACCGTCCAGACAAAAGTCCGTCTGCCACCTTTCGCAGCTGGGTCTCGAGATCGGAAGCAGGGTCGGGGACGATGGGAAGATCGGCGCCGGGTTGGAAGTATCGCGATTGGAATGAAGGCATGTCAAATAGACACTGGATGATACTGGCGAGATAGCAACTGTTTCCGAGGTTCTTCAGACCAGTAAGCCCAGGTCCGAACAAAGGCTTGAGCTCCTTTCCATCTTCAGTCGTCATGCTGAAATCCCACTTCAGGTTCTGTTCAATCTGCATCTCAGTCAAGCTTTTCTCGGTCTTTTGGCGCTCGGCAAGCACAATGCCCCAGTGGTTCAAGTGCTCGCCAAGCTTGTCGTCGACTCGTTCGTCATCACACTTATAGCAATAGATGTCTGCAGTACCTTCAGGGGTGATGGATCCAAGCTTAACAGCGACGCCATGGCCAGACTCGTTCGCGTGGGCAAGAGCATGCGAGTTTCCGTCAACGCCACCCATTTGCTTGCGACCACATCCAAGGTTACCACACTCTATACACAGCCAAAGGTTCTCGGCCAGATCACAAGCATAGCAGTGGCTAAGGTCGGTTTGCTCAATCTTCTTTGAAGGCGCCTGCTGAAGCATGAGGATATGTTCACAGCTGGTCAGCTCCTGTTCCCAAGCCTTAACCTCTTCTTTTCGAGAAAACGTGTTGGCCTTGAGAATGCTATCGATCATGGTTGCGAGCTTGGGGTTCGTTCGGTCGAGCTCAATGTTACAATCGAGGCATTTGACAGCCAGTGCTGTGTCGTATCGATCCTCCTCTGTCTCGGCGGCAATGGCCAGCTTGGACATCTTGGCAGGTGGTTCGTCTCGTTCGACGACTTTTCTTGAGCGGCGGATATTAAGTGCAAGAGGGTGCTGGGTCAGCGCATAGTGAAGCTTATCATGGTTTCGGTCGCCGGCACAGCCTCCGTTGAAGCACTGCAGACAAACATCAAGGCCGGTAGGATCATCCTGTTAAGCCGTGTTGTAAGCAGGGTTGTTTGCGATGGCATTCGATCGTGAAGGACCAAGCAAGCGGGAGAACCTTACGATGGAGTCAAAGCATTGAGTGCAATCTTCACGATAGACAGACTGAGAAGGACTGGGGGGTGTCAGCCCTATAGGAATATCAGCTTATGCACTGGCGTTTTGAGATTCGTTTCGAAGCTTGTCGCAGTTATCATGACCATCGGTCGATCAAATGGCGGGGTTGTTTTTTAGCGGTTCACGTACCGATCGATTCGAGATGCGGGCAAGCCATGATGGATAGTGTTGAGTTTTGTCTCTGTCTGTACGATAACGGTTGAAAAGACCAAAAGATAAAAGAAGGGTGCTGATGATTTGTACAAGTTTGGTGTGGAATCAAAAGCTTAGTTAAAGAATCATCATTGGAGATGGAGCTTGAAGTAGGTACAGTACCTGCGTAACGGATGAAGTGATAGGCGGTAGCACACGTCACTGGAGCTCTAAGTTGCCTGGGGAAGACAGCGGGGCAGGTACCAGCCACAGTCCGGGTGGCGCATGCTCTTGCATGATTCCATCTGGAGCCCATGACCTGTGTGATTCCACATAGCGGTTTTAATAGATTTATTATGGTCATTAAGTTCGCTTCATATACGAATAGTACTGTATCCATCAGTTCGATAGGAGAATTCAGAATCCACTGCTTTATCGGTAAACAACCTAAGAAGTGATACACTGTATAACGGAGAGAAGCCTACCCGGTAGCCATTCCTTTCTTGTTTTTAATGCAACATCCATCGTCTAAGAACACAGGATATAGTAATCTAGTTCTAGATTTTACATGGCATTAAGCATTTACTCAAACCTTATGTAGGAAATGTGGTTGACGGTTGTTTTCCTAGCATGGTCAGCTATAACCAGGACAGTGATCGAAGCGTACGGTATCGATATTGAGCATGCAATGAATGTTACCATCGAGGAAAAAGACAGTACGCAACATCAAGCACCCGAGGAAAGAATGAACCATTGGTTGATCTTGTTCCACTAATCATATAGTATTTCGTTAACAATCATAACCAGCCATCGAAGATGACTGCCCACTAACACAATTCTTTCTGTCCAACAATTCTTACAAACTCCTGAACATCAGATCAACCCCATCTTAGGCCTCGTTCTTCTCGTTGTGGGAAACCTCTCCCTGGTGATCATTACCACCAAACATCTTGCCTCCAGGGCCAGAGACACTCTGTCGGTGCTCCCAGGACTCAGTGGGCCGCCACTTAGTGGACTTGCTAGCAACACTGACTTCATCATAGAGCTGGTCGACCTCCTCAAGAGAGAGTCCCTTGGTTTCGTAGATGAAGAAGTAGACAAAGGCAATGCACAGGAAACAGCAGCCGAACCAGATGAAGAAGATCTTGGACTGGAGGTTGGCCTTTCCGGAGCCGTAGTCGACGAGGTAGGGAGTAGAGTAGGCTGTACCATGTTAGTGACTGCGATGTAGAAGTTTGTTATAAGAAGAAACTTACCAATAGCCCAGTTGAAGAGCCAGTTAGTAGCAGTGGTCATACTGAGAGACTTGGCACGGGTCTTGAGAGGGAAGATCTCGCCAGTGACGACCCAAGCCAGGGGACCCCATGTAGAGGCGAAGAAGAAGATGTAGATACAGACAAAAGAGACAGCGGCTTTCTGTCCAGCCAAGTTCTTGACGAAGATGGTTCCGTCGGCGTTCTGGCCTGTGGAGAATGTACCACACATGGCAACGATGAACTGTGAGACACACATGCCAATGGCACCCCAGAAGAGAAGAGGTCGTCGACCCCATTTATCGATGGCGTACATTCCAGGGATGGTTGAGGCGACGTTGATGGCTGATGTGATCATGGAAATGACGAAACCGCTGGAAATACCCGAGTTTTGGAAGTACTTGGTACCGTAGTAGAACTAGAATTGTTAGACATTTTTCACGAATCGAACTGTGTGTGAATGCTTACGATGAAATTGATACCGGTGAGCTGCTGGAGTGCCTGCAAAGCGCAACCCGTGAACTGACGCTTCAGAATAGGAGGTTTGAAGCAATCCAGGTAAGAGGCTGTGCCAAGGGTCTTCTCATACTCGTGATTGGCTCTAACCTCAGAAATCTCAGCCTGAATAGCAGGATGATCTGGTGTGAGACGGCGGATCTTGGAAAGAGCGCGGGCGGCATCTTCATGGCGGTCCTTCTTGATGAGAAATCGAGGAGTCTCGGGCAGCAAGAGCATGCCGAAGAAGAGGATGAGGGAGTAGAGAAACTGGACAGCGATAGGAATGCGGTAAGAGCCTGTATCGTTGCGTCCACCTGTAGCATTGTTGACAATGGCTGCGAGTAGGAGACCGATGGTGATGGCCCATTGATATGAACCGACGATGGCACCTCGAATCCACTTTGGTGCTGTCTCGGACTGGTAGAGGGGAACTAAGCCGTGTTAGTTACAGGGAGTTGCAGTATGGTTGCTGCGAGTACTTACTAATAGCAGAGATCTGACCAACGCCGAATCCAGCAAAGAATCGACCAGCCAGGAACATGGGAATAGCAGTAGCAGCAGTCTGAAGAGCAACACCCAGGTTGAAAACCCAGGTAGCAATCATAAGACCAGGACGACGACCGATATAATCAGTCATGAACGGAGATGATAGAGCGCCGAAGAAGGTTCCAGCAGAAAGGATCGAGACAATGCCTGACTCCTGAGCTGTTGTAATAGTACGGTTGCCGTTGGCATCTATGTATCCGGTGCTGAAGAGCCGCTGCCAGTATGGCATAGCCAGGATACCAGAAATGGTACCGGTATCATATCTGTAGGCAACTGGTCAGCCTGGGCTGTAGTAGAATAGTTAAGAGGAGACATACCCATAGAGAACACCACCAAAGGCGACAAAGGCTCCAATGGCGATAGCAGGCCATGCCTTGCCAGCCTCCTCGGGCTTACTGAGAGATGCCCTTCGAAGAGTATTCATTTTCGGTAATTGCAGCTCCTCGTAGCCAAATTGAAGCTGAAGGTGTTGATACGTTTGTTTGTGTAGGAAGGAAGAAGTGGAGGAAAACAAAGCTTAGTGATACTTTGTTTATGTGTGAGTAACCTGGGACGAGAAAATCAGTTGCACATGAGGGCGATTGCTCCATTTTAAACACAAACAAGGCTGGTCGACAACTCAGGGACTAATTGACTTTGGTGTGTGCACAAACGGCCACACTCAAAGCCAAACTCAAAGCTCGTAATGCGAGGAGCTGCAGCTCTCTCTGCTGTTAGCTTCTGTACGGCTCGATCGGCGAGTGGACAGCTCACTTGGGTAGAGGTCTCTTGATGCGGAGCAGCCGCACCAACAACTTACGATTGACGAAGCTAGACCAACAAATTACCACAGAAGGGATTAGTCTATAGTATTAGGCGAAACTGAGGGGTTGCCACTTGGAGGGTTAACAAGCATGGGGTTGAGGGGGGAGAGGGTCATGTGGTCATTGGTTCAATAAAGATCTCGTTGTTTTCCCGCCCCAGAGTCAAGGTCAGCCCAGGGCAAGTGTTTCTACTCGAGGCAGGCCATCCATGTCGTCACCGGCGGAGTTGACGATGTCTGCTATTAAACGCCTTCGCCGCATTGAGACCGATGGTGGTGGCAGACTAGGATGAGGAATAGAACTAGGGCTAGGGAGGACGGGTAGATGGTGGCGCTCTCTTCCGTTCGACGATGTTGCATGATATTGAAGACGAGAACGAAGAGAGCTGTCATTGCTTTGCCATGTAGAAGGATCGATCCTTTGGTTTGTGCAAACTCTCATATCCTTCAAACTCTCCCATTTCAAGGGTTGCAGATAGACTACTTCTGCATGAGACATACTCTATTTCCCCAGGCTCTCACCCACCCCAGAAATGAAACGATAGCAAAGTCTTACTCCACAGAACAAAAATGTTGGAGAGACCTGGAGAACTTGAGACTAGAGTGCTACCTAATGCTGGGGTTGAGAGTGGATCCTTCCCCGAGCCAAGACCCGGGCCAGGCCGGCTCGGCGACGCAGATGCCGAATCCTATTACCAATTCAGGAAAGTCTATTACTTCACCAAGCAATAACAGTCCAATCCTTTGCCACAAGTAAGCAATAAGATTTATATCGCAGCGACAATGAAGATAGCTTCAATACTAATGCCATAGCGCAAAAATAGCAGTAGACGTTTGCTGTGTTCCAACTTCCTTCTTTCTCAGCGCATCAACAGCCAGCATCTTATGTTTACTGTGTCTGGTGACTGGCGACTGGATACAATTTACTTATAGCGCGCACGCAAAGACCACCGGTTTCGGGCCTTTTGTGGGAGAGTTCCTGATCCTCTGAAGATGGATTTCAACCCCAACAAACCTAACCTCTTTCGTGTCGCTTCGCTTCGGTGCAAGGGAAGGAAATCTGAAGACCAACAATAGATCACAAGACTCGTTGCTTTTTCCTCTCTTCCGTTACACGAGTTACCACATGAATACAATCACATCATAGAGTACTGTCCAGATCGTGTTCTGGTTTAGTGTCAAGTAGTTAGTGTTCATTTCCTAATGAACCAATCTCCTCTAATCATGCAGACAGTGACATTTTGGTAAACGCGTCCCGTCTACACCATTATTCAGGTCGGTCACTATGCACACAGACGCAATGCGGCGTTACAAGGCTGAGTGAGGGAGAGTGTGACAGACACCTTCAGTGGTTGGAGATGGAGGTAACCCTTATCTATGGCTGGACCAGGGCTCTAACCTTAACTTTGTTACTGAGCACCTGCAGGACCATAGTCAATTACGGCAGCATTTGTATTGTGAAGCGAACGTTTGTTTGTTATTGTGAAATGTAAAGAGAAGAAGCGAGCTTGCATGTGTTTGTGCCGAACGATACACAGTGACATGCTGTCTTGCTCTGAGATATGCTCGCGTATTGAGTTGGATAATCACCCTCGTGACATGAAAGTCAAGATATCAACCTCAACTCGACTGATCAGTGGCTGATCCTCATACTGTCGTCTCGGTCTCAACTTGATTCTCCATCCCCGATCCCCCAGACATTAACTCCATGGGGTTATCAGAAACCCCCGCATCTTGGCTGGACCATTGATCCTGTCAGTCGGCGATCACTCAGTCTGTGTCTGATGAACTCAATTCCCCAGACCATTCGAGACAGCCCACCATCATCTCCAACTCTCACTCTACATCCCCCCGCAGTTGTCGGACCGGTGTTGGACCCTGGCCCTGGTCTAGCGCAACTCTTGTTAGACGGTACCACCGAAAGCTGCACCGTTTCAACGGCTATCGGCATCTTGCTAAGGAGTTCTGAATAAATTCTTTTGCAAGTTATAGACAGGGATAAATCGGCATGTCTGAGGTGCTTCGATCAGACAATCCTGTCGGCGGTATTATGGAGCATGGTCTTTGTGTTGGTGGTGTCTTCAATCCGGGGATCAAAAAGATCGACAGTGACCGTTGAGAGGATGGACGAATGATAGACTGACAGACAAGCGTATGACTTGCAGACACCATTTCCAGGACTTTGTCGGACCGTTGGTTTCTTGATGAGTCGTTTGACAATAGTGCCGACTGTAACCTGGAGTTGCAGCTCCAACACCTCCGCGAAATGCAAGAGCAAAGTATGCATATGCAGGCATGACTCTGATCGTTCTGTGCTCGGGTTTAGGTACGGATAGACTATGCGGGGTTGAGATAGACGAAACTCCATAAGGATTGAAGAATGGCGAAAGCTGGGGAGTTACCCCAATCGTGGGTACAAGAGCTCAGCTAAAGGCATACATTGGCGTGCCCGTAGCCCCCGCTAAACTTGGTGGACGTCTGTCTGTCCATAAGTACCTTTTTCAGTAACACAAGTACCCCCTGGACGTATAGGTCTAAAGTGTCAGAAAGGGTCTGGTTGAAATAGGGTTATTTTGTATTGCCTTGGACTGTTGATTTCCCAATACTTTCATCATTATCTGCACATGCTTTAGATCTTGGAATTCTTGGTGCTTGGTGGGATAAGCGACCAATCTTGGTAGTACTAACCCCAAGGACAACCTTCCACTCTTCCCTCCCAATGTATCTGCCCAAGCTGAGCCTCAGCATAAGTGAAGAAAGCATTTAGAATAGTAGTTAGTCATTATTTAAAAACTTGGGCCAGCTCTTAGGTGAATCATTACTGGGCCCTTAGCTTTGGATAACAATTTTCTCCAAGCCATCATATTCTCAGTTCTTACGCAGCCGCTTGCTAAGGCGCTCACCACCACCGACCGAAACAAATCTTTCCATGAGCGACTTAGCCATCTCAACAGCAGTCTCTACATGTTGCTGAGCCTGATCATTACACTCTTGAGCTTTAGTAATGTGATCTTGCGCTTTGTCTGTATACTTCTGAGCTTGAGCTGCATGCATGTGGAGCTCCTTCGCCTTCTCGTATGCTTCGTCAAATTCTCCCTGGGTTGCTTCCCAAGACCCTGCTTTTTCCTCTTGGATTCGGCTCTGAACTTCGGACAGGCGCTTTCCAAACTCATTCTGAATGTTGATGAGCTCTTGTTGGTATTTGTCAGGGGTGGCGTTGCTGCTGTTGTTAGTCGACTCTTGAACGTTGGATAAGGAGGAGTTATCGTCCACGGCAATGATCTGGCTGTTTGACGAGCTTGGACGAGAACTATGCTTGAGCACAGGCGGGATCCGATTCTCGGTCTCCTGCCTGCCCATGAAGAGAACACGCTCTCTTTCAGCGTTATCGAGATGCGGATAGAATGGCTGCTTGGGGTCGAGCCTGACGCCCCAGTGTTGCTCCATGGTTGAGTACATCTTCCGCAAAGCCCCGTCTCCCTCCTCAAATATTGCCTGAACGGCAAAGAAGAAGGGATAGTAAGGGCAGGGCCCGCTTCTGAAGTATTTTCCTACCCCTACCACCTTCCTATAAGCTTCATGTTGGCTTATAGCCGTAGCAGCGGTGATCCATTTACCTGCGGATCTTGCTTAGTATAAGGTTCAAATCGAGAGCTGTGTGATCAAAAGTGTTGTTTGTCAAGTACGTATTGCGGGCATCTCCAGATGTGCCACTGTCACACCCCAAGTAGATTCACTTACCGGTTTTAAGGTAACTGCACAGCTCATGAATGCCCTGTCGCGACATAACGGCTCGGGCCCTTTCATAGGAGGAAAGAACCTGCTCAATTTGTTGTTTGGCCCATCCTTCGCTTACTGCCGTGCCAGTCAAGCGCCTCAAGTCAAAGCTGTCGAAGCTGAGGGCATGATCACAGCCGAAGGCACAGTCGACCGGGAAATGCTCCATGAGGGCGATTAAAGACCATTAGAGCTGGAATGATACAGTAGTCTTGAGCAAGGTTAGAGTTGCTTTAGGCTGTCTGGCCTGCTTATGGAAGAGTTAGTATGAGCACCATACGGTTCAGGATATCGTTTCCACACATGCACCTAAGACCTAAGTGACGGAACCGGCGCTGGAATAGTTGTAGGATGCCAACCCTAGGGCTCAAGCTTCTAGGGTGAAGTTGTAGAAAGTGAAGCACAAAAAGAAGAAGAAAACGAGCGAGGGTGGAGTCTGATCGCGTTAGGCATATATGTTTGTGTTATAGACACTTCAAAGGCGTCAAGGGCCTACTGTCTGCCACTGCCAGAGTCACTGCTGCCTGCCACTGCCAGTGAATAAAAATAACTACCTCCAAGTCTCGGTCTCTTGGAACCCAGCAGAGAGATGGACTTGGACAATGTCACGGTACAAACAATTCATGAGAGAACAGTTTCTCATATCCAATATACAAGTATTCATATTGTTTGAAGTACTTAAGATAATTATATACTTTATGATAATATACCAATTCGGCAGGATGGCTAACCTTTCCCATACATCAATGCTTGCTAAATAGCCCATCTACAGCCAAGTTTTACTCGTACTGAGCCTCTTGTAACTACTCAACTTCGGCTTCTTAAACTCCCTCCCCGTACTTTCCCCTTCATCAACCTCCTTTCCGCTCGCCACATCCTGGAAGAAATAGTGATTCGCACTTGGTGCAAACGCAACCTTCCACGGCACGACGAGATGTCTCTTCTCAGGGCCGCCTCCGCAGCTCCCGTGCAGACTGTTGCTGGGCGGACTGTTAATCGCCAACGAGAATAAGTTCTGCGGCTCTGTGAAGTCTGTTACTAGACCAGAGCGCATCATGAAGTAGCCGAGACAGAAGAGGTTGATGGCGAAGACAAGGACCAGGATAACGTAGAAGATGTTTTGCCAGCCTTGGGTGTGACCGGAGGTATATTCTTGTGTGATGAGGGATGCGTTGAAGGGTTGGAGGAAACCTGGGCCGTCGTCGATGACGTTCAAGGGATACTTTTTGGGATCTTGGTCCCAGTAGTGGCGGAAGGGACTGTCGATGGCGCTAATCATGATGAGGGAACTGGAGTAAACGGCTAGGGCTTCGGCCATGGAGGGATAAGAGGCTGGCATCTTGGGTTCGTGGAGGGCGAGTTGGGTGAGGATGCGAGCATTGGAGGCGTTGTTGTTAATAACGCCCCCGTTGAGATCCATAGATAATCGCCATTGATCGGCAAGCCACTATTTCTGTTAACGTTGATCATGTCATAGGGGTATGTTGAGTTTACCTTCCAGTCCAGGGATGGGAAAGACCAGCCTTGATCAGCAGGGAACGACCGACGATATGCGTTCTCATCCTCGTCATCCTCACAGTGAGCATTCATATTAGCACCAGCAGTGCCGGAAATGCTAAATTCGGTCGAACAGTTGGGAGAAACCCAAGATCGGAGTTGGCAGAGAGTGTAGTTCTTATTCCCAGAGGTCTTGCCAAGGGTGTAGATAGCGTCACCAGCATAGACGGTTGCGTTGGTGAGGAGATTGAAGTCGAAAGGGTACTGTGACAAGTTAGATACTATCCCATACTCAGGCACGTTGACTTACCATTTGGAAGACGGGAGGGCGACGTTCGTACTTGGGTCCCCATTTGAAAATGTCATCAACATCAGTTCGGTTGAGATAATAAGGCTTATCCTTGCTGTTAACCGGCTGGGGCACTTCGCCTGTCCAGCCAGCCCATCCAGTCTTCTGGCCAGGCACGGAAGTGTTGTTGTTCTTAGCATTAGGCCACTCCGTGTAGACAAGAGGAGACAGCTCATCCCGGTCCATATCGACACATAGAACATTAACAGAAGGTGAGACAACACCAGCTCGAATCTTGTATTCCCCCACACCAGCAAGATCATCGGGTTGCAGAATCCCATTCTTCTTGAGAGTAGCAGCACCATAGATACCAGGATGAGGAAGTGCCAGGGTGACATTATTAATGATTCTTCCCGTCTCCTCAAACTGCGCAGCAACATCGCCATGCTCCGTCTCAATCCACTGGGAGTACAGGGTGGTGTTGTCGAAGAGTAGCGTAGTTCCACCGGGTCGCTTCTTCAGGTCTGAAGGAATTTCAGTTCCATTTTGGTTGATGTTTGTCCACACGGTCATGTAGTTGAGCAGATTTCGGTATGACTGTCCAGAGAATTGAACGTTCATACATGATTCTGCGGCGTGGACATCTTCGGTCATGTTGAATAGATAGGGACAGTCTTGACGGACGTGCGCAGCGTTGGCGTATGAGGCCTTTACGTAACCTTGGAGTTCCTTGTGTACCCAGCTTCCAGACTTGAGTTTCGGCGAGACCATGGCGTCTGAGGCAGTGGTGTAGAATGCAGCAGCAAGGGTGGCGGTTAGCGATAGCATGCCGAGAAGAGTCAGCGATGATGAAGGAAGAGTCTCAAAGTGAGTGATTAGAGATCCTGGCTGAATGACCCAATTTCGCATTGTCATCTCAGCAAGAGACATTCCCTGTGCCCTTCGAATAAAAGCTCGTCGGGTGAGAACTTGTCCGAGGCAGGAGACAAATACTGTGACGAAAGACATTTCGATGGTCTTTGCTAGAAGAGCGGCGAGTGTTGTGGCGGTTGATGGTGAGAGTGAAGCTCCTGAAGCGATCTGGTGACCCCATCGTGGTTGGAGAATGGCCGTCACTAGCCAGATGCCACTTCCAACAGTTGAGTAGATAGATAGGATATAAATGGTTATTGAGAGCCAACTTGATCTGGGCTGGTGAATATCTCGATCTGATGAACAACCCTTTGGAGGTTCAGCTGTAGAGTATAAGCATGAGAGTATCACAAATATTCATCAAACTTACCAAACTTCTTATAAAAGATCTCATCATCATAGTCATCATCTATCGTGTCTCTCCTAGGCTCAACAATCTTTGGAACATTCTGTCCAGAAGATGAAGGCGTGATCTCTCGTTCTTGTGTTTTGGGCATCTCTTTGACCTTTTCAGATTCGCCACCAATGTTTGTCTGTGAATTACCTCTAGAGCGAGGCATAGACGGTGCCCAAATCTCAGAATATGGCTCTGGAGTTCCTTGCATGTCGGAAGTACGGGGACTAAAAGAACCCTCTGGAGGATGACGAGGCGAGTCGCCCATCAAGTTGTGGTAGGAATGCGGTGTCTCAGGCGGGCTCAACTTGTGATGTTGATTCGGATCCGGAGATTGATTCTGAGACGGCGACGATCCCATTGAAATCCCTAGCCCCGAAGCGGAACCAGGAGCTGTTTTGAGGTCAGACATCTCGTGGTGTCCCCCTTCTGATGACATGAGGGACTGGTAGCCACTGCTGTTTCCAAAGATATTTATGCCGTGAGATCTCCTTGGCGGCTGGAGATTATCAATAAAGTACTCGTCCGAGTAAGTAAAAGGGCTTGAAGTAGACGGGTCGGCCATTGCGGTGTAGGGGGAGGGGGGCAATGGAGATTAAGGACGTGATTTTTTCTTTTCTTTTTCTGATCATATGCAGAGAATGATGCTGTTGCTGATGCTGGTTCGAGGAAGCTAGACCCATGCTCTGGTCCGTCCCGTTCAACAAGAACGTTGAAAGTTGCGAAATCCACTTGATCAGCAGGGATATGGAAAGGATCGCTGGGTTCGGTTAAGTTGACGTGGCGCAAGACAGGGACAGAACCAACAACAACAAAGAGGGAGGATTACGGATAAAGAGGGAAGATGTAGTTGCTAAGAGAGTGAGTATCTAAATTTGCAGCGGTCAAGCCTAATATCCATCCCCATATGGTCCTTGCTCCCGAGTCTTCCTTTTTCTTTCTTTGACACAGACACAGACACAAACATAAACACGTAATATTTTAGAACGACGTAAAATAGCATAGGGACCCAGTTTACTACTTTAGATCCATCTCTACTGTTGTAATGCGTGGGATAAGGCTGAGTCTTCAGGTGGATTGGATGTTGGAGGGAGGCTGACCGCTGGCTACTCTACTGTACTGTGGACCACGATCGATCAACATTTGAGCAGGGCTAGTGGTGACATTATGATCCTATGCTCTGTATAGGCTATCATCTTATGCTGTAAGCTCTAATTGAGAGGGCAACAAACAGTACATGTACATGTAAAAATAGCTGTTGCTCTTTCAATCACAAGTGGACAGTAAAGTTGCGACATCGTATCTAAGCCCCCTGCTTGCCTATTGCGGGTCTAATAGCCCTGCAGATCTTTTGATACAGCGGGCAGTTCTCCCTGCAAACTTAATCAATGAAAAGCCATCTTTAGGAACGCCACTGTTTCATCTCAAGCTTCACTAAGTCTCACAACATTATATCATGATGAGCACTGAATTCAATTGGAGACTGTCAACGTCAACCAATCTGAGCATTTTCTCTTTGAGCTGCAGACTGCAGTTCATCCCAAAGCTAAGGCTAAAGCTAAGGCTAAGGCTGTGTAACGCTGCACTGCAATGCACCTCGCCTCTCATAGTCATAGTGGATCAGATCACTTCTGCTGACAGGTAGATAGATCCACCTCTGGTCCTCCATTCCATGATTATGTACCAGGGTATACGGAGTATTAGCTGGACGATAATAATTCCGATATCCATTCCCCGACTGTCAGGTGAATCGCCAAGTCTTTGTATGTTACAGGTGTCACTTGATTGAACTCACCGTTTCCGTCTCCGAAGCCATGTCAAGAGAAGAATTAAATCCGCAAATCATGAAATTCGAGTGTAAAACTCAGAGATTATGTATAAATCAAGGATTCTTGTAGGTAAGCACAAGTAGGATTTTAGGATCTGGGCCCCAGCTGCGTCTTATATTCCATCCTCGTGGCTGAGTCCAAACAAACGTCAGCGAAGGATCTGGAGTTGTAAAGATATACGAGTACATCACAAGACATGGGACGATACAAAGAAATCTCGCGTATCCGTTGCTATGGTCAAGTCCGCGGCAGGGCAGCTTATGAAGCCACCAGATCCTTGATGCAAGGCGCAACGTAAGCCTATCTCAAGCTTATTTAGATCCAAGCCACGCAAATCCATCCAATAACTTACACCGCCAAATAACATTCATTATGTACTGCGCATATTGCCTGTAAGGGAACGTCTGTCATTACAAAAGTCCTCTCATCATGATATATACACACGCATCTCACTTCCATACAAATGTCCCTTTGGTATCTGAACGTCATCACTATGGAAATCGTGCAACATAAGCCAGCAAATCATTCGTAGAATAAGTGTGCACCATAACTCGTTTGAAGCAAAAAGATATGCTGCACACTCTGCTTTCCGAGCGTCTTCACTTTTGGCGGCATTAAACTCTGCATCGGATTCCTTCAGTTTAAAGAACGTCGCCGAAAAAGACAACCGCAATGCCGGGAGGATTTCTTGGAAGTACGTCTTCATCAGAAGGTCTTCCTTGTCTGCACCCCCAAAGCGTGGGAATGCTTGACCATTGGATGCTGCGTTCATTTGGCACAGAACCTCGTCGAAATGCGATCCTATAACATCATGTACGCTAGGCGTCTGTGAATCCCCAGAGTTTCTCAGGGTCTCGTCCAACTGGCTAAGTACCGAATGAAGAGCGTCCTGAGCCTGCCAGCCATAAACAGGAGTGTCTCGTTGAAGTTGGATCTCCGTCTTTGGCGCCAAGAGAGTGTTGAGATGATGAAAAAGCTGTCCACGAGTTGCACCCGTCTCTTGTTGTAGATATCTTCGATAAGAGATGAGCAGCTTGGGCAGAGAGAATTCTCTGGGGCACCAAGCGAAGTAACATGGGTTAGGGATGTATCTGAAACAGAGATCTCTGATGTGGAATATTTGGCCGATCATACCCATTAATTCAAATGTTACTGTAAGGTATTAATAAGCTGAAAAGTCATTCGTGGGTATAATGTTGCTTACCTGGGAAGATATGCGATGTTACAGCGCCTTCTTTCAAGAAATAGTTTGCCGACTTGCGATCACAACCAAAGCCAGTCAAAGTATCCGCAACATCCGTTCGACTCGCCAAGCGAATAAAAGGAGAATCATGGGTATCGCCATTAGAAACCTTTCTAGGCGATAGAATTGTCGGGAGTTGTCCAAAAGCAAGCCTCATAGCCTCTCGATCCGGAATCGGCCTAGTTTCTTCGAAAACAGCTTTATCCAAGGCTTGGAAATAGAACATAAGGCCAAATCCACTGATCTTATGACCTTTAACAAGATATCCATTGCCTTCGGCTTGGTAAATGTTGTAAGTCGGGTTAAAGTCACGCCAGTATATACCCAGCATAGCCAGCATCTCTATCAACTGGCTCATGGTGGTGGTTGCGTATGGACGGTTGACTGATGGTGGCATATCATCCCAGCTCTTTCTCTCACTTTGTAAAGCTGCGCGGAGACTGTGTTTTCCCGAGATGGAGCTTAAGATCGCTTGGGCACTGGCTGGACGTGGTCTTAGACTCATGATTTGTTGTCTTGTCCAACTTTGGGATTGGTTCTCCATTTTTTGCAGACTTGATAGGAGAGTGAGCCATGTTGCTCTCTCGTTCTTGATCACTCGACCTGCTTTGTTTCTTGTATTTGTAGGAGGTGGTTCGAGATCCGTACGAGTGTCATCCAAACTCTTTCGCGTCCCATCGATAAAGTACACCTGAGCATCTTGGATAGGCCCATCAGTAGATCCAGGGGTCGAGACAAAGATGAAGGGAACTTCAAACTGAATCTCTGTCCGAAACTCTTTCGCTTTCCAGATCTTTGTCCGAGAGTTACTCCATCGTCCCATAACGTTTGCTCCGCAGTTTGGTGGTGAGCGGAACTGCTTGAGAGAAAAGGGTGCTTCGGGACTAGGCTCTATAGGAGACTTGACTACACTGCGCATGGTGATAGCTCTCATCAAATCTGTAGTCAAGCGCTGGTTTCCACTCATCTGCACATAGTATTCGGGATGCTTCAGTTCAGTCCTGGACATGATGGGGAATGCTGATAGGATGGAGGAGTTGTCGGCGAGACTGAAGCTGGTCATCACCGAACCTACTATTGAGCGATTGCGGGTCGAGGTTATTGAGAACGCGTCTGTTGAATTGTACACGCGTTGATACACATGTGACTTTTCAAGCATCTCTTCGAATTCCTTTCTTGGCGGCGACGAAATTCCATTGCTCGCCTTAGATGTAGTCTCGGCTGAAGAAGTGCGCTTTGGTACAGGTCTTGATATCTGAGGAACCATTGGTTCTTGCAGAGGAAAGCTCAAAGACTTCTCGCTCGAATTGAAGCCGTTCCAATGATTTTCCTCTTTATATGATGTGGCCATAGATGAGTTCTCCGTCTCGTCGTCGTCCTCTTGCCAATTAGCGAGGGTCGTCCCCAAGGATGATCTATTCGAAGGGAATAGAGCTGGGTTCTCCATAATGTATGTATTGAATAAGGCCTCGATTCTTTCCACGCGCTGTTGAGTGAGTTCGCTGTTTTGTAGAACCTTTTCGATCTTCTTGGCTAGTTTGTCCTGAGATTCCATGATGACCACGTCCGAGTCACTATTTGAAGTTAGCAGCTGTAGAGTTGATATGTAGAGAGGCGCACCATTGTAGGATATTTAGGATAAGAGTGACAGAGCTCTTATGAGCCTGCATCTCCCGTATGTACTTAACTACATCATCCTGCACTCTGAACCACTGAACCTTATCCCATTTATTCAAATGCAAAGTCCGATTCTCATCCAACGGCTTGAGCGTTGAAATCAGCCGATCGCACGTCGTAACCAACTCGCTAATGGTGACCGTCGCATCGTGAATGTCAACTGACATCCGCGCTGTCTTTGGTACCGAATCAGGATCATCGATAAGACCTTTCAGTCGCTCGATAGCCCAGTGCAGTTCTCTTGTTTCAGCGTGTGCCCAGATCACTGTTCGGGGACAATCTTCAAGACTGGTCTTTACTTTGTCGAAGACTTTAACGATGGAAGCTGCGACTGTTAAGAGGCCGGCTACGCCACTAGCGATGCTCAGAGGGTCCATGGTAGAGGGTGAGAAGCATGGACTGATCGAGTGGCATTTTGTGAGGGTAACATGGAAGTTATAGTCTCAGCTGAAAATCAGGCTGGCGGTTCTTGACTGTTACAGGATAGTCAAGTTCTGTAGGCTGGCAGCCTTATTGACCGATATTGCCTCAATGATGTAGTGGTGCATAATGATTAGGTTCGAGGAGTTGTTTGTCCGGATTACAAATGGATATAAGATCCCAGTCAGTTAAGCACAAATGGTATGGTAAGTCCAACGTTTCAGAATGTCAGATTCTATATGTTTCGTTTGAGTCTGCCTTGGCTGTTTGGTGAGGCGTTTTTATGCCCGTGAGTTCTGCGCATGTTAGGTCCAGATGCGGCTTGCAAGTTAATACAGGTGGCATGACTCTAGAGCATCATGTTTCATCATGTGTAACTATGATTTGGAATTATTGCTTCAACATTTCATTCAAGTTATAACAAGCGAGCAATAGTACTCAATACTCCAGTTGTGTTTGCTGTAGATGTCAACTTGTCTCATGCCATGTCTAGGGTGGCTAGATAGTTAACGATAGGCTGGGTCAAGTTAGCCTCTCCATACCTCAGATGTTTGCCAATATTGAATTGTCTGCTCACAACTTGTGTTTCTAGGAAGGATCAATTCACTTGATCTCACTTGCCATTGTCAGTCCCAATACCCGTCCATGCATAATCAGCCGCAACAGACCGGGATGTATCCCCTCCAACCACCTGACAATCTCCACCAACTTCATCCCCCCCTCTTTCATCGTCTCTCCCCCTCCTTCTCTCGCCGTCCAGCCCTACGAGTCTAGTCTAGGGCTGACAAGCTGGGTCCTTTGTGAGCGGCAGACTACAGGGATGTTGAACGGCCCGTCAAGGGTTCTTTTGGGGGCCAAGCTCGACGATGTCACCAGAATGAGACCTATCCTGGTTATATTTCTCTGCCAGCCGTCTTACATACATGTAGCCGCTGGAGCCAAGCCCGGCGAAGCGCTTCAACGGCGTGTCAAGTCATACCAGAGCGTGAATTAGAACTCGTCCCGTGTTTGTGCATCCGGGGTTTGAGATGAGTTGGCCGCTGATGGACCTGAGACGCTGAAGACTGTGTAAGCGCTTATGTTTCTGGCGTGCATAGTATAGATGTTCCTGGTTCGATCAAGAGGATAAAAGGCGCTTCGGGGGCCTTTCTTGAACCTGAGTTTCTTTTCATTCTCTTTCCATTTCCCAGTTCAGTAAACCTTGTCTTGAGTGAGTAGAGTTCATAGACTCTTCCTCAAACCACCACGAAAGATGTCATCTTGTTCGTCCTCCCCCAGTGGAGCTAATGTCGATGATCTCGGAGACCGATCCAAGGTTACTCCTCAACAGGTCATTGACAAGTTCTGGAAGCAATTCACGACCAAGAAGCCCGGAAAGGGTAAGATATTTGCTTCCATAACGTACCTAAACACAGCTGACAAACTCCAGCCACAACTGTTGTTCCCTCCAACACATACACTGAGTTTGCCGCCAAGAGAGGCAATCAAGTCACAACAACAACCTGTCAAGCTTCTTATGATGACGCCGCAGCAACATGCCGTGCCAAAGTTGAAAAGATCGTCAAGGAGTGTCGTCGCGTCAACAAAAGATACCGTGACCCTCACTTCGACATTGAAGTAGACCTCAAGTGGCGCCAGAACGATTGTCTTCGTTCTTTGTCCAACAGGGAAGACGAAGTGCCTGGTATAGACCTCGCACCTGAGAGCGTCAAACGAGTAGGCGAAATATTTGATAATCCTCGCTTCTATATCGACGGCCCTACTGCCAATGATATCAGACAGGGTCGCAATGGAGATTGTTGGTTCATTGCTGCTCTTTGCACCTTGAGCGAAAAGTCTGGTATGATTGAGAGGCTATGTGTCGCTCATGATACCGATGTTGGCGTTTACGGCTTTGTCTTTTACCGCGACGGTGAATGGATCTCAGAGATCGTTGACGACTTTGTATGTCTTGCTGTGATTTCTGAGTAACTTGGTACTGACCAGTTCATAGCTCTACCTGATCAAGCCTGATTACGATGAGGGTTATCTCGACAGAGTCCTGTTCGACGATATCGAGCGAGTGGACCCTGACGAAGCTTATCGCCGCATTTTCCAATCCAACAGTGGCGCTCTCTACTTTGCTCAGTGTGCCCATCCTCAAGAGACTTGGCTGCCTCTCCTTGAAAAGTGTTACGCCAAGGCTCATGGAGACTACTGTTCCATTGAGGGTGGGCATGAAGGTGAAGGTCTTGAAGATCTCACTGGAGGCATTACCTCTGAGCTCGTCACTACTGATATTCTGGACAGGGTTAGACCTATGCAGCTAATAATCGTGAGAACGAGGACTAACTAACACACATATAGGAGTACTTCTGGAAGGAACAACTTCTCAAGGTCAACGACGAATTTCTTTTCGGGTGTAGCACTGGCGTCTTCGGTGGTTGGGGTGAGCGTAAGGGCATTGTAGAGGGCCATGCCTACTCTATTCAGAAGGCCGTCGAGATTGACGGTAAGCGATTACTCAAGGTCAAGAATCCTTGGGGCAAGCATGAATGGACTGGCCCATGGAGTAAGTGAATACCTTACTGTTAATATTGCACACTTGCTAACCAATACCAGGCGATGGTTCAAAGGAGTGGACAGCCGAGTGGCTTCAAAAGCTCGACCACCGCTTCGGGGATGACGGAGACTTCTGGATCTCATATGAAGACTTGCTTAGAAAGTACCAGACTTTTTCGAGAACCCGTCTCTTCACCCCTGAGTGGCGTGTCACTCAACTCTGGACAACATTTGCCGTCCCTTGGGTTCTGGACTACCACGACTCGCACTTTTCCTTCACTCTCTCAAACTCAGGTCCTGTGGTGATCGCCTTGTCTCAACTCGACGATCGTTTCTTCAAAGGTCTTGAAGGCCAATACCGTTTTGAGCTCAACTTCCGGCTGCACAAGGCCGGTCACTCAGACTATGTCATCCGCAGCCAAGCTCCGTTCTGCATGACACGCTCTGTCAACGTCGAGCTCGAGCTTGAAGCAGGCGACTACGAAGTCCGCGTCAAGATCAACGCGACACGCGACCTGGACATCTTGCCCATCGAGAAGGTCATTAAGAATAACGCCAAGTCCCGCCGTGAGAAGCTGCTCCGCATCGGTCTTGCCTACGATCTTGGCCACTGCAAGGGACGATTCGTCGAGACTCCCGAGGAGAAGAAGGCTCGTCAGGCGCACGAGAAGCAGATCAAGCAGAAGAGACGGGATAAGATCAAGGCGAAGCTTCTCAAAGAACGCGAGAACAGCCATTATATCTTGAAACAGGAGTTCCAGAGGAGTGAGCACAGACGACTTAAGAACAAGCAGAAAAGAAAGCTCAAGGAAGCTGCTCTGAAGGCTAAGAGAGATGCTCGCCTAGCGGAGAAGAAAGCTCTCAAAGCTGAGAAGGCTAAGGAAAAGGCGCTGAAGGCTGAAGCTAAGGCTAAAGCCAAGGCAGAGGCGATGGCAAAGGCAAACGCGGAGGCTGAAGCAGAAGCAAAGGAGAAGGCCGAGTCAGAGGAAAAAGCACAGACTGATCAAAAGGTTGAAGAGCCAGCTGAAAAGTCTGAGACTGATGCCGTAAAGCCTGAAGAGCCCATGACCCCTGAATCCGACAACTCGGATGAAAAGGATATCGCAGAGGAGAAGCCCGCTGAAGAGAAACCTACTGAAGAGAAACCTACTGAAGAGCAGACTAGCACGGAGCCTGCTGCTGTAGAGGCTGAAGCATCAGACTCAGACTCAGAATCCTCATCTGAGTCAGACACCGAAGAAGAGGTCGAAACTGACGTCGAAAGCGTCGGCACCCTCCTCGATCTCGCCGACCGTGAAATCTGGATTCACGTCGACAACTTCAACGGCGAAGTCCCGGCCTCAGATTCCGACTCCGACTCATCCTCCGACTCTGGCTCTGAAGCAGGCGATGACGTCGAGAAGGACCCCTGGAACGCCGTTGTCGTCGTCGGCATCCGTATCTTTCACAAGGGTCTCGGCGAAGGTGAGGAAGATGGCGATCTCAACCTTAAAGTGATCCGGCCTATCCCCTTCGGCAAGGATGACGAGGAAGTAGACGTCGAGAAGAAGTGTAGCACCAAGGTTCTGGATGTGGATGATAGTGCCAAGGATGCTACACTTGTGGGGGATACAGCGGAGAAGATCCGATTCATCAAGGGGGACAGTGCCAGGAGAAGAACTGTTACTTCTATGTTCTGATGTACATGATTTATGATATTTAGGTAATTTAGCGGAATGGATTTTAGCTGTCTCTTGGGCCACGGTTACTCACCATGGCATAGTGTCTGTTATTATGATAGCATTTAAAGAACTCTACTCAGTTTTAGGTTCCATTTTGTCCTGTTACCCTTAATACACTGTTCCTGCTCACAGGATATTCAAATTGTAAGTCCCAAACGCCTGAACATGTCTGCTCTTGTCCCGTATCAATACAGGGCGATGCCATAGAAAAACGCCAATCGTCAGCCTCATGCTCGTGCTCGTACTCATACTCATACAGATCTCCTACGTCAACACATCTCGCCACACATCTTGCTTCTCTGATGCCACTTCGCTTCATTTGGGGTTATGGGTGCGTATCAAATCATTTACAACTCTTCTCACTGCATCTTGCACGTCTGTCACTAACCACCACTGCAGCCTCCCTCCTCATCCATCAGACCCACACCAAAACCACAACTACATTCAACACAAGCCATCTTGGAGTAGAGAAGGACATTGAAGCTCCTAGTTTCCTCCCTTCGAGCTGTGTTGTTTGCATGTGTCTGTCTGCCGTTCTGTAGAGCACCACTCTCCGCATCATACAGAGTCCTTCTGCATAGTAGCAACAAGCAACTCGTCGTCCACAGAAAACAACATCTTATCCCCTTTGATCATTGATCAATCTGGCCTTCAGCCCACCACTCTCACGCACGCGTCCACTGGTCTTTTTTGCCGCCAAGCGACAACACAAGCTCTCCCGAGGCTTGATCTTACCCGCTACCATGCGGGGACTTCACTGATCAAAGCCTGAGTCTCTGCGCTTTTCTTTTCCAAGCTCAACAACCAACACATCGCCTCGCGGGGTATATCCTTCGCAGGGTGCCGTAGAATTTTCGAAAGTCGTTAAGAGCCATGTGACAGCGTCTGTCGTTCAAATCGTAGTAGTAGTCCTTGGGTGAATGATCCAAAGTTGTGTCTGAGGAAAGGTGCCAAATACGGAGAAACCGTCTAAAGACCCCCTAGTAACCAAGGATCCATGCAAACAAGTCTAGGTGAATGTTGGAAAAAGGAAATTCGTTGGTAGATGTCTTTTCCTGATAAGAGTCGGCAATCCCTAGCTGAGCAGAGGTGCATGGTAGCGATTTTACTGCTTTGGCCATGCATGCTCGCGGGGACAATGCGACTATCGTCCAGGTAAAGATAAGAAAGAGGTCCAAAGATGAATTTAGACAAACCGAAAATGCCGTGCAAAGCCAAGGCCAGCCAAGCGATGCTGGCAATTGCATGCTTCGGATCAAGATAGACAAGAACCGGAACAAAGAAATAATACGAGGGTAATGATGATGAGTATGTTCACGTGTCGGCATCAAAAAAAGAAAAGAACGATAAAGAAACAAAGTCAGAGGTCATCTCAGACCGAAGCCACGGGAACAATCAGTTCCGAGGGGCCGCTGTTGGTTTGTCTGCAACTGAGGCAGAGTCCCAACAGCTATCTTCATTTTGTGTCTAAGCCACGGGAGCGATGGAAGCAACCGGGGGAGCAGGAACGCTGCCAATGTCAACCTCAGGAGGAATCTCGCCAACACCAGGGGCGTTCTTCTGAGGGCAGTCGCGGGAGATGTGTCCAGCCTCACCGCACTGGTAGCAGGTCTTGCCAGCGGTGTTGAGAGGGCCACCGTTGGGAGCAGTGCAGTCTCGGGAGATGTGGCCGAGCTTGCCGCAGGCGTAGCACTTCATAGCCTGAGCCTGGCAGTCACGAGCAAAGTGGTTGGGACCACCGCACTTGTAGCAAGTGGCAGGGCGAGGACCACCGGCAAAACCACCTCGGCCGTAGCCACCGGGGAAGCCACCACGGCCCATAGGAGCACCGCGGCCCATGGGGCCAGGGCCAACGGGGTTGGGGCAAGCGCGCTATCATACAAAGTCAGTTATGCTTCGAGGTAAAGAACAGAACTTGCACATACAGCAAGGTGACCGGGCTGGCCACAGTTGTAGCATCGACCGCTGGTACCGGTGCCGCTCAAGCGAAGGGTAGGGCAGTCGGCCTGGACGTGGCCAAGACCCTGGCAGTGGTAGCACTGCTTGGCCTCAGTGGTTCGGGGAAGAGGGCATCCGTTGGACTCGTGGCCTTTGAAGAATTAGACATTGATCGCATTGTGAGTATCAAGTTGAGCATACCAGGCTGCTTGCAGTTGTAGCAGAGACGCTCGGCAGAGGAGCAGACCTCAGCGTAATGGCCAACATTGCCACACTTGTAGCAAGCACGTCGAGAGAGAGAAGACATTTTGAAGATAAGGGTCTAGGTCAATGGTTAGCAACAAAGGTCGTTGAGAGTATACTGCTGTATGCGATTTGAAGCTGCCATTCCCATTGTCGTCCAACCGCACCGGGTCCAATGCTGATAGCGAGGTGTTTCAACAACAGCATGATGTATAGATGCCAGGCCTGTAGGAATCGCGCTATATCGGGCTGATCATGCATGCAGCTTTCGAGCCAGGCAGACAGGATGGTTTTCCATGATTAACGACAGGAAAAGTATCTCGAACTTTGCAGGTGGTGTCGCCAATAATACAGGAACGTTATCCATGTCGAATCGCATTGTCGGGTGCCAGCAACGACCAAGTCGTGTGTATGTCATTTGCTTTATTGACAATCGTCATATCCGGATATGATATTTCCGGATCGCGAAACCCCGCACTTGAACTTTTGCCGAGGGGCAACACCAAGATCAAGGCCATTGCAGAAATCGCGATATCCAGCTTTCCCGTTCGGACGGACGATTGTATAACGGAGGTTGCGCCGGGATGTCGGGTCGTACACGGAGGCCAGGTGCGGAAAGCAGTTGTCAACGTCTTGACGGGTGACGGAGGGGTCAAATGCGGGATTTCTTGGGTCGGCGAGAACGATAGCAGCAGCTGAAATTTGAAGCGAAACAACAAGTTGATATTAATGCCATTTTCGAATTATTCGAGTGCGAGAGTCCAAAGTGGTCGTTGTCGTAGTAGCCGAGACCATATAATTCCAGGCTTTGTTGTCGGTTGCGCAAAGGAGGGGCAGCAACAAACCGCAGCGCACAGCAGAGCGCAAAGCAAAGCAAAGCACAGCACAAAACGCAATGCAAGCAACTAAAAGCATCAACGTACGTACCTTTGTGGCTCGGGGGGGGGAGCTTGATGGGTAAGAGGAATACAAAAGTAAAAAATGCGGTCCAATAGGTGTATTATGAATGAACAAGGGAGTATTGGAAGAAACCGAAAATGGCACTTTCAACACCAAGAGATATATTCAGAGTTGTTTAGTCTTTGTTCTCAAAAGATGGAAATGGAAATAATTTTTAATTAAAAAATTTTCACAATGAGGGGAGCACACACAGCAGGAGCGAATGGCACACTACCTGCCCTTTTTCACCTTGCGACTGGACGACGACCCGACCCGACCTGACCTGACCCAGGGAACCAAGGGAACCTACTACTGTACTTACCACCAACTACAAAGTGGAATGGTTGGATTGTGGACTTTTGGATTGTGGATTGTGGGGAGGGGCGACCCAACTCCTCGACTCAGCGGCGTGACGGAGGCTAAGAGGCTAAGAGTAATAAGCCTAGAGTAAGAGGTCAACCTGGGCAGGAGGGGGAGGGGAACTTGCGCGGGTCTTTTTCCCACATTGATTGATTGTCTTGGGTTGATGAGATAGATAGCTGACTGTGTCATGATGACCTACCTTCCCTCTGCAGTTGATACCAGCAGCTATACCACTTACCCTAGGTGTGAATGATATGGATAACTTCGATTCTGATTCACTGACCCTAGACTCATCAGTTTATCTGTCTATGTGCTCAAGTTCCTCCCTTCACACTTCCTTCTCGCTACTCTTCCAACTTCGCTTGCAATCACGCGTATTCAAGCGCGAAGACACTAAAGAACAAAGAGGAAAGATCTCACCGGCTAATCGACCAATCAATACGGATATTTGTCCAGTCCTCTTCACACCTTTTAACCTGACTGGTTTGGGAAAGAATAAGAGCAAGCCTGGAGCTAGCTTTTAGCAACAATTAGTGGAAGAGCGTTTCTTATTTGACCGTTCCTGCCAAGCGGCATGTTCTCCAGCCGTTTGACTTTAAAGTATAAGCGCACGTGATGGTATCAGCAACCTTTCTGTAGCTGACCTATGAGAAACACTGGATCTCAATCAGCTTCAACAGGAGGGCAACAAACCGTTGTCCTTGACTAAGGTATGTATTATTTAACCTGCAGCTGTTTTTTCCTCGAAAGCTTCTTGGAGCATTTACAGTTTCTTAGCAGTTGGCAAACCCACACCTGACGCTGGCCTTCTGAAACTCGCCATGAGATATTAATTATTCCTTACCCTGTTCTGTCCGAGAAGATCGAGATACACAGGCCGCTTTCGGCTGTAGTCGAATTCACCGGCGAAGTGTCATCGCTTCTGGATCCACCAAGGGTCAGTGTTTTCAGCTAGAGTCAAGGCCGTAATATTGCTTTTCTTCTATCTGGTATCTGAACGCTTGTAAGATATCCCAAAAACTCCTCAACGTCTGTTTTAAAACAGGAGAAACCCTGTGACCTTCGCTAATATGTATTCCAATGCCGTAGATACTCGTATATGCTCAATTCAACAATGCCCTTTATTGGGCTCTGGGGTCTTCAGATGCTTTCACTTTGTGTAGCTAATAGTGTGCGGGTTTGAGATGCTTTCCATCACTTCACTACTCAGTCGTTACCCGAGTCACTCTACCCAACTCTGATGGGTGAGTAGGAAGAGGAACTTCGGTGCTCGGTGCCGTAGATCGCGGTTGTGCCTCAACTACATACGAGATGCCATCTTCAGATACATATGAAGGTGGGCGAGGGCCAGACCGTGTACTAGGCCTTATTTCAGAAAGATCCACATTCTCGTTGCGCTGCCAGAACAGACGATCTGGATCAACACGCTGCAAACTGTTAGATCACAACTATAACTTTATACTCAGGGAATCAAAACTTACAACTGTCTCACGCCAGCGGCCATAAGCAGGAGGCAGCGTTTTTGTTACTTCGCTGTCTCCGTCAATGGCCTCTTCATCCCGCGCGAGGACTACTGGAATTGGGACTGGAGGTACTGCATATCGCGGGCCTCGGTATCGAGGAGGTCGACTTGCCCGCAAAGCAGCCTCACGGTTGCCTTTTATTATTAGTAGGCAGAGCCTTATCAGTCCGTGGAAGAAGAAAGCAGCTGCAAAGAGGATAACGAGAATGAGCATGATGTTCATCTCACGCGTGTTGACTTTGTTGGTCATCGAGAGGCAGAGATCTACACTTGGTCAATGTCACATTCAAATATGAGAATCGCAATCGGACTCGTGACTTACAAACGGTAACGAGTATGATCAGAAACAGACCCGATGTCATACATCTTAGGATTTGCGCCCGCATACGCCTGGATCGAACCCATGGTATACATCCCAGAAAGTACTTGGGATGTCGATGTTCACGGCTTCTGCGTGATCGATGATAATCACGATCTCTGTCATGGTGTTCTCTCCTCCTTCTTTCCCTGTTAATAGGCGCACCTAGAATTTCGGAGAGATGCGCCTCCAAAGGATCAACGGAAGTGTTTTGTCGACGTCGTTGACCTCGAGTTTGTTGCGATTCTGAAGGAGTTGCGACCGGCTCTGGTCTTGTTGGCGATAAAGGCTCGGCGACAGGTAATAACGGTGCTGGAGAGGCAGTTATATTGCGAATATCATCAGGTTGCGACGGGCTGCTGTCACGGCCCCATCTTCGCAGGAAATTTGGTATCGCGAAACGTCGACCGACATTCGGTCGATTCGAATTAGAGTCTTGGGACTTGACGCTCTCGATTTCGGCGAGATGAGGTTGTCCAGTCATGGAAGCAGGTTCTCTGCGACTTAACAGCCGTGAAAGAGGCGCAATCATCGGGCGAGACTCTGAGGTACTGGGCTGACGCCGTCCAGCTTCGATATCGACATTGGCGTTGGCATTGGCAACGCCTTCATTCGAACTTCCACCTCGCTCCATGCGTGATCGTTGTATAAGATCAGCACGAAGCCTCTCCATGTCGGGATGGGCCAGAGGCATCTTTTCTCAGTGGGGACCGAGGCAAGTATATACGATCGATGGGTACCGTTATGTACGACTCAGGCAGAGCGACTAAGATGGCGCTATCGTGGATTTTTGACCAGGTAGCAAAAGTAGAAGAACATACGATTACACGCTCAACACGAAGAAGAGTTTTGTTGTACCATCTCGGGCACTACGTATTAGTATAGTAGAGAGGAATAAACACGCAGAAGGAAAATAAGAGGAAAAAGAAACGTTCAAGAAGCCTGTCTTGAACGCGAGATTGTGACTGCAAGCACACAGCAAGGGACGACGAAGACGGACGAGGAACAGCAAGTGACAAGAAACTCAATAAAAAAGAGGAGACAAGTCGATAAATCGCAACCAATGCAGCCCCAGCTCAGCTTCGCTATGATCTAATTATTTAGCTAGTGGGCTCTCAAATGGGCAGATGCCCCGGCTAGAGGTTTGTTATTCACACAAGGATCCCTTTATTTGGCCCCTTGATTGACAAACGGCCCATGTCATGACAACCTAGGCTCAACCTATTCTGGTCTTAGTCTAGGTCAAGGCAACCTGCAGTAGGGAACGGGTCCTCCGAAGGGACAAACTGTGTCAGGGATCTCACGATCCTCGACTTCAAGGGTGTTCGCTGTCGAAGCTTTGAGCTTATCAACACTTTGACGGGTGAACGGACGTAAACAACAGGGATTGAAACACACACAAAGCAAATGCTCCTGCAGCTACATTGCGATATGTCGCTGTTTGCGGAAGAAACACTGGTTCAATTGGTCTCGGACGCATCTGCTAAGAAATTATCACGCAACACAGACAGTTGTTCTAGCTGAATGGATTGGCCATTCCGTGCGGTAGAAACGTGGGCTGTGGAGATCTACAAATTACTTACTCAGTCCGAGCACCCATCCAGGGGTAACCAGACCAACTGCAGTGTAGAGCTAACCTGATGCGGCTATCGTTCTGACTCTGTCACTGTTCCTAAGCTTGGCCGTCTCGGGTTGGAGCGTACCTCCATTCTGCTTGGAGCGCCTCACAGCCAACCGAATTTGGTGCAGGGAGCACATGAAACTTCCTACCCTCTTCAGGCTATTCGATCAAGCGGACGAAAAAGTCACGAATATTGAATCAGTTCTGAAGAATGGGGTTGCACCGAACGCAATGGCCTCTGGTTATGATTGGTAGGCGATGTGGCTCTGAAGCTTAATCGTGTTTGATCTTCAAGGGCATGACAGAGCTCTGCTTTATTCATTGACTATTTGCAGTTGTGAGGGATTGCTTTGAAACACTCTATGCGTGCCCCAGCTCGTGTCTCATGTTTGATGCAAGCCAGAACGCCTCCTTCACCCTTCCCAATGTTAATGTGAATATTGTTAAAACTGTATCCGTACAGCAATTGTATGCATCAATCCGCTTTTCTAGCCGTCGCCGTCACCGACTCCCTCAAGTTAAATATTACGCTCCCTGACAATAATAGCCAAAGTCGCACAAGGCTCCCTGGCTCATCGTAATGATGACTCTTCAGCCTTGGTAGGATCAAACATCGGCCTGGTCAAGTCCCTGAAGGCGCAAAGTATTCCCCAATGGTCCTGATAAATGGTCGCGTGCATGTCCCGTATTGATATCGCCAGGGAGCTATGGTAGATTAGAATATCGGGTTACTGCTGACGCCGCTCATTTCAGCTCGCCGAGAAGCATTGTGCGGTCTGATGAAGCCGAAAGCACTATATCTCGTTAGTTTACCGACTTGACATGGTGGGCGACATGACTTACGAATAGGCTCATCTCCTGGCGAGAACTCAGCACAGTTGACTGTGCCCTTGTGACCTGGCAGCTTGTAGGCGAGCTTGCCAGTCTCGCTTGACCATACCATAACTGTGCCATCGCCTGACGCTGCTGCAATTTTCTTGCCATCTGAATCCCAGCTTGCTCCCAGAAGATTCTTCTCGATTCCCATAGTTGCGCCATCAAAGGTTCGGATGTGTCTTTCTGTGGGTGCGAAGGGTCGGATATCCCATGTTCGTACGGTAGAGTCCATAGCATACGAGACAAGCGATTGAGAGTCTGGCGAAACCCTCAATGAGGTGACGGTGTCGGAATGGCCCAGCATGGAGTATATCACCGACTTCTTTCGCAAGTCCCACACTCGAATGTCGTTGTCGATACCGCCTGCGTATATCTCGTTGCCAGCTTCTGACACAGCAATCGCGGTGATGGGAAATTCGGTTTGGATGTAGTCGACAGCATTCTTTGATCGAGGATCCCAGATTCCGATAGTTGAGTCGTCGCTACCGCTGACCAGCAACTCTTCTCCTCGTCTGCTGATTCCCAAAGTGTTGATGACTTCCTCGTGTCCAACATATCTGCGAATTCGCGTGCCTGACGTCAAATCCCAACTCGCAAGGTGCACATCCGCTGATGCACTGTATAGAATTTCCGAGTCGCGGGACCATTGCAAGTCCAAGATAGCACCCCGATGTCCGTTCAATATGCCATAGTTTTCGCAATCGCCGTAGGTTCTCCAGAGCACTGTTCATGTCAGTTCAATTCGTGCACAATCAGCCATTCATTACTTACTTATCGATCTATCCATGCCACCAGACGCAATCAAGTTGCCTGTAGGATCAAACTTTGCTGCAAAGATCTCGCCCGAGTGTCCTGACAGTTCCATAACAGGAGCTTGCAGTCCACTTGTTCGTGGTGCCTTCACGGGTTAGTCAAGTTATCTCCAAGCCCCAAACCAAGTCTGAACTTACCGATTGCACCAACGCATTGCTTGACGCGTTCAAACGCGCGACGGCGCCTGTGGAAGAGTTGACATTCTGTCGCTTCACGAGCGATTGGGAGGAGCCAGGATCATCGTCAGCGGGACGCTTTTCGGCAGACATTGTTAATTTTGAAGATAACCAAAGAAAAGTTTGACTCGATGCGACTCTGCTTTTGTGAATGCGCCCGTTTTTCGTCAATTCGCAGAGGTATAAAATGAGCTTAGAGCTTGCTGCTGCTTCACTTTTAACGATGGTGGTGGACTTCATGCAAATCAAGCTCCCGAATAATTGGTAGTCGGGCCGGAATTGTTCCTGGCGTCGGCATTCCAACACTCCGTCCACCGACTTCCCAGGGCGGTGTTGGCGCCATTGCTTCACCTCCCTGGTTGCGGCTAGCTACAGGACGTTGTACAGCTCTAGAGGTGCATTATAACTTTGTGCTGTTTTATCGGATATAGACTTAACTTATCAAACCTACCCACTTTGTTGCAAAGCTTGCTCGTCACATCCACGTTTGTCGCTTGTCTCACGTCCATTCCCCTCTCACAGCCGTAACGATGGCTTCTAACAAAGCGACTCGCTTGGGCGAGGAGTAAGTTCACTACGCAGCCATCTTGGTCGCAAACAAATCTTATTGCAATTGCTAACTGGAGTTCAGGATTTGGAAGTACGAGATACCTACATGGTCGCGAGATCGAATGTTCCTCTGACCAGAATGACAGAACCCGAATCGACAAGGTCAACGCAGAACTGGTCACTTTGACCTACGGAACTATTGTCGCACAACTCTGCAAAGACTACGAAAGCGATTATGCGGAGGTCAACAAACAGCTTGATAAGATGGGATACAACATTGGTCTACGATTGATCGAAGACTATCTTGCCAAATCCAACACCATGAAGCGATGCGCCAACTTCCGCGAGACGGCCGAGATGATTTCTCGAGTATGAACAATCATCATATGATCTATGACATCGGCTGACAAGAGGACAGGTTGGATTCAAGATCTTTCTCAATATCACTCCTCAGGTTGTGAACTGGACAAGCGAGAACGACCAATTCTCGCTGGTATTCGAAGAGAACCCCCTAGCCGACTTTGTTGAGCTCCCTGACGACGGGCGAGCGCAAGACCAACTCTGGTACTCGAATATCCTATGTGGAGTGCTACGAGGTGCACTTGAAATGGTGCAGATGCAAGTTGAGGCTCACTTTGTTAGCGATGTCTTGCGAGGCAATGATACTACAGAGATGAGGGTTTCGCTAATCCGCTACATCGATGACGAACTGCCACCTGAGGATGACTGAGAGATTCAGAGGAATAACTAGTTACGAATGTGACGACGATTTGGCGCTTCGCCAAAAAAGCTATGGATGGCCATACGGTAACCCAGATATTGAGGGACAGCATATCTCCAAAAACAAAAAAAGATTGCCGACGGCATGCATGACGACATATCAACCAGGACGCTTGGTATGCAACGCAAACTCAGAAGGTAGTTATCAATCTTGCGACAGTTGGCTAGAGACCATGCATGGTACGTGTAAATACCCATGGAGAGGAGGACAGCTGTCAGCCACGTGCTAGACTAGAAACGCACGATTAATAAAGATCACGCCAGACATCGGCGATTAACATGATAGATCGAATGAAGAATTGCTCTTTTCTTGAACTTTGAAACGAAGTGATTTATATTACAATCAAGTGCGATCAAGTGTAGTTATGCCTCCTATCGAGACCCCATGCTGATAGTCAGGGACGAGTTGGGATTGATAAAAACTAACGTTAATCCCCACGAAATGGAACATGATCGATTGACAGTCATAATTAGATGGAGCAAGGCGGGATCTGTTAGCGGAGGAACAAGCTTAGGCCAATGACGGAGACGCTCATGCCTGAGGCAACATCGGTTTTTTTTGCCTGAGATTGGCTCCCTTTTTTGTCTCCATATCATGCCTCAGGTCTCAAGACTGACCATTTTCAAGCCTTGGTCTGAAAATTACGCACCTTGGGCTGAATTTTACGTACCCTAGTGTAACGCGCCAAGAATGGGCGCGCCAGTCGTCCGGAAACCTTTCTGTACCTAAACCAGGACCGCAGGGCGCGCGCCATTAGATCAGGGTCCAGTCGTTTTCCTGTGGGGTGACGCGACCCGACCTCGATCATTCGGGTCCGCTAACTCTCAAACCTTGAAGGAAAGCCCCTGAAGAGCATCCACTACAACTACGGCCCAGGCCGCTGGAGGTGCTGAGATGCGCTGGGCTCACTGAGCCTCACAGGGCATCGCATCTCAGTTTGGCGGCCCGGGTAGCCCTGTGGTAAATCCAGCCTCCCAATCCTGGTTAGAAGCGGCTTGTTGCCGTGCATGTTCCATGTGTATCAAACCAGTCTCGGTAGTTCTGGCCAAGTCGAAATGTCTTTGAACCAACTGATAGAACAATGGATGGGTCTGGCTTCGGCGAGCTGTCATATTAACTCGTGCTGAACATGAAGATCTATCTGCTCTGTATCCATACCAGGTCGAGTTATATCTACAATTCTATACCCATGATCGACCGCCCCGACTTCTCTTAGCTGCAAGGAGGCAAGGCATCGCATCTTGGTGGATCTCTCCCCAGGTCCCAGAGCAACCTAAGCTTTGGCAGACGCCTGGCGGCCATTAAAATCCAGCGTTGTACTTTGGTCTTTTACCATTTTGGATCAACCTAAGGTTTGGCGTAGTTGTACCTAAATTGCATGCATCTAAACATCCATCGAGATGCATCACTGCAAATATTCAAGAAGCAGAAATAAGTAACATTTAGTTGGCGAGCACTAAGCAAGTAACGCCTTTGAAGGGGCACATTCAGTAACAGGTGATGATTATTCACAGATCCAATTGAGAGCATCTTATAGGGTCGGAAAAGGATAGAAGGGCTACAAGAACAAGAAAAGTTTCCCGTCCTCCCACTCATTATGGAACTGGACTCAACACCCACCGCCCAAACCAAGGACCGACCGACCACGTTTTTCACCCACAACTTCTGTCTTGCTCCTTTTCATTCTCACACCTCTTTCTCTTCTGTTAAACAAAGCACATCATTCCCCTTTGCTCGGCCTAGTGCCGCTTGATTCTGGAATCCTCAAGTCAGAGCAGCTGTCGCGTTTGATAGACGACAAACGCAACCTAAGCAGACTCATCAGAGTCTGACGTTGGGCCTACATACTTTCAACTCCACGAACGGTATCATACTGTGGTTCTCGTCCTCCACTGTTCCCGTCCGTTTGGCGTCTGAATCCCTTCCGTCTGCTGTCGGTACCTTTATTAACGGGTTCCTTACATATAATTGAGAGGTACCCGTTTTACCTTGGGGCGCGTTCCGTTGAATTTCCTAGGGTACTTATTATTTGCCCTGGTCCCCCGCCAGTCTTCGAGTACCCTCCCACCCCTGACCAACCCCGGGCAGTCTCCGTCTGTGTGCTGTCTTTCTTTTTTTTACGCTGAGAATCGAGCACTGAGCAACTGAGGAGGCCATTCACCTCGAGAGCACAAGCCCAGCGCCCACTTTCCACTCCCAGTTACCTCGACACTCCGCCAAATCCAACCTACACCAACCACACCATATTCATCCACCATACTTTCTATCTCCAACTCATCACCGCGACATCGACATCTGGTCGACTATCGCATCGCAAAGCATCGCATAATTGTTGCGTCTTTGCTTTGTTTTTATTAATTACCTGCGACATACGTTCCCGCCTACTATCGACGCTTGACACGATCTTCCAATTCCCGCTACTTGGGGTTCGCCTCTGTTTCTCCTAGTCTCGTGGTTCTCGCGATTCTCGCCTCGTCCCCGTCCGACCGCGCGCCTGGCAGCTTGGACCGCGTCCACGTCTCCGTCGCTGGTGATCCCTTCACTCGCGCCTTTTGGATTTATTGCCTGTCACGTCCACGTCGGGAGGCTATCCAGCGCAGTCCCGCCTGGTGGCACGCCCCCGTGGCTACACGAGCCCCCGACTTGCTGCCGCTACGGCAGAGCCTCTAGGCCTCTATTTGCTCTTATTACAGTATTAACATTTCAACGGCCATGAACCCAAACATCAATATGGCCAGCATGAACCCCATGGGTGGCCCTGTTGGAGGTGCTCCCATGCCTATGATGAACAACGGCGCTGTCAACCCCCAGCAAGCTGCTGCCGCTGCCGCTGCCGCCGCGTCCCGTCAACACCAGGCAAATGATAATCAGCGCAGCATCCTCAACACATATATCTACGAGTACTTTATTCGCATGGGAATGTACCAATGCGCACGATCCCTCCTCGAAAGCGACCAACAGGTCAATGTACTTAAAGATGGCGCGAATCGTCGTCGCGACGAGAACGGCAATGTCATCAACGGCGTTGGCGATGACCCCATGGATACCGACTCCAAGGACGATATCGACTCCAAACTCCCCGAAGACTTGCCGCCGCCGAAGCTTCCCATGCCTGCGTCCGACACGTCTTTCCTTTACGAGTGGTTCTCACTGTTCTGGGACATTTACTACGCGCAGCGAGCTAAGAGCGGAAACAATACCATTAACCAATACGTCCAACACACTCAAGTAAGTCTTTTTTTAATTTATCTAATTATGCCGTACTGCCACCTTGGGCACGATCGTTCTGTGACCACTTCCAATCGATGGGAGATGGTGTCAGACTGACTGCTCTTGCCCCTACATTTGGTAACCACTTTGGCTGGTGACCAATGCTGACCCTTGGTGGCAATGTAGCAACAATCCCGGCTAAAGCAGAATCACCAGCAGGAACTTCTGCGCCAAGTGCGACCAGACATGACCCAGCAGCAGTATCAAATGATGCGAAGCATGCAAAACGGCGGCATGGCCATGAACATGAAGCAGGGGAACCTTGCCCGTGCTGCCATGGCCAACAACCAAAACAAGTGAGCATCTTATTTCTCATCTTTTTGATAAGCCCTTCGCCTAACCGTGACATGCAGCCCTCAAATGATGCTACAGCAGGCCAAGCAAAACCAGATGCAACGAGACCCTTCCGGCATGGATGGCCAAAACAGACCTTCATCGCCGGCTTCTGGGGAGAACGCTCCCTCGCCCTCCAAGCGACAACGCATCGACGCGCCCTTCAACCCTAACCAGCCTGCTGGTATGATGGCTAATGGCCGTCAAATGCCTGCTGGACAGATGGCACCCAACACTGCCGCCGCGCAACAAATGCTGACTGCTAATGGCATCAACCCCCACACGCTACACCCTGCGCAATTGGCAAATTTTGCCAACGCTCCGCCCGCCGCCCAGCAAAAGTCGATCGCAACATACTCGCAAAACCTACAGCAACACCATGGTACCCAGATGGGAGGCAAACAGATGCCAAATGCTGTCCCTCAAGGCCAGGGATCTCCGATGATGGCACAGGGTCCTGATGGAACTGCTCTCAACGCATTCTACAACCCAGGGGGGGAAATGGGCGGCCCAGGGGGCATCCGGCCGGGACCTGGCGGTCCCCAAAACGGAGGGGGAAGCAACCATGCCCTCCAAGACTATCAAATGCAGCTAATGCTTCTAGAGCAGCAGAACAAGAAGCGACTCATGATGGCCCGCCAAGAGCAAGACACAGTCGGCAACGGCATGCCCCGAGAAGGTCAGCCTGGACCCGGTGGTCCCCCCGGACCCAATGGTCAGTTCCCGGATACATCACCTCAAGCTATGCGACCAGGTGCATCTCCCAACCCTGCTGAGCAGATGAAGCGTGGCACACCTCAAATGAACAACTCTGGTATTCCTTCACCGGTTCCCGAGGGCGGTCAATCCCGTGGCTCACCCAACCCGGCCATGAACTTCATGGGCAACAACATGGATCCTAACATGGCGCCTCATTTCTTCAAGGGGATGGAAGGTAATATGGGCGGCCAACCGCCTATGAACGGCGGCAACATGCGACCACCTAGCTCTCACCCTGGCCAGCCTTTCAATGGGCAGATGACACCACAGATGATGGCTGCCGCACGACAACAGCAGCAGCAGGGTCAACCAGGACAAGGACCACAGGGAAATCCCCAACAGTGGCAGCAAGGCCCTAACGGACAGATGGTACCCCAGCAGATGCAACAACAAAGTCCCCAGATTCAGAACACTCCCCAGCAACGATCGATGCCTCCTCCCCAGGCACCACCTGCTGGCGCAAATGGAGCCAACAGCCGGACAACAGCATCTCCTCAACAGGCGGCTGCCGCACCACCAACTCCCAGTCAAACCAACAAGGCCGCCCCCAAGAAGAAGGAATCCAAGGCTGCTAAGGACAAGGTAAATATATCCCATGTATTGCTATGGGCAACAAAAACTGACAATAGTAGCGCGCTGCTGCCAACAAGAAGGCCAACCAGAATCTCAACAACGCTGGCGCAACACCTTCTAACGACAACAACGATTCGCAGGATACTCCTGCTCCTGCGACGCCTATTCAGAACGCCAACGCTGCCAACTTTAACAAGAATGGACAGGCCAATGCCGGTCAAAACGGCCAGCAAACATCTGGACCAGCTAACGCTCCTGCTGCAACGACCGCACCTCCTCCAGCACCACCAGCTCCCCAGCACGACCCTAATCAGATGATGGGCATGGATAACAGCTTTGGCCCATTGGTACGTGTCAACTCTGTTCTGTTTTTCGAATTTATTGCTGATACAATTTACAGTTTGATGGCGGCGGTATGGAGTTGGCCAACCCCCTCAACTCGGGTGACGTGCTCAACGACTTCGATTTCGACTCGTTCTTGCACGACCAAGATGGCGACAACTCGGCCTTCAACTTCACGGAAGCGTTCCCAATGGGTGACGAAATCGGAGCTGACTAGTGGTATCGACGCGAAGGGTTGAGTTGGTAGGCATTTACGCACACGAGCTTGGGCAGACTTAATCAGGCATCATTTGTCACGGCGTTTTGAGTGGATACTATATCATGGTCAATCGGCGATCTGGTCCAGGAGGCAATTTCCCTCCTATGTGGTGGTATTAGGGGAAAAGAGCACTATTTGTTTTGGTTTATGTTACCGACGCTGGATGTGGTGTTGGACTGAAGCTGGTTTGACACACACCCGCACTACGACTTGGTATTTCCTTTGGAAGCCCCCATGGTCTCACACGTCTCTTTCTCTCCTATCATTTTGTTGTTTTTACAGTTCGCTGTCTCTTGCTTTCGGGTACTATTATCACGGGTGCACGGTGGAAATCCTCGGTGAGCCGAGAGATGTTATTTAAAGATGGGGTGGAGGATGGCTGGAGCGGACGTCCATCTGTGTAAAGTTTCGAATTACTTATATGGTGTATCCCTAAGCTTATGGCGAAAAATCACATACCACGCTTGCGACTTTTCCTTTTACTATGCGTTCAAAGACAGGACTTTACATTTTCCTTACCTCTTTTTGGTGGTTGTTTGCAAAATATGATGAGTATTGAGACCCGGCAAAAGATTAACGCATTAAGTGATAGTTTTTGTCTTTAATGAGTTGCAATAAAACGTATTTTTGTCCTACTTAACTTGACTACTACTATCGACTATGAGAGTTCCTCATTTTCGGAAACCTATTAGATACTGAGGTGTCATTAACAGCCGGCTTAGTGCATATTGCCTAGCAATGAGACTTGGAGCAGCCTTCCGTGCGTGTAACCTGTCCTTGTCTTGGGGCTCGAAACGGCCGTTAATTGAGAGTAGGAGGCGACTGTTACTCGTTGAATTTACGACAACCTCAACCAGATCTTAGATAATACACATTAATGTATTCTACAGCCTAGAGGTTACATTCTCTAATGCAATCAGTCATTACATCATATGCTACAACTTGCTTGGACCATCCAACGTTAAGTCATTGAATACGGGGACGGATGGGTGCATATAGCATCATGTGTCAACGACACCTCTGTGATTTACACTTAGTCATTCCGCATATTCACATCTTGAGATAAAATCAAGTTTCGAGTCATAACGTCGTGAGTCTTGTTTTTGTATCCAGATATCTATTTACACAAATCCGCCGTACGGACTTCTAAACATGGGTATAGACATAGAAGGGAGAACAAGACAAAGCTAACTGTGAACAGCAGCTTCCAAAGAGAATGAACCGTCGAGCGAAGCAATGAACCAGTGTCAAAGACGCTTAGAAGGTTGCTTTCCCCTCACGTGAATGAGGGTGAGATGAACTGAAGAACGCCAGGCAGGGCTGGCAGAAGAAGGTATATATAGCAGAAGTTTGGAAGTTGAAGAGAGGATTTCAGCTACCTAAGTAACTAGTTTGTGGACTCGTAGACGGCGACGTAGGCGACCTCCATCATGTTCTTGTAGCCAGCTTCAGTGGCCTTGTTGGGGTTACCCTGAGGCTTCATATTAGTGCTCCGGTCTTCCGAATGTAAAGCAGAAGGGTAATACTTACAGGCCAGTTACCGCCGACGGCGACATTGAGGAGAACGTACATGGGGGAGTGAGCGAGAGTGCCCCATGTCCCTTCATCGTTGAGAGTTGCGCCAGTGATGCTGTGGAAAGGTTTACCGTCCAGAAGCCAAGTGATCTTCTCCTCCTTCCAGCTTCCAGCACGTCGGTCGATCACTACGGACCAGGCATGGAAGTCGTCGTCAGGGATGGGAACTCGCTGGCCAAGGCCCTCAGGCTCGTTGCAGGGACCGCCGCCCTCATGCCCACAGTGAACAGTACCGAAGCCGGTCATATCACCGTTGACTCGCTCAAAGATGTCAATCTCTCCGCATCGAGGCCATTCCGTTCCTTGACGGAGGGCATCACCAAGCATCCAGAAGGCAGGCCA